GTGCCGTCCTCGGTGAAGTGATGCCCGCCGAGCAGGTTTTGACGACGCCACCCGTTGCGGATCATGATCTCAAACGGCGCGGCCGTGTTGATCCGCTCTTGGCCGACGTACTGCTGCGGCCACTGGTTGTTCTCCTCGCGCCCCGACTCGAGGTAGTGGTAGCACTCGCCGAGCCAGAAGGCGTCGGCCGAGGTCGCCAGGAGGCCGGCGGCGGCCACGGTCATCAAGAACCGTTTCATCTTCGATACTCCGTCCCTGGGACCCGCGGGTGTTCGCGGCGCTGCGCGGCGATCCTGCCGCGCGTAGTCGTCTCTCAACGGAAGTATCGACGCCGCGCGATCCGCGGCTGCGGCGCTTCGCGTGCGACCCGATCGGACGACGCAGTTTGCCCAGCCTCCGCGGCGCCAGCAGCGGCTGGCGTGTGGTTGCTAGCGGCCCTATTGGCCGCCGGCCATCGCCGGGAACATCTCGTTGATCATCGTGATCGCCGCGGGGCCGACGAGCACGACGAAGATCGCCGGGAAGATGAAGATCACGAGCGGGAAAATCAGCTTCACCGCCGTTTTCGCCGCCTTCTCCTCGGCCATCTGGCTCCGCTTGGTCCGCATCGAGTCGCTCTGCACGCGGAGCGCTTGGGCGACGCTCGAGCCGAACTTGTCGGCTTGGATCAAGATCGCGGCGAGCGCCTTGAGGTCGTCGACGCCGGTCCGTTTGCCAAGCTCCGACAGGACTTGGTTGCGCGGCGATCCCATCTGCAGGTGGAGGTTGCAGAGGGCAAACTCTTCGGCCAGGACGCCGTAGGTCTTCCGCATCTCTTCGCTGACCTTGCGCATCGCCTGGTCGAGGCCGAGGCCCGCCTCGACGCAGACGACCATCAGGTCGAGCGCGTCGGGCAGCCCGTAGAAGATCGAGTCTTGGCGCGACTTCTTGAGGAACCAGATCACCATGTCCGGCAAGAAGAACATGACGCCGGCGATGGCGACCGTCATGATCATCGCGTCCTGCGTCAGGCCCTTGGTCCAGTACGCCGCCCCGCCGCCGGCGAAGAAGCCGACGATCAGGCAGAGAAACTTCGACCCGAGGAACACGCTGACGGCCGCTTCGTTGCGGAAGCCGGCGTACTGCAGCCGCTGCTTGAGCTTGCCTTCTTCTTCTTCGGTCTTCGGCTGAAGCGGCGCGGCGAGCGTCGGCGTCGCCTGCGAGATCAGCTTCGCCATCGCGTCGGACTGCTTCTTCTCACGCGAAGCGCGGCGACCGGTCGGGTCGCTGAGCTCGTCGAGACGCTCCGAGGCGCGTTCGCTGCCGTTGCTGCCGAAGTAATCCAGCGCAAACCAGATCGCCGCGGCGACACAGCCGAACACGGCGAGCTTCACCAGCAAGGCGGTGCTGACGAGGTCGGCGGCGAGCAGGGGTTCCATGGGAATGCGGAGCTCGGATTGCGGATTGCGGATTGCGGAAGGGACGAAGCTCGGCGGCGGATCGCGGCCGGAAGGCGTTCGATTCCGCCTTCCGACTAGTGCGATCCGCGTCCGCTCAGATTCGAATGTTGATGATCTTCTGAATGACAACGGCCCCGAGCAGCTGCATCACGATGCCGCCGATGAGCATCTTCTTGCCCAGGTCGTCGGTGAACAGCAGCATCAGGTAGTCCGGGTTCATGCGGTACACCGCGCCAAACAGCACCGGCGGGAGCGCCAGCAGCACGATGCCCGACAGGCGGCCTTCGCCCGTGAGCGCCTGGACCTGACCCCAGATCTTGAACCGCTCGCGGATCAAGCGGCCGATCTTGTCGAGGATCTCCGCCAGGTCGCCGCCGGTCTGCCTCTGCAGGATGACGGCGGTGACGAAGAACTTGAGGTCGAGGTTCGGGACACGCTCGGTGAGGTTCTCGAGCGCCTCTTCGAGCGGCATGCCGAGGTTCTGCTCCTCGTACGTCCGGTTGAACTCTTGGCTGATCGGCGGCGACATCTCGTTGCCGACCAGGTTCATGCCGGCGCCGAGGCTGTGGCCGGCCCGGAGCGCCCGGGCGATCAGCTCCAGCGCCTCGGGCAATTGAGCCGCGAACTTTTTCATCCGGCTCTTCCGCTTCATCACCAGCCAGGCGAACGGCATGAAGACGAAGATCGCCGAGCAGATCGGCGCGAACTTCACCGGCATCCCGAGCGCCGTCGGCGCGAAGAACCCGATGAGGGCCGCCCCGACAGCCGCGAGGATGAACTGGCTGACGGTGAACGACACGTCCGCCTGGGCGAACAGCCGCTCGAGGTTCAGGTGGTTCGCGATCGCCTGCTCGATGGCGCCGGCGCCGTTGTTCCAATTCTTGGCGAGCAGCTCGGCGTCGGTCGGCTTCTTGTCGTCCTTGCCCTTCCCCTTGCCGGAGGTGAGCGCCGAGAGACGCTCCTCGACCTCCGCCTCTTTGTCGCCGCTCCACAGCATCGCCACGGCGATCACCAGACCGGTGACGCCGCCGAAGACCATCAGGGTGATTAGCAGGGGGGACATGGCGGAGGCGCTAGTTGGAAGGCGCTAGGCGCTAGGAAATACGCTTCGCGGCGCGATTGGTGTGTCAGTCGGTTCGGTCGGTGCGTTACGACGCCCTGTGCCAGCCGCCACGCGCTTCCTAGCGCCTGGCGCCTAACACCTAGCGCCTAATCCGCCATCATCACGCGTTCGCGGAAGGTGCTCGCCGGCAGGCGGATGCCGGCCGACTCGAGGCGGTCCATGAAGGCCGGGCGGATGCCGGTCGAGACGAACTGGCCGATGGCCCGCCCGTTCTCGTCGACGCCGGTCTTCTGGCACGTGGTGAGCGAGCCCTCGTGCCCCGTGTTCATCGCCTGGAGCATGTCGAGCGTCTCGCCGCCACGACACTCACCGATGATGATCCGGTCGGGCCGCATACGCAACGAGTTCTTCACTAGGTCCGTGGCGCTGATGCGTCCCTTGCCCTCGATGTTCGGCGGGCGGGTCTCCAACCGCACGACGTGGTCCTGCTGCAACTGGAGCTCGGCCGCGTCCTCGATCGTGACGATGCGGTCGTCGTTGCTGATGAAGCTCGACAGCGTGTTGAGCAGCGTCGTCTTACCCGAGCCGGTGCCGCCCGAGATCAAGATGTTCAGCTTCGCCTTCATGGCGCCCTCGAGGAGCATCACCATCTCGGGCGTCAGGCTCTTGTAATTCAGCAGGTCCTCGAGCTTCAGCGGGTTCGAGCCGAACCGCCGGATCGTCACACTCGGGCCGTCTAGCGCCAGCGGCGGGATGATCGCATTCACACGCGAGCCGTCCGGCAACCGGGCGTCGACCATCGGGCAGACCTCGTCGACGCGGCGGCCGACGCGCGACACGATCCGGTCGATGATCTGCATCAGGTGCTTGTTGTCGCGGAACGTGACCGGCGTCTGCACGAGCTTGCCGCTCTTTTCGACGAAGACGTGCTTCGGCCCGTTGACCATGATTTCGCTGATCGACGGGTCCTTCAGCAGCAGCTCCATCGGCCCGAGGCCGAAGGTCTCGTCGAGCACCTCGTCGATCAGCCGGTCGCGCTCGTTGCGGTTGAGGAGCGTGTCCTCGGTGTCGCACAGGTGCTCGACGACCAGGCGGATCTCACGCCGCAGTGTGTCGCCTTCGAGCTCGCCGACACGCGACAGGTCGAGCTTGTCGACCAGCTTGCCGTGGATCCGCCGCTTGAGGTTTTCGAACTCGGCCTCTTTCTCTTTCGAGGAGAGGGCGGCGTTGGACGGGGAGAGCTTCGTCATGGCGGTCGGCGGGGTCGGCTTCGAGGGAGCGGTGAGACCGCCCGCCGGCCGCCATGCGGCGCGCGGAACGATCCGCGCAAACATAGGTCACCGTGGACGGCACGCGGCCTCCCGTCACGTGCAAATGCCGCCTGACGCGCCAGCCGAAAAGAACGGCACAACCGGCCCCCCGATCACACCTACCGAAAGGCTCTTCACCTCGCCGCAGGGAGTCACGGCTCAGCGGACATAGATCGCCGCCCGGCGACTCATGCCGACGGCTGGCCAGCCGAGGGGGCCGCCTCGTCAGGCGCGGCGCCGGCGCCCTTCTTGCCGAACAGGCCGAGCCAGCTCCGGGTCTTGCTCGTCGCGTCGCCGGCGTCGCTCGGCTCGCCGCCGAGCAGCTCGCGCACCATCTGGCTGATCGCCTGGGTGAGCTGCGCCTTGGGCGCCTGCTCCAACAGTGGCACACCGTTGTTGCGGACCTCGATCATCGTCCGGAAGTCGTTCGGCAACTGCCAGAAGACTTCCTGGCCGAGCGTCGACTCCGCCTTCTTCACGCTGATCGACGAGCCCCCCTGCCCCGCACGGTTGACGACGATCTTCGTCTTCTCGCGGAGCTTGCCCCGCTGCTCGAACGACATCATCAACCGCACCACGTTCCGCAGGCACGGCAGGTCGAGCTGCGTGACCATCAGCACGTCGTCGGCGACGTCCATCGCCAGCAGGTCGAGCTCGTTGAACGCCTTCGACGTGTCGATCACCAGGTGCGTGAACGTCGCCTTTAGCAGGCCGATCACGCGACCCAGGTCCTCGGGCGTCACGAGCGACGCGTCCTCGAGCTGCACAGGTCGCGGCAGCAGGTAAACGCCCGAAGCGTGCTTCGTGAGCGACCGCTTCAGCAGCGTGAAGTCGAGCCGCGTCACGTTCTGCGCGACGTCGGTCAGCGTGTACTCGGGGATCGTGTCGAGGTAGACGTCGGCGTCGCCGAGCGTCAGGTCGAGGTCGAGCACCACGACCGAGTTGTTCGGGTTGGCCGCCAGCTCGCACCCGAGGTTGACCGCCAGGCTGGTCGAGCCGACGCCGCCGGTCGAGCCGGAGACGGTGATCACGCGGCACGCGCCGCCGCCGGTTCCCTCGGCGCCGAACTTGGTCCGCGAGATCCGCTGCAGGGCCGTGGCGAGGTCCTCGGGCCGCACCGGCTGCGTGAGGAACTCCTTCGCCCCGGCGCGCATCGTCCGGAGGATCAGGTTGCCGTCGGTCGAGCTGCTGGAAACCAGCAGGGCGGTCTCCGGCTTCGCCTTGGTCAGCTCCTCGACCAGGGCGATCGCTTCTTCGGGGTCGGAGTCCATCGCGACGAACGCCACGTCGGGGTTCGTCTGGTCGAGCACGTCCTGGAAGAACGCGTAACGCGAACACTCCGCCTCGAGCCAAACGGTCTCGAGGCCGACGAGCGTCGCCTTCAGCGTGTCACGCGTGGCGTCGTTCGGGTCGACGATCGCGAGTCGCAGGACGTTCGACATGGGGTCTAATCAGGTCAGCGAGGGCTAGCGGCGACCGCCACCGCGGACTGGGCGCGGAAGCGTCTACTCAGAAACTAGCTCACGCGATGCGACGCGAAGCGGAATTCGGTGACTCGATCAGTCGTCGTCGTAACCGACCGGACCGATAAGACCCGAACCGCCCGCCGAAGCCTGATAAGGACGCGCCGCTTGGCGGACGTACTGCGTCGGTCGGCTGGCCCGCAGGTGCGGCGACGGCGCCGGCCGCGGAGCCTTCTCCGTGATCGGCTTCTCGACGCCTGTCTTGCTGAGGCTCGGCGGCAACGCCAGCGACGGCCCGGCCGGCGTGACGGACGGCTGAGGCGTCGCCTCCGCCCCGGTCGATGGAGCGGGAGTCGGGGTCGGCGTCGGCACGTACTCGCCCGGCATCATCGTCGGCCCCGCGGGGGTCGGCATCGGCGTCGGCATGGCCATCGGACCCTCGACCCCGTTGACGAGCTGCTGAGGCGGCCCCGGGGGCCCCCCGGTCGCACACTCGCCACAATTGCCGCAGCTCGAGTTCGTGCACGGGCCGCAGAAGTTGGGCGTCTCGACCTTGCCGTCGATGTACAGCTCGCAGTCGCTCGGCGAAGCGGTGCCCATGCCGGGACCGCACGGCGGCACCTCGTGCGGGGCCATCGCGTCGACGAAGTCAGGCGTCACGAGGATCAGCAGCTCGATCTCTTCAACCTCGTCCTGCACGCTGCGGAACGGGACGCCGAGGATCGGCACGTCCGCCAGCAGCGGGATGCCACGGTTGACCGCCTGCGTCCGCTGCTGGATCAAGCCGGCGATCGCGAAGGTCTGTCCGGCGTTCATCTCCACCGCCGTGTCGACCTGCCGCACCGTCAAAGCGGGGATGCGGTTGTTGTCGATCGTGACGGCGTTGCTGAAGTCGAGGTCACTGACCCGCGGGCGGACCTCCAAGCGGATCTTGCCGTTGCCCAGCACGATCGGCAGGAAGTCGACCTGCGTGCCGAACGGCTTGTACTCGATGGCGACCTGACCGAGGCCCTGCGGCACAAGAATCGGGATCTCACCGCCCTCGTTGAACTGCGACGGGCGGCCGCTGACCGCGACGATGTTCGGCTCCGCGAGGATCTTGGCGATGCTGTTCTGCTGCAGGGCGTCGAGGAAGCCGATGAACGAGTCGCCGCCGTTGGTGACCGCGAACTCGACGGTCTGCCCCGCCGTGTCGGTGATGCCACCGATGCCGTTGGAGATCGTGTTGATGCCGAGCGGGTCGCCCGCGGTGCCGACGTTGTTCAGCAGGCCGGAGATGCTCGTGCCGAAGTAGCCGCCGGAGCCGATCGTCGCGATGTCGACGCCGAGCTTGCGGAGCTTCGTCCGCGACACCTCGTAGATCTTCACCTTCAGCAGCACCTGCTGCACGCCGCCCACGGCGATGTTGTTGATCACCTTGGGGGCGTAGTCCTCGGCGAGCTGGCGGATCGGGTCGACGTAGTCGGGCCGGTCGATGAAGCCGGTCAGCACCAGCGACTGGCTGTAGCGGTAGACCTTGACCGACGAGTTCGGGAACTGCGTCTTGAGGGCGTGCTCCAGCTCGCGGACGTCGCCGTAGATGTAGACGTCGACCGTGTGGATCTCGCCGTCCTCGTCCCACAGGTTCACCTGCGTGACGCCCGCCTTCTTGGCGGAGACCTGGATCTCGGTCGCCGAGAGCGGCGTGACCGCCAGCAGCTCGGGGTTGTTGACCTGGACCTTGGGGATCTTCTTGTCGAGCGTCAGGATCCGACTCGTGTTGGTCGTGATCTCGATCTTGTCCGTGGCGCCGGTGATGCGCCGGACAACCGAGCCGCTCGAGGGAAGCCCTTGGGCGCCGACCTCGGAGGCCAAAGCGGCTAGGGCGATCGCCAGGACGGCTTTCGCTCCGAACGAACGGGCGCGCGTCGAACGCGAGGCGGTGAGATCGTACATCCTTGTACTTTGCTGTTGCGGCGCCGCGGACGACGCCTCGGCCCGAGCCCTCCGGACCCGAGCCTCCCCCCGATTTTAGTTTGGCCGGACGTTCCCTCGTCGGCCTGCGCCTGCCGGCGCGTCGCTCGTTGTGTCTCCGCTCAGTCGTTCCCGAACTCGATCGGGAAGTCGTCTTCGTTGCCGCTGGTCACGGTCGAACCGGCGCCCGTGAAGTCGAGGCGGCCGTCGCTCGTGCGAGCGGCGGCCGGGCCGCCTCCCGTACGAGCGCCTTGGTAGGCTTCCTGCTCGCCGCGGAGCGGCGCGCCGGTCGTCCGGTCGAACTGCATCGTCGAGACCTCTTCGGCCTGGACGATCGTCATCTCAAAGGGCGGCTTCGGCTTGGCCGCTTTGCTCATGATGCCGACGAAGGACTCGAGCAGGCCCGGCCCCTTCTTGCGGGCGGCGTCGCGGTTCTGCTCGTCCTCGCGCGAGTTCGTTTCCGAACGCGTGCCGAGGATGTCCGACATGGTCACTTCCGCCACGGTGGAAGTGCTCTCGTCGTTCGGGTTCCGCGGGATCAGGCTGAGCTCGCCCAGGTTTTGGGCCAGGTCGACCTTCTGAGCCTGTTCGGGAGTGACGAGCAGCGAGACGGTCTTCGGGATCGTCTTCGACTCGTCGCCTTCGGCGGTGCGTTGCACCGCTTGCTCGATCGCGAAGACGCGGATGTTCTGCAGGATGACCTTGGTGACCGCCTCGGGCACGCCGCCACGGGCGTTGGCGGACATGAACAGTTGCACGTCGACGCGGTCGCCGGGGCTCAACAGGCCCGCGGCGCTCTTCTCGGCGTTGACCGAGATCGTCGACAGCCGGAAGCCGTCCGGGATGTTCGCGACGGGGTCGGCCGTCTCGCCGGACGCCAGGAGCTGGGCTTCGAGGATCGGCGTGCCGCTGACGATCGTCGTCCGCGGGCGACGGCCCTCGAGGTCCTCGAGCGTGGTCAGGGCGCCCTCGGGCACCTTCGTGGCGGGCCACTCTTCCAGGGCCACCATGCTCGCGTTGATCGGGTCGCCCAGGTTGATGTTGTGCAGGGCGACGTAGATCGGCGTCGTGTCGAGTTCCACCGCCGGGCGGTTGGCGTTGGCGTCCATGACACGGCTGATGCCGATCGACGCCGCCAGGCCACAGCCGAGCGCGAGAACGAGCAGGATTAACGACTTGGGTCGCATGTGGTTCCCCCCACAAAACGCCGGCGGCTGCCTCCGTGGCGAACCGACAGCTGCCCGCTGCGGAGCGGGCTTCGTCGGTTACTTCGGCACAACCCGCGTATCCGGTCCAGGAAATGTAATTGGAGCTTGCTAGCGATCGGCGGATTCGGCGACTCAGACGAGCATGCCCGTCCAGCCGAAGTACGCGATCGTCCCGATCGCGATCGGGATCCCGTACGGCAGCAGCATCATCCGCGGCTTCCGCTCGGTGGCGATCGCGGCGAGCTGGTCGGGGTCCTTCACGGTGAAGATCTCGTTGAGGATCATCCAGAACTGGCCGTGGTGCTTGTCCCACCGCTTCTGCAGCAGGACCATCACGATGGCCATCACGCCGCCCACGACGGCCGAGACCGCGAAGGCGTAAGCGGTGACGGTGCCCCAGACCCAGGCGCCGATGCCGGCCATGAGCTTCACGTCGCCGGCGCCCATGCCGCCGATGGCGTAGGCGGGCAGCAGCAGGCCGAGGCCAACCGCCGTGCCGATCAGGCTGTACGTCAGGCCTTCCCAGCCGGGGTAAGGGCTCAGCGTCGCGCTGTAGACCCAGCCGCTAGCGATCATCGGGAAGGTGATCCAGTTGGGCACCTTGAGTTGCAGGCCGTCGATCACGGCGGCCACCACGAGCGTCACCGTGACGACCCAGACGGGCCAGTTCGTGACGAGGGCATCGGCGAGTTGGGCGAAGTCGGGCATCGGTTTGCTTGGGGCTGGCGCCGGTGTTGATTGGGGAGATCGGCTCGCCGATCCGCTTGGCGGACCTGTCGAACCGACGAAACGTAGCCCGCGATCGGCGTCCCGTTCGGGCAACGCCGGGTGAGCCGAATCGCAACCCGCCTCGCCCAGACCGCACAGGGGCGACAGCCGTCACAACCCGAACCCCTTGCCCAGCCGGCGCAGCAAAAAACCGGCCGGCGCCCGGGGGCGCCGACCGGCTCGTAGGAGCTTCCAGGCTAGCAGGGCCTGGCCGCCACGGCTGCTAGATCAGCTACCGCCGCCGAGCTGACCGGCGACGCCCGTGAACGTGGCCGATGCGTTGGTGCCGACCGACTGGATCGCTGTCAGACAGACGATCACGATCAACGCCAGCATGACCGCGTACTCAACAGCCGTGGGGCCGTCTTCCGAGACGAGGAAACGTTGGACCTTCTTGGCGAAATTCTTCATAGCCGTCTCTCTCCGGATGAGGGGCTCGTCCCGGTGTGTGGGTGTTGGGATCAAAGCCCTGCTAGTGACGGGGGCGTCGGGGCCCCCGGTGGCTGGCCTCTTCGCGACCCTCGGGTTTCCCCGAGGCGAGCCCGCCGGGCGTCGCGTGTCGGCCGGTAATAACGTGGACTGCGTATCGACTCGTGAGACGCTTCCATTCGCCGGCCGCCACGCCCCCGTGAGGGCGTCACAACCGGCAGTTCCATTCGGCAGCCTGGCCGCCCCGGTGTGGGGCCCTGGGCTTTGCGCCCCCGCCTCGCGACGGGTTTGCCTTTCTCGTGGAGCAAGTACGCGGCGGGCTCTTGTAGCTCGCGATCCGCACCGGCGTCGCAACGCCAGCACGGCTAAACGCAGGGGGGAAACAGCTAGGTGGGATAAGTCTTCGTGAGGAGGGCGCCGGAGGTCGGGGGCTTCCCCGTCCTTCGGCTTCACTGGAAACCTATGTCACGTTCGGCCCGGGTCAAACGAACCGAGGAAGTTTTTCCCAGGGCGGCGAAAGGCCCCCTCTAGGCAGGCAAACACTTGCGCTGACGCCGTCGCCGCGGTGCGATACGGTAGCGGGCCGCATGACGCTCCTAAGCGAAAACAGCGACGTCCGCTCGGTCGCCGACGAGGCGATCGGCCGGCTCGTGGCGGGTCCGATCGGCGGCTACCACGCCGGCGGCGAATCGGCGTCCGAGCCGACCGCCTGGTCCGCCCTCGCCCTCGCACGGGCGGGTCAGCCCGACGCCGCCCGGCGAGCGACCGACTGGCTCGCCAACCGACAAGCCGCCGACGGCTCGGTCGGCGTCACCGAAACCGAGACCGAGCCGGGCTGGCCCACCGCGCTGGCCATGATCGCTTGGCAGGCGGTCGATCCCACGGCGTACAAGGCCCGCATCCGCGACGGCGCCAACTGGGCGCTCGCCCAAGAGCCCTGGACCACGCCGCGCCACCGCGTGACGGGACACGACACGACACTCGAGGGCTGGTCGTGGGCGCCCGAGACCCACTCGTGGCTCGAACCGACCGCCTTCTTCGCCGTCGCGCTGCGGCGTGCCGGTTACATCGATCATCCGCGTCGCAGGCAAGCCGTCGCGCTGATGGTCGATCGACTCCTGTCCGGCGGCGGCGCGAACTACGGCAACACGACCGTCCTCGGCCAAGAACTGCTTCAGCACATCCAGCCGAGCGGCATCGTCGCCTGGGCTCTATCCGAGGAGACTGTCACGGACCCCCGGCTGCCTCGAACGCTCAAGTACCTAAGCGACGCGATCACCGCGCCGACCGGAGTCGCTTCGCTCTGCTGGGCCGTTCGGGGGCTTGCCGCTTATCGGGTGGTGACCGAATCGGTCGCCGAGAAGCTCGCCGCGGCGTGGCCGCGTGTCGAGCGGTCTGAGAGCACCTACAAGACGGCGTTGTTCGCCCTCGCCGCTCAAGAGGTGCTGAGCGAAGCCACCCCGAACGCGGCGGAGCCGTCATGACCGACAACGAGCAACCGTCGCCATCGGGTGGCCTCAGCCGTCGCGCGGCGATCGCGGTCGGCGGTCTCGCCGCCGCCGGGCTGGTGACGGCCACGGCCTGGCCGCGTCGCAAGGCGCCGGTCTTCGTCGCCAAGAACCAGCGGTACGACGGCCCCCTCGTCGAAACGATCCGCGACGGCCTGACCGAAGTCGGCGTCAACGGCGACGTGCTCCAGGGCAAGCGCGTCCTGCTCAAACCGAACATGGTCGAGCCGACCCGCGCTATTCCGCACATGACCACGCACCCCGCGGTCATCCTCGCCGCGGCGGAGGTCTTCCGCGGCTGGGGCGCCGAGGTCACCGTCGGTGAGGGGCCCGGCCACGTCCGCGACACCGAGGTCGCGCTGATCGAGTCGGGCGTCGGCGAGGCGCTCGACGACGGCGGCCTGCCGTTCGCCGATCTCAACTACGAGCGGGTCGCCTTCCGCCGCAACCGCGGCCGGTTCAGCAAGCTCCGCGGCCTCTACCTGCCCGAGAGCGTCGTCGAGGCGGACCTCGTCGTCTCCATGCCGAAGATGAAGACGCACCACTGGGTCGGCATGACCGCCTCGATGAAGAACCTCTACGGCGTCATCCCCGGCATCAAGTACGGCTGGCCGAAGAACGTCCTGCACCACAACGGCATCCCCGAGACCGTCGCCGACATCAACTCCACCGTGCCGCGGGTGATCGGCATCATCGACGGCATCGAGTGCATGGAGGGCGACGGCCCGATCCTCGGCAGCCCGAAGACGATGGGCCTCGTCGCGGTCGGGGCGAGCCTGCCGGCGCTCGACGCGACGATCGCCCGCATCATGGGCCTCTTGCCTGAGCGGATCGACTACCTGCGTCTCGCGTCGCGGCGGCTCGGGCCGATCGCCAATGACCTGATCGAGCAGCGCGGCGAGCCGTGGCAGCCGCTGGTCGACCCGTTCGAGGTGCTCGACGAGCCGCACCTGCGGAAGCTCAAAGCGTTCGGCGGCGAGCGCGTCACCTGAGCGCCGCTTGTTCGAAGTGAGTGACCGAAGTCAAGCAAGCGACTTTTGTCGGGGCTGACCGAAAACGGCGCCCCCGACAGAACCCCCTGGTTTCGGCGCGCAAGTGGTTGGCTTGCTTGCGTTTGGAGTTTTGTCGGGGGTCATCCAGCCGGTTGCCTCGTTCCGTGCCGCAGCAACGAGCTGCACGACCCATTATCGCCGATCGTCCCGGGCGGCGCCGGACGTCGACGCACAAGCTCGGTCAGGCGGCGGCGCACCGTCCGTCCGCAAGCCCCGGCTTAGAACGTGGGCCCCCTGCCAGCAAAAGAGCCCTCGACGTCAGTCGGGGGAGGGCCCCTGGACCCCTTCGACTCCCCCGACTTGCGTCGGGGGAGTCGCCTTGGTCGTTCGAGTGGGCGACGCGTGTCGTCTTTCCTGGCAGTGTCTGACTGAGCTGCCGATGATCGAACCCGTGGCGATTAACTATCACTCACTGACCTTGGAGCCGTGATTCACTGCCGTTGCTGGAGGCTGTGCTTGCTGAGACGAGCGCGGGATTGAGCATCAGCTGCTAATGCCACCTATGGTCGACCTGTCTAATGCCACCTATGGTCGACCCGCCCAGCGAGCCGCCGCGACGAACACGCGATGGCTTGACGGCTCGACAGCAATGCCCGCCACTGAGAATCCATCATCTCTTGGCATGGACGGCCGTGTCGGCGCTCGAGGCGTCCTTACAGCGTGACTTCATACTCGATTTCGGCCTCCCGGCGGCATTAACCGTCATCAGCTTCAGCGGTGCGGCGACCTTCTTGGCCTTCGCGACGGCTTGGGCCTGGCGCGGTGAATGGCGTCGCTCGCCGGGGCAAGGCTTCTTGGTGTTCGCCGGAGTCTGGCTGTTTCTAACTCTCGCAGCCGAAGCGCTCTCGTGTCTTCACGGTTATCGTACCGTGGTGCTGTTCGGAGGAGACTCTCATCCGGGGTACACGCTGGCTCTGCTGTGGAATCGATTTCTAGTCGTTGCCCTTGCCGCTGTCGCGGCAACGAACACTCTGCTGTTGCCGACTCACCTCGGTGGCGAATCACCCTGCTGCTGGCTTCAATCGCTCCAATCGAGACCGCCGTCAGCACACTAGGGCGGGACCTGCTTCAGGATCCAAGAGTGCTGCCACCTCTTGCGGACGCGATGTTCAGTTTCACAGAGGTGCTGAAGCAAGCTTCTTTTCCAACCGCGGCGTTCGCTCTGCTATGGTCGGTGTTCCGCGATCGAAGCCTTGGGGTCTCCCGAGACTGGACCCACTGGTACGGGATCGCTGTGTGGTGCTGCTTCTCTACACCCCCCGTGCTGAGGGCTCTTCGTCGCCTGGCCGAGTCGTTCTACGAGTTCTGGTTTCTCGGTTAGCGGGACTCACCGGGATCGACTTTCCCATGCGTTCCCAGCCACTCAGCGTAGAAGAGCACGAGCGTCGTCGTAGGGTGGGTGCTCGCACCCACCTCTCCGCGGCGCTAGCCGAGAAGGTCGACCCCACGGACGCGGACGATCGGCTTAGCGGTCGACCCAAACGCCGCTCAACACAAGAAGGTGGGTGCGAGCACCCACCCTACCGCTCAGCTTTCCGTCTCCAAATCCACGACCCACGACGAGCCGTTCCCCAAGAGCGACGCCGCGCACCACGGGCAGGGCATCTCTTCGTCGCGGGAGTAGGTCGGCTTGCCGCTGGTGTCGGTCGTCGGCCAGGCCGAGTCGCACTCGTCGCACAGCACGACGACGCGGCGGCAGACGCCGCAGCGCCGGAGGCCGAGCGGGCCGGTTCCGCAGATGCGGCACTCGCCAACGGTGGTCATGGGTGGGGGGTCCGTTGTCAGTTGTCCGGTGACAGTAGTTGGGGGACGCCAGGGGTTGCGACGGACAACTGACGACGGCCCAGTTACCGCTTGAAAGGAAACGCAGTGATCAGTCGATCGCCTTCGACGACGAGGCGGACGTGCCGCGCCGACGGACGGCAGCGGCGGTTGCCCGATTCGCCGCCGATGTAGCCGACGCGGCGGCCGAGATCGACTTCGTAGACGGTCCGCTCGTCTTCGCGTCGTGTGCGGGTGTTCTCGCCGGCGAGCGCTTGCTCGTACGCCTCGTCGACCAGACGCACAACGGCGGCCGGGTCGTCTTCGTCGAACACGCCGTGCTGGCCGGGGCGGTCGGGGGCGTCGCGTGCGTGCGACAGGAGGTGCGCAAGCCGGTGCCCGTGCTTGCTGCCGCGTGTGTAGCGGAGCCCGGCGGGCGACCGGTAGGCGCCGCGGCCAACATCCGTGAGCACCTCCGGCAGGTCGCGGGGATCGACGGCCGTGTCGGCGTCGTCGCCTTGGGGCCGGCTGCTTGGCTTGGACGGTTTCGCCTTCGGGGTGGGGTCGGCGGGGGCGTCGATCGTCGGCAACGCGACGCCGAAGCGCGCCTCGATCGCCGGCTGGATGACCGCGGCGTACAGAAGGGCTAGCACCACCAGGCCGATCACCATCGGCGCGGACAGCTTGCCGCGGGTCGCCTGCCAGAGCCGCATGGCGATCTGGGCGAGTTGCTGCGGGTTGCGCGCCATGGGACGAAAGTTTGACAAGCGGGGGGGCTGGCCCCTAGCTTGGCTGGTGGAAGGGGGCGTGTCGATCGGGGCCGCACGTCTTGGGCCCTCCCCCCTTCTCCCGGAACCGACAAGAGCCCATTCCATGAGCTACCGCTTGTTGGCCGCCCTGATTGGCGCGGCTTGTCTCTGTGTCTCGACGTCTTACGCCGAAGTCGTCGGCTCGACCCGTGTCGGCCGCTTCACCGGCTTCGCCGGCGCCAGCACCATCTTCGCGACTCACGCGCCGGGGCGACCCGACGAGTTGTTCATCGTCGAACAGAGCGGCCGGATCGAGATCCTCAACCTGACGACGGGCAACTTCAACCCGACGCCGTTCCTGAACATCCAGGGCGCCGTCGACGACGCGGGCAACGAACAAGGCCTGCTCGGCCTCGCGTTCGACCCCGACTACGAGACGAACGGCTACTTCTACGTCAACTACACCCGCGACCCGGGCCCGGGCCGCGACCGGACGCGGATCGAGCGCTACGAGGCGGTCAACCCGACGACCGACACGGTCGTCAGCATCGGGACGGCGCACTCGATCCTCGAGTTCGAACAAGACTTCAGCAACCACAACGGCGGCTGGATCGGCTTCAGCCCGGTCGACGACCTGTTGTACATCGCCACCGGCGACGGCGGCTCCGGCGACGACCCGAACAACCGCGCGCAGCAACTCAACACGCGGCTGGGCAAGATGCTGCGAGTCGACCCGCGCGGCGACGACTTCCCTCTCGACGCGACCGAGAACTACGTCGTCCCGGCGGACAACCCGTTCGCCAACGACGGCAACGCCAACACGCTCGACTCGATCTGGTCTTACGGCTTGCGGAACCCGTATCGCTCGAGCTTCGACCGCGAGACGGGCGACCTGTGGATCGGCGACGTTGGCCAGAACGCTCGGGAAGAGATCGATCGGATCGGCCCCGAGCAAGCGCCTGCCAACTTTGGTTGGCGGCTCCGCGAGGGAGACATCGCGACGCCTTCGGGCGGCGTCGGTGGGCCGATTCCTCCGAACTACGTCGGCCCGGTCTACGACTACATCTCAAACGGCGCCGGCCTGTTCGGCGGCAACTCGGTCGTCGGTGGCTACGTATACCGTGGCCCCGACCCCGATCTCCAAGGCCGTTACTTCTTCGGCGACTCGTTCCCGTCGCAGCTCTGGTCGTTCGAGCCAGACGACCCCGACGGCACCGTGGCGAACCTCGACTCACTGCTGAACCCGTTCGGCGCGATCGGGACGCCCGTCTCGTTCGGAGAAGACGCCGCCGGCAACCTCTACATCGTCGACCGCGACGGCGACATCTACCGGATCGACACGCACGACCCGGCCGACTTCAACAACGACGGCGCCGTCGACGCGACGGACTACGGAGTCTGGTTCTCCGACTTCGGCAGCACGACGAGGCTCGCCGCTGACACCAACGGCAACGGCGTCGTCGACGCGGGCGACTACACGCTCTGGCGTGACGCGTTTGTTGCGGAGTCTTCGTCCGTGCCCGAGCCGTCTTCGCTTGGGTTGCTCGCGTTGGCGGGCTCGGCGCTCGCGGCGAGGCGCCACCCGCCGCTCGCGTAGGAGTAGACGACCGCCGCCACGCCCACGGCGAGCATCACCAGGCGGTGCGTGATCGCGGCGAAGGTGCCGTCGCCGACGGCGGCGCCCGCGTCGAGCGTCCGGTAGAGGTACTCGGCGGTCGCCTCGATCGTGCCGAGCCCGTTGGGCGAGATCGGCAGCGCGCCGGCGATCATCGCCAGCGGCACGATCTGCAGATGCGCCGCGAAGCTCGGCGCTTCGATCGGGAGCGCCTGCGCCGCGGCGTAGAACGACGTGATGAACGCGGCGTTCGCGACGAGCCCGAGCGAGAGCGCGCCGGCGAGCGCCTTAGCGCCGTTCTTGTAAGTCGCCGCCATGTCAGCAGCGCGCCGCGTCAGGCCGCCGACGATCGGAAGCCCTTCGGTCATCGACGCGACGCGTTCGCGAACCGCCGCGGGGGTCACCAGCGGTGACAACAACGCCACGAAGCAGACGACCGTCGCCGTCAGCGTGCCGCGGCTGAGCACCCGCAGCGCGGTCTCGGCTTCGGCCGAAGCCGTTCCGGTGGCGAGCACGGCGGCGCTGGCGAACAGCAGGAAGCCGAGCAAGCCGAGCAGCCGGTCGACGACGACCGTCGTCACGGCCGCGCCGCGTGAGCCGGGACGCGGCTTGGCGAGCAGGGCCGCTTTGGCGACGTCGCCGCCGATGCTGCCGAGCGCCACAAAGTTCAAGGCGAACCCGATCGCTCCGAGCCGCATCGCCTCGCCGAGGGTCATCGTGATGCCGGCCGCCTTGGCGACCAACCGCCAGCGGGCGAACGCGCAGCCGAGCGCCGCCACGATCGCCAGCCAAGCGACCACCAACGGCCCAAGCCGCGGCGGGGTCGAGGACAGCCGTTCGACGGCGTCGTGGCCCACCGCCTGCCAGAGCAGCCAGGCGATCAGCCCGAGGCCACAAGCGATTTTCAGCCCGGCGAGGAGGTGCTGTCGTCGCATCAGGACGGAGTCGGAGGGGGCGGCGGGGCGTGTCTCCCCCGCCGTGCCGTCGCGGGGAGCCGTTGACAGCGCGGGGGGAGTAAGCAACCCTATTACGCTCGGCACAGCAAGCGGCCCCTGGGCCTTGCGCCGAGCACCCGATCGGGCGGCACGACCCGCACGAACGGTCCCAAACGGGGGATTAGCTCAGTTGGGAGAGCGTCTGGCTGGCAGCCAGAAGGTCAGCGGTTCGAGCCCGCTATCCTCCACTCGGTTGTTTTGCGGGCTCCGCTTGGCTGACGCCAAGACGTCGCTGCCGCCGCGTGTTGCCGCTTCGGCGGGCTTGGCTATCACTCGACTCAGCGCCCAGCCGACGATCTATTCGACGGCGGATCGCAATGAGATCGCTCCGGTCGACTCACCCAGAAAGAGCGTCGAGTCGCTCGGCTCAACGACGAGCGGCCCCTTCCACTCGGCGGTCTTGCCACTGAACCAGTCGAAGCACCGGTCGAGCACACCACTGAGGTCGGGCGTGTTCAGGCCACTGATCGACGGGCAGAAGTACTCGGCCGGTGGCTCGAGGTTCATCGCCGCGATCGACAGCTCTTCGCCGACGCGGACGCCCCGCTCGAAGCACGCCCGGATCGACCCGATCGCCGCGGGGCAGGTCGTCGCGATCAACGCCGTCGCCTCCGTCGCTTCGCTGTCGAGCAGCTTCGACATCAGTCGGTAGGCCACGGCCGTCGGGTCGGTGAACTCGGGCGCCGGGTCGTCACGCAGCGCGCCGCCGCCCCCCTTGGCGAGCAACCATCGCCGCCAGATGTCGATGCGTCGATCGATCTCCGGGTTGCGGTTCTGCGTGTTGAGGCAGTCGATCTTGCGGTGACCGGCTTCCCACAAGTGATCGAGCACGCGCTCGATGCACGCCTCGGTGAACAGGCGGATCGAAGGAAGGCCTTCCTCGGCGAAGTCGCCGTCGAGAACGACCACTCGGTTCGAACGCAAGCGGTCCGCGACCGTCGGCGGGATCTCCGGCCCGTGCGGGATGATCAGCGTCCCCTTGGCCTGGTCCACGACGTCGAGCACCGCGTTGTCGTCCCAATGGACGAACTGACCGGGCCGGATGGAGACGCCACGCCGCGCGGCGGCTTCGGTGACGAGCGAACGGAGCTGCGTCAGATAACCGGACGGGTAGGCCGGGTAGAGCAGCACCACCTCGGCGGGCCGCGCCGCGTCGGCGAAAGCCGGGTGAACCGCCAGCCCGCCCGACTCGTCGCGGATGAGCACCTCCTCGTCGAGCAGCTCGCGCACCGCGCGCCGCGCCGTCATGTAGCTGACGCCGGTCTGCTCGGCGATCTTCCGCTCGCCCGGGATGCTGCCGACCAAGTAGTCGCCGGCGCGGATCCGTCGCTTGATGACGGACATCACCTCGGTGTATTTCGGCGCTACGGCCATGCCGCTCTCGGACTTCACTTGGTTCTTGTGACCACTTCGCCGCCGCGACGACGATTCGGGCGAATCGATTCTGACGAAAAATCGCTTGACGCCCCGATCCGTCACTTATAGCATACGTGCTATAGCCTTGTCTGTCAGCCAGCTTCTTGGGGTTTGCTCCCGTCGAGTTAGGCCTGGCTCCCTCATCGCGACTTCACCTCGGAGCGACTCATGCGATCTCTCGTCTTGTCGGCAGCCGCCGCCGCAGCGCTCGGAATGGTAGGCACGCCCTGCTCGGCCGACCTGATCCTGGTGGATTTCGGTCAGAGCAGTAACCAAACCCTCGAAGCGCCCGTCGGCGTCACGTGGAACAACATCGTTGGGACCGACGACTCGATTACCGACGCGAAGACGACCACAGGCGGTGACACGACGATCGACCTGACGATCAGCACCGACTTTACCGGCCCCGGCGCCAACGGAGGCTTGACGTCACCCAGCGCGGCGCTGCTAGGGAACATCGCCTTCTCGTCAGTGACGGCTGATTACTTGTTCTTCACGGACAACCTGACGCCTCAGATCACCCTCAGCGGCCTCGACGGGATCAGCACGTACAACCTCAGCTTCTTCGGCACGCGGGAGACGGCGGGCGACCGCCGCACCACGTACACCGTCACCGGCGGAGCCGGCGCTTTGCCCGGCCTGGAGCTTCAGACCTCCGGGACCGACATCGGCAACGACGGCATGTACGACGGTAACGACGACACGATCTTGAGCCTCGCCGGCGTCGCGCCGACGGTCGCCAACGAGATCGTCATCGACTTCTCGGCGACGGGCGGCTTCGGCTACCTCGGCGCCCTGCAAATCGAAGTCGTCGCCATCCCCGAGCCGGCGTCCGCTTGCGTCTTCGCCGGACTGTACGGCTTGGCGTTCGCTTGCAAACGTCGCCGCTGAGTCGCGCCACGCTCCGCGGAATCCTCGACCCACTCGTTCACCCCGAGCTTGTCATGGCATCCTTGCGCATCGATTCGCTACTCGTCCTCGTGGTCGCCGCCCTCGCGGCGCCGGCGAGCGCCCAGTCCGTCCTGTTCGACTTTGGCACGGACTCGACGTTCCGCGGCCTGAGCACGGTCAACCCGGACACGAATGGCTCTCACTGGAACAACATCCCGGTCGGCACCTTCGAAGTCGACCTGGTCGACATCACGAACACGCCGACGACGATTGACTTCGGCTTCAGCACGGCGGTAGCCACGGACAGCTTCAACGGCCCCGCCGGGGCGACCGGCGACGACCCGTTCGCCACGCTCGAGGACGAGGCGGACCTCGACACCGACATCGACGACGCGGCGCTCGGACTGCTGGGAGGATCGCTGCGGGCCGCGTTCGACTTCGTCGCCGGGCCCGGCGCCGGGATCGGCAGCAACCAAGTCCGCTTCGAGATCCAGCAACTCGACCCGGGCAGCAGCTACGACCTGACCTTCTTCGGCTCGCACAAGTTCAGCGCCGACTCGACCACGGTCTACTCCGTGTACACCGACGACACCTACACGACGCTGGTCGACTCCGTGTCGCTCGACGTGCAGGACCCTGACGCGGTGTTCAACCACAACCGCGACACGACCGCCACGCTGAGCGGCTTGTCGCCCCAGCTGAACGACATCCTGTACGTCGAGTTCGTCGGTTCAACCGGCGAGAACGGCTACCTGAATTCGCTGCTGCTGGTCGGGACCGCCTCGGAACTGGACGGCGACGCGAACGGCGACGGCGCCGTCGACCTCTTGGACCTCGACATCCTCGGCTCGGAGTTCGGCCAATCCGGCATGGGCCTCCAGGCCGACTTCAACGGCGACGACACCGTCGACCTCTTGGACCTCGACATCTTGGGCTCCAACTTCGGCGCTGCCGCTGGGGCGGCCTCCGTCCCGGAGCCGAACACCTGCCTCATCGCCGCGGCAACGCTGGTCGGTGCGCTCGCCACCCGCCGGCGGAACGTTGCCGACTGACACGGTGCGTTGCCCCACGATTCCAAGGAGCAGGGAGGGTCGGCGGCTCGCTACGGCGGGTCGCCGGCCGCCCGCCTGCTAAGATAAGAGAGGCCAACCGGTAGGTCAGTGAGGAGACGCGGGATGGGGCGATCGCTCAGACAGCACGGCGCGCATGTCGCCATCGGGTCGTGCGCGCTGTTGCTGACGGTTGTGTCTGAGGCGACCGCGGCCGACGTCGTGAAGACCAACCCGCTGCCGGTCTACATGCACTACATGCCTTGGTTCGAGACGCCCGACACACTGGGCGGGAACCAGTGGGGCTACCACTGGCGGTTCAACAACCAAGACCCCAACGTCGTCGACGCCACCGGCCGACGACAGATCGCGGCTCACTACTACCCGAAGATCGGGCCGTACGCCTCGCGGGACGCCGACGTCATCGAGTACCACCTGCTCCTGATGAAGTACGCCGGCGTCGACGGCGTGCTCATCGACTGGTACGGGGTGCAAGGCACGAACGGCGACATCAACCTGCTGCTCGACAGCAGCAACGCGATCGTCGACCACGTCGACGACTTCGGCCTCGACTTCGGCGTCGTGCTCGAGGACCGCTTCTCGGCCAACATCGGCCAGGCACAGGCGAACGTCGCCTACCTGCGCGACAACTACTTCAACCGCCCCGAGTACATCCGGCTCGGGCCGGACCAAGACCCGCTGCTGCCGGTCTTCGGGCCGATCACGTTCAACCAGCCGAGCGACTGGACGTCGATCCTCACGCAGGCGGGCGAGCCGGTCGACCTGCTGCCACTCTGGTACCAGGGGAGCGACGCGGGGTCCAACGCCGGCGGCGAGTACGCCTGGATCTTCGAAGACGAGCAGACCGACGACCACCTCACCCGGCAACTCGACTTCCTGCAGACCCGCGCCCAGCAGATCCAGAACTCGGGCGCAGTCGCCGGCGGAGTCGCCTACCCGGGCTTCGACGACTTCTACGTCGAGGGAGGCGTCGGCGAGGTCGTCGCGTTCGACATCCCCCACGAAGGCGGGGCGACGCTAGAAGCCGTGCTCGACCAAGTGGCCGCCAACTCGGGGAACCTCGACTTCCTGCAGCTCGCCACGTTCAACGACTTCGGCGAGGGCACGATCTTCGAGCCGACGATCGAAACCGGCTACGAGTACCTCGAGCAGGTGCAAGACTACACCGGAGTTCCCTACGGCGTTGAAGAGCTCGAGCTGGTTTATCGGCTCTACGTCGCCCGCAAGCGGTACGAGGACAACGCCCTGGCGAACCAGCTGCTCGACGGCGTCGCTTCGGCCCTGGCGGACCTCGACGTGACGCAGGCGATCAACTTGCTCGACTTCGTCGCCCCGCTGGGCGACTTCAACGGCGACGGCTTCGTCGACGCCGGCGACGAAGCCGTGTGGCGCCAGGAGTTCGGCTCTCAGACGGTCTTCCACGGCAGCGGGGCCGACGGGAACTTCGACGGCGTCGTCGACGCGAGCGACTACACCGTCTGGCGTGACAGCCTCTCGGCGTTCGACAGCACCGCGACGAGCGTGCCCGAAGTGGCCGGCGCTTCTTTAGCCGGAATCGCGGCCGCCCTCGCCGCCCAACGCGCCGCGCGGAACCGCAACGGCGAGCCGGCGTCGGATTCTAAGTCAAAGACCGAGCAGCCCTGACCTATGCGCGTCGCGTTCTCTTCACGATTCAGATCACTCGCCCTTTGCCTCGCCCTGGCGTGCGCCACAATCCCGGCGTCGGCCCAGTTCGCGAACGACATCGCCCGCTGGACCGCACAGGACGCGATCGACGCGCCCGACGAGGCCTCGATCCTCTTCGTCGGCAGCTCGAGCATCCGCCGCTGGGAGCAACTGGCGCTCGACTTCGCCGACTACAAGATCATCCAGCGCGGGTTCGGCGGCGCGTTGTTCGACGACGTCAACACCTACACCAGTGACATCGTCCTGCCGTACAACCCGCGAGCGATCGTCGTCTGGGCCGGCACCAACGACCTGGGGAGCGGATCGGACGGGCAAGAAGTCTTCGCCGACTACCAACAGTTCGTCGCGACCGTCCACGGCGCCCAGCCCGACGTCGACATCTTCTACCTCGGCATCATGCCGACCCCGGGCCGGTTCGCGAACGGCCCAGAGGAGACGATCGCCAACAACGCCATCGCCGGCGTCGCTGCCGAAGACCCGAAGCTGCACTACATCGACCTCCCCGCCGCGTTCAACGCGCTCAACCCGCCCGACGGGGAAGAGTTCCAGAACAAGTTCGTCGACAGCATCCACCTGAATCGCGACGGGTACGACCTCTGGACGAGCGTCATCCGGCCCCAGGTCGAGGCCGTCGTCGCTCCGAACAAGACGTTCGTCCCCAACCCGAACACGCCCCAGCCTGGCGAGGCGATCTTGTTCGACTTCGGGCCGAGCAATGCCGAAGACGGCGACCCGACCACGAGCCCCGACGCACGCGGCAATCACTGGAACAACTGGCATCCCGCGACCGGCGGCGTCGCCGTCAACGCCGGCGAGCGCGTGACGAACCTCGTCGACACGACCGGCGCGGCGACCGGCGTGGACCTGACGATCACGGGCGGCTTCCAGAGCAACGGCACGCTCAACGGCGGGCTGTTCGGCCCCGACGAGGCGTTGCTCGGCGACCTCGCGGTCGAGACCGCGACGCAGGACTACTTCTTCAGCACCGCCGACGGACTGCAGGGTGGCGGCAACGACGACGTGCCGGCCGGCTTCATGCTCGACGGACTCGATCCGGGCCTGACGTACGACCTCCGTTTCTTCGCGTCGCGGAGCACCACGGCGACCCGCGTGACCGAGTACGCCGTGACCGGCGCGAACACCGTGACGACGACGCTCCAGTCATCGGGGCAGAACATCGGCGCCGACGGCGCCTACGACGGCAACGACGACGAGGTCGCCCTGGTCGCCGGCATCCAGCCCGACCCGTTCGGCCAGGTGTTCGTCGACATCACGCTCGTGCAAGGCGCGTTCGCCTACGTCAACGCGTTGCAGTTAGTGGCGTCCGGCCCGCTGCTCAGCGGCGACGCGAACGGCGACGGCGTCGTCGACCTGTTGGACCTCGACATCCTGGGCGCCAACTTCGGCGCCTCGCCCGCGACGCGTGCCCAGGGTGACTTCAACGGCGACGACGTCGTCGATCTGTTGGACCTCGACATCCTGGGCGCGAACTTCGGCGCCACCGCCGAGGCGGCCGCGGTCCCCGAGGTCTCGACCGGGGCGTCGGCTCTTGGCGCCCTGACGTGGGCCCTCGTCGCCTGCCATTGGCTCACGCTGCGTTGACCGACCTGCTAGGGACTTGGCTCCTGCGTCGGTTCGATCCTTTCGAGGTTCCAAACGCCTAGGACCTCACCCGCCGGGACCTTCGTCTTGCTATCGGGCTCATCGGTGATGACGAGCTTCGCCGGCGTCACCGGGAGGTCGCCAAGGGCGAGCACGCCAATCGCGCCGCCCGAAGAGACCGCATCGAGCTGACCCGACGTGATGACCTCGCCCGGAGCGTCTTGGCCCCACACGACGAGGCGGCCACGAACCGTGCTTGGCGCGACCGGCAAGACGACGTGAAGCTCGCCCGTCAGTTCGTCGAGAAACAGCGAAAGCCGTTGCGCCGCGCCATCGGGCGTCGCTCGCAGCGTCGCCGGTCGTGTGGCCGGCGAACCGAGCAGCCGCTCGGCGTCGGCGAGCTGCTGACGCCAACGCCGCACGTCAACTTCGCTGCCAGGGTCATCGCGCAGTGTCGCCCGGAGTCCCAACGTGGCGCCGACGGCCACGGCCGCGATCGCCGCCGCAACGTACGGGGCGGCGGCGAGCCACGATCGCCGCGACGCCGGTTCAAACGCCGCCACATCGACTCGGTTCCCCTCGGCGAGACGCTCCATGAGGCCGCTCTTCAGGTCGGCGGGGGGGCGCTTGGGCGTCGACAGCTCGGCGAGCGACGCCGCCGCGTCGGCGAACGCGTCGCGCTCCGCGCGGCAGGTCGGGCAGCCTCCCGCGAGATGCTTGTCGACAACGGCGCGATCGCGCTCGTCGCACGCGTCGAGGGCGTAAGCAGGGAGCAGCTCAATGATCTCTTCGCACGTCGTCATACGTCACGCACCTTGGCCAGCGTCTCGCGGAGCGCCATCAGCCCCCGCCGGATGCGGGTCTTCACGGTGCCGATCGGCGTGTCGAGCACCTCGGCGATTTCGCGTTGCTTGAGTCCGCCGAAGTAAGCGAGCAGCAGGGGCTCGCGGTGGTCCGAGTCGAGCCGGCCGAGCGCCTCCGTGACCAACGCGCGGCGCTCGCGTTCGATCGCCTCGCCGTCCGGCGCGGTCGCTTGCTGCTTCTCAGCCCGATCGCCCTCGGCCAGGTCACGGGCCGCAGCGGTCTTGTCGGCGTAGGTCAGGCTGGCGCGCACGTGGTCGATCGCCCGGCAGCGCGCGAGCGTCAGGACGTAGGTTCGAAAGCCTCCGCGACGCGGGTCGAACCGATTGGGCTTGCGCCACACCTCGTAGAAGACGTCGGAGACGATCGCCTCGGCGTCTTGCTGTCGGCGAAGCACACGCAGCGCCAAGCCGTAAACAGCCGGCGCGTGGCGGTCGTACAACGCTCCAAGCGCCGAGCGATCGCCGCGGCTCACGCCAGCCATCAGGCGCGTGTCCTCGTCACGCGTGGAGGAACCTGGCGGGGCCTCGGCTCCGATGGCGGTTGGCGTCGTCATAGTCACGAGTCGCCCTGCCCGGGCCGCCCCTCAGATGGTCGGAGACGCCCCCGCCGTGGGGTCGAGCGCCGGAAAGACGCCTTCGGTCATCCACCGCCCGACCGGGCTGCCCGCCTCGGCGGGCTGCCTACGCAGCAAGAAGCGAAACGGGGTTGCAAACCCTTCGCGGTCGACGACCGTCACGAGTACGCTCGCGACGCCCTCCTTCTCGGCTGGCCGGCCGACCGCCCAACCCGCACAGCCGACCATCACGTCAAACGGCGGCTGCCGAACCAACCGAGCGAATCGCGGCAGCGGACCGGTCACCGCACGGTTCGTCGGAGAGGCGTGGGCAAACACCCGGGCGATCGCCTTCGGGTCCGTTGCGAAGTCTTGCAACCCACGGAGTTGAGCGTCGATGACGTCCATCGGCGAGAGACCGTCTTCTCGCCCCTCCGCGAGTTCGATCGCTTCGATCGGTCCAACGCCTGCACCGCTCTCGCTCTCATGCGTGCTGGCGAAGTAGCCGACCGCGATGCCGGACAAGGTCAGCCCGGCGTAGATCGACAAGGCTCGGATGGCGTCGCGTGTCACGGGATTGGTTGAGCTTGCCGGGATCGAACGCGTTGCCGGACAGGCCTGCCTACCGGGCCAATGTACCGTTCGGTTGCCGCAGGCGGATGGTTTCAAGAAAGCCGACCTTTTTGAATCTCGCGATTGCCGGCGGTCGTAGATCACTCGGCCAATCACGGCCAGGACCCCGCGTCAGCCCTCACGAGAAACCACGCATGCGCCCTCTCTCCATCACGCCCCTCTTGCTCGCCCTAGCGGCCGCCGCCCACGGCGCCGACCACCTCGACGCCCCGCTGGCGTCGGAAGACGGAACGCTCGACGTGAACGACCTCTACGCGTTCCAGTCGCCGACGAACCCCGACAACACCGTGCTGATCATGACCGTGAACCCCTTCGCCGGTGTGCTCAGCCCCACGATGTTCAATTCGCACGCGGAGTATGAGTTTCTCATCGACAACACGGGCGACGCCGAGCCCGACGTGACCTACACAGCGCAGTTCTTCGCGACCGGCGACCCGGGCGTGCAGCAAGCCATTGTTTCACGCGACCACAGCATCTACGCCATTGGCTCAACCGAGACCGACGTCGCCACCAACGGCGGCGGGACCTTCCGAGCGGGCCTGTTCGACGACCCGTTTTTCTTCGACCTCGCCGGCTTCCAGGACGGGCTCAACTTCACGGGCGTTGACGCCTTCGCCGGAGCGAACGTGTCGGGCATCGTCTTGGAAGTCCCCAGCTCCGAGCTCGGCGGCCCGAACGTCGGCATCTGGGCGCGCACCGTGTTCGAGGGCCACCAGGTCGACCGCGTCGGCCGACCCGCCATCAACACCGTCCTGATCCCCTCGGAGCGGAAGGACGAGTTCAACCAAGGCGAGCCGGATCACGACCCGGAGGACTTCGGCGATGACGTACGTGCGGCGATCACCGCGCTGAGCGGTGACGCGTCGTTCGCCGCCACCCTGACGGACGTCCTCTTACCCGACGTGCTGACGTTCGACACGACCAACAGCGCCGGCTTCCTCAACGGCCGACAACTCGCGGACGACGTGATCGACGCGGAACTGGAACTGCTCACCAATGGCGCGTTCACCGCGGGCGACGGCGTCGATGCGAACGACGTTCCGTTCCTAGGCGCCTTCCCGTACCTGGCGCCGCCAAACGCGGTCATTCCGGAGCCGACGGCCGTCGTCTTGACGCTAGCGGCTCTGCTGATCGGCAACGGCGTGGCGCCGCGGCGCCGCTGAGCGACCGGGGCGCCCATCGAACGACACCCGTGAGGCCCGGCGGAGCGATCCGCCGGGCCTCTTGGCGTTGTCCGCTGGGGGCGATCCGCCTTCGCGCCGGGTCGGGGATGCGGGAGACTCAGGGGCTACTCGCAGGCCAACCCGCTAAGGCGACGCCTGCCCGCTGCCCTCTGCCGACTCCGAACATGCCCAAGAACAAGCCCTCCAAGCACATCGGCCCCGCCGCCCAGAAGCCGGCCGAGCCGATGGACGTCGCGCCCGACTTCTCGCTCGACGCCCACCGCCAGACGCTCCCGCCCGAGGTCGAGGCCAACCGGCAGGCGATCATCAACTCGCCGACCTACCTGCTCGCCGAGCAGGACACGGCCTGGCTCAAAGAGTCGGAGATGCGCCCGGTCCGGATGCAGCTCGAGCTGCAGAAGACCGAGGTGCTGCTGGAGCGCGAGGGGATCAAGTCGACGGTCGTCGTCTTCGGCGGCACGCAGATCGTCCCGCAGGAAGAAGCCGAGGCGCGACTCGCCCAGGCGAAAGCCGAGCTCGACGCCAACCCCGGAGACGAGAAAGCGAAGCGGGGCATCGTCCGAGCCGAGGCGCGCCTCAAGAAGTCCCGCTTCTACAACGAGTGCCGCGACTTCGCGAAGCTCGTCTCCGGCCGTTGCCAGATCGACGGCAAGTGCGAGTACGTCGTCACCACCGGCGGCGGCCCCGGCGTCATGGAGGCCGGCAACCGCGGCGCGTTCGAGATCGGCGCCAAGTCGATCGGCCTCAACATCGAGTTGCCGCACGAGCAGGAGCCGAACCCATACATCACGCCGGAACTCTGCTTCCAGTTCCACTACTTCGCGATGCGGAAGTTCCACTTCATCCTGCGGGCCGCGGCGCTAGTGGTCTTCCCGGGAGGATTCGGCACGCTCGACGAGCTGTTCAACTGCCTCTGCCTCCGCCAGACGGGCCGGATGCAGGCGATCCCGATCATCCTGTACGGCAAGGAGTACTGGGACTCCGTCATCACGTTCCAAGCGCTGGCGGACGAGGGCGTCATCGCCGACGAGCACCTCGACCTGATCAGCTACGCCGAGTCGCCCGAAGAGGCGTGGAAGCTGATCGCCGACTTCCACGGCGTCGAGTAGCCAGGACGCCGCCGTGCTGCTCATCCTGCTGCTGCTGTTCTGCGTGCTGCCGTTTGTTGAGCTCATGCTCTTGGTGCGGCTGTGGGAGGCGATTGGCTTACTGCCAACGTTGATGATCGCGCTGGGCACCGGGGCGCTCGGGGCGACGCTCGCCCGGCAGCAGGGGCTGGCGACGCTCGCTCGGATCAGCTCGGGGCTGTCGCAAGGCGAGCCGCCGACCGACGCCCTGGTCGACGGAGCGATGATCCTGCTCGCCGGCGCCGTGCTGATCACGCCCGGCGTGCTGACCGACGCCTTCGGCTTCGCTTTGCTCGTCCCGCCGGTGCGGCAGGCCCTCAAGCCGCTGCTGCGGCTCGTCTTCCGGCGGATGATGCGTCGCGCGGGCGAGCGGGGCGCCACGGTCGTCTGGCATTCGGGCCAACCGCCCGCGGAGCGGGGCGACGTCATCGATGTCGAGGTGACCGAGGTGCGGTCCCGGGACCCGGACGCGTAGCCGCCCCCCGCCCGGCGGCCGCGGAGACGGTATCATGGGGTCGCCGCTCCAACCGATAGGCCCTCCCCGATGCCCGCCCGCCGCCGCGCCCGCGAAGTCGCCCTGCAGATCCTCTTCGAGGACGACGTGAACACGCGCGCCTCGGTCGCGGAGATGAAGGACTTCCTGCACGGCCGGCTGCGGAACCCGGAGAACGAGCGTTTCGCCGAGAGCCTGATCCTAGGAGTCCGTCGCCACCGAGAAGAGATCGACGAGCGGCTCGAGGCGATCGCCGAGAACTGGAGCCTCAAGCGGATGGCCGGCGCCGACCGCAACGTGCTCCGCCTCGCGGCGTACGAGATCCTCCACGGCGAAACGCCGTTCGCGGTCGCTGTGAACGAGGCGATCGAGCTGGCGAAGCGGTTCGGCAGCGCCCAGTCGGGCGGCTTCGTCAACGGCCTGCTCGACCGGCTGAAGCCGGACGCGAGTCCGGCGGAGCCGTGACCGCAGGCGAGCGACCGCCGACCCCGCCCGAGCTATCCGCTCCCTGACGGTCCCGCCTGCGAGTCGCGCGTCGGCCAACACCTTGGCGCTAGGCGTCCGTCGGGGTCCACTTGGGCCCATGGCCTCGATAGTTTCGCTGATTGACCACGCCGTTCTCCATCCGACCCAAACGGCGGACGACCTCCGCGCCGCGTGCGCGATGTGCCGCGAAGTCGGCGTCGCAAGCGTCTGCGTGAAGCCGTCTTACGTCGAGCTCGCGGCCGAGCTGCTCGCCGGGTCGTCGGTCGTGCCCAGCACCGTGATCGGCTTCCCGCACGGCGGCACGAGCACCACCGCCAAAGTCGAAGAGACCCTCGCCGCCTGCGACGACGGCGCGAAGGAGGTCGACATGGTGATCAACGTCGCCCGGGCGCTCGCCGGCGATTGGGACGCGGTCGCCTACGACGTCAAGGCGGTCGTCGACGCGGCCAAGACGCAGGACGTCATCACGAAGGTGATCTTCGAGACCGGCCTGCTCACCGACGACGACCAGAAGCGGAAACTCTGCGAGCTGAGCGAGGCGGCCGGCGCCGCGTTCGTGAAGACGTCCACCGGGTTCGGCTTCGTCAAAGGCGACGATGACGCCCTGAAGTCGACCGGCGCCACCGAGCACGACATCCGCCTGATGCGCGAAGCGTGCACCCCGGCCGTCGAGGTCAAAGCCTCCGGCGGCATCCGCTCCTACGCGGACGCCGTGAAGATGGTCGAAGCGGGCGCGACCCGCCTCGGCACCAGCGGCACCCAAGCCATCGCCGCCGGCGAGCAAGGCGAGTCGGCCGAATCCGAAATCCTATTGAAAGGATTCATTTTTTTCATCCCCCGACCTGTATCCAGTCTCATCCAACATGCTGCACCTCTACGACCAGATCGAAGAAGCGACCGCCAAGATCCGCAGCGTCTGGGACAAGACGCCACACGCCGGCGTGATCCTTGGCACCGGGCTGGGCAATTTTGCGGAGAACATCGCCGTCGAAGCGACGCTCGACTACGGCGACATCCCGCACTTCCCGGTCTCGACCGCCACGAGCCACCGCGGCCGCCTCGTCTTCGGAACGCTCCGCGACCTGCCGGTCATGGTCATGGAGGGCCGGTTCCACGCCTACGAGGGCTATCCGCTCGGCAAGATCACGCTGCCGGTCCGCGTGATGAAGGCGCTGGGCGCCGAGTTGATGATCGTCTCGCAGGCGGTAGGCGGCATGAACCCGCAGTACAACCCCGGCGACGTGATGCTGATCGACGATCACATCAACCTGCTGGGCGACAACCCGCTGGTTGGCGTGAACGACGACCGCCTCGGCCCGCGGTTCCCCGACATGTCGCAGCCGTACTGCTTCGAGCTGCTCGAAGCGGGCCAGGCGATCGCCCGCCGGAACGACTTCATCGTCCACCGCGGCGTCTCCGTCGCCGTGCTCGGGCCGTGCCTCGAGACGCGGGCCGAGTACCGGTTCCTCCGCGGCATCGGCGCCGACGTTGTCGGCATGTCGACCGTTCCGGAGGTGATCGTCGCCGTGCACTGCGGCCTGCGGGTGTTCGGCATGGCGGTCGTCACCGACATGTGCCTGCCCGACGCCCTGGAGGTCGCCGAGGTGGAAGAGATCATCCGCGTCGCCAACTCCGCCGAGCCGAAGCTGCGGGCGATGGTCGAGGGCATCCTCGACCACGAGGCGGAGCGCGTCGCCAGCGGCGTCGGACGCTGACATGGACGGCCTCGCCGCACAGATCGACGAAGCCGTCTCGGCAATCCGTGGGGCGATCGGCGGCCGGTCTCCGCGTGTCGGAGTGATCCTCGGCTCGGGCCTCGGCGGTCTGGCCGAACGGATCGACGACGCGGTTGCCCTGCCCTATGCGGAGCTGCCGCACTTCCCGCGATCAACCGCCGAAGGGCACGCCGGGCGGCTGCTCGTCGGCGAGCTACGCGGGACCGGCCGGACCATCGTCGCGATGCAGGGGCGATTCCACCTCTACGAAGGCTGGAACGCGCAGCAAGCGGCTTTCCCCGTCTGGGTCCTCAAGCGGCTCGGGATCGAGACGTTGGTCGTTTCCAACGCCGCGGGCGGCCTGAATCCACGATACGCCGTCGGCGACGTGATGCTGATCGACGACCACATCAACTTGATGTTCAAGAACCCACTTGTCGGCGTGAACGACGACGATCTCGGCCCGAGGTTCCCCGACATGTCGGCGCCGTACGACGCGCGGTTGCTCGACCTGGCCGAAGAGACGGCCCGCGCCGCCGGTTTCCTATGCCCGCGGGGCGTCTACGTTGGCATGCTGGGCCCGACTTACGAGACCCGCGCGGAGTACCGCATGGCCAGCACGCTCGGCGGCGACGCCGCAGGCATGTCGACGGTCCCCGAAGTGATCGCCGCCCGCCACGCCGGGATCCGGGTGCTCGGCCTCTCCACGATCACCAACGCCTGCTCCCCCGACCAACTCGGCGAGACGACGCACGACGAGGTCGTCGCCGCCGCGGCCTCGGCCGGCGAGAAGCTCCGCGTCATCGTCGAAGCCGTGGTTCAGTCAGAATGAACCACAAAGCAACGAAGCAACGAAGCAACGAAGAAAGCCCGCTTAGCGGCTCTTTGTTCCTTCGTTTCTTCGTGGTTCAATCCTCTTCATGAATGTTGCTCAACTAATCGCCGAGAAGCGTGACGGGGCGGAGCTGTCGGCCCCGCAGATCGGCGAGTTGATCGCCGCCTACGCCGCGGGCGAAGTGCCCGACTACCAGATGGCCGCCTGGGCGATGGCGGTTTTCTTGCGGGGCATGACGACGGCCGAGATCGCCGCGCTGACCGACTCGATGCTCCAATCGGGCGACGTCTTCGCCGGTTCGCCCGAAGGCGGGCCGCCGAACGTCGACAAGCACTCCTCGGGCGGAGTCGGCGACAAGGTGTCGATCCCGCTCGCCCCGGCGCTTGCCTGCTGCGGCGTCCGCGTGCCGATGATCTCCGGCCGCGGCCTCGGCGCCACGGGCGGCACGCTCGACAAGCTCGAGGCGATCCCCGGCTTCCGGGTCGACTACGACCTCGACGAGGCGCAACGCCTCGCCGACCAAGTCGGCTGCGTCATCTGCAGCGCGTCGCCGCGGCTCGTGCCGGCCGACCGCAAGCTCTACGCCCTGCGCGACGTGACCGGCACGGTGCCGAGCATCCCGCTGATCACCGCGAGCATCATGAGCAAGAAGCTCGCCGAGGGGCTCGACGCGCTGGTGCTCGACGTGAAGTGTGGCAGCGGCGCCTTCATGAAGACGCCAGACGACGCCCGGGCGCTCGCCAGGTCGCTCGTTGACACCGGCAAACGGATGGGCGTCGCGACCGCCGCCTTGGTCACCGACATGAACCAGCCGCTGGGGCGTCTCGCCGGCAACGGCGTGGAGATCGACGAGTCGGTCTCATGCGTCGAAGGGGGCGGTCCCGACGACCTGCGGACGCTTGTCGTCGAGCAAGGCGCCGAGGCGCTGACCCTGGCCGGGGTAGCGCCGAACATCGAGGAGGGGCGCCAGCGGATCGCCGCGTCGCTCGACGACGGGTCGGCGCGCGAGAAGCTCGCCGAGATGGTCCGCTCCCAGGAGGGCGACCTCGACGCCCCGCGCCCCCGCGCCGCGGAGACCACGGTCACCGCCGACCGGGCGGGCTTCGTCTCCGCGATCGACACCGAGGCGCTCGGCTACGCCGTCATCGAGTTGGGCGGCGGACGCAAGCAGCAAGGCGACCCGATCGACCCGTCGGTCGGCCTCGAGATGCTCGTGCGTCTCGGCGACCAAGTCGAAGCGGGCCAGCCCCTGGTGCGGCTGTTCGCCGGCGACCGGGGCCGAGACACGGCGATCGGGCTGTCGTCCGGCGCCATCACGATGGGCGACGAGCCGCCCGCCGAGGCGCCGCTCGTCCTAGATCGCGTCGACTGACTCGCCGCGGCCGACTACCCTGCGGGTATGGCCAAGCTGACCGACGCGAAGCGAGAAGAGCTGATCCAGGCCGCCGTGGCCGCCCGGAAGCACGCGTACGCCCCGTTCTCGGAGTTCCACGTCGGTTCGGCCGTCATCGACGCGGAGGGTCGCGTCTTCTCTGGCGTGAACGTCGAGAACAGCTCGTACGGCCTGACGATCTGCGGCGAGCGGAGCGCCGCCGTGTCGGCCGTCACCGCCGGGGCGAGGGAGCTCGTGGCGGTCGCCATCGTGACGGACGGGGCGGCGGGCCCGTGCGGCGCCTGCCGGCAGTTTCTTTACGAGTTCGAACCCGAGGCGGCGTCGATGACGGTCTTGCTTGTCGAGGCCTCCAGCGGCAAGGTACGCGACGAGACGACGCTCGCCGCGTTGCTGCCGAAGGGGTTCCGCCTCAAGCGTCCGTAGCGGCGGCCGTCGCGCCGAGCACGTCGGCGAAGAGCGCCTCGACGAACTCGTCCGGCTCGAAGGGCGCGAGGTCCTCGTGGCCCTCGCCCAGGCCGACGTACTTCACGGGCAGCCCCATCTGCTGGCGGATCGAGACGACGACGCCGCCCTTCGCCGTGCCGTCAAGCTTCGCCAAGACGATGCCGGTGCAGCCGGCCGCCTCGGCGAATTTGCTCGCCTGGCTGACGCCGTTCTGGCCGGTGGTCGCGTCGAGCACGAGCAGCACCTCGTGCGGCGCGCCATCGAGCGGCTTCTGGATCGCGCCGCGGATCTTCGTCAGCTCGGCCATCAGGTCGGACTGGGTCTGCAGCCGGCCCGCCGTGTCGACGATCGCCACGTCCACGCTCTCGGCGACGGCGCGCTCGACGGTCTGGTACCCGACCGTCGCCGGGTGCGTCCCCTGGGGCGCGGTGACGATGCCGCAGCCGAGGCGTTCGGCCCAGATGGTGAGCTGCTCGACCGCCGCGGCGCGGAACGTGTCGCCGGCGCCGAGAAGCACGGTCTTGCCCTCGCTCTTGAACTGGCTCGCCAGCTTCGCGATGGAGGTCGTCTTCCCCGCGCCGTTGACGCCGCAAACCATGACGATAGTCGGGCCCAACGAGGCGTACTCGATCGGCGTGACCGGCTGCGCCATCAGATCCTTGAGCTTCGCCTTGAGGACTTCGACGATCTCCTCGAGCTGCACGACGCGGCCGCGGAGCTTCGTGGCGATCTCCTCGACCAAAGCCTCGGTCGAGTCGTACCCCATGTCGGTGCGGAACAGGATGCCGCGCGCTTCTTCGAGGAAGTCGTCGTCGACCAGCCGCCCCTCGCTCTTGAATAGGTCGCGGATGTCGGTCTTCAGCAGCGAGCCGGTCTTCTTGAGACCCTGCTTGAGGCGGTTGAAGAAACCCATGGGGGAGGCTTGAGGCGACAGGCTTGAGGAAGGGGCAGCGGACGAACGCTAGATTCTCAAGCAGTCGGCCTGGGTCCTCAAGGCTCCGAGACCGAACAGCCCCGACCAAGCTTGGTCGGGGCTACGCGCCATAGTCTGACGGCGCCATGCACGACCTAGCTCCGGGCCGAACAAGCCGAAATCACTCGACCAGCCCGGTTAGGTCTTGGCGCCAGCCAAGCCGAGGCCATGGAAACCCGCTCAGCGAGGTCTCGGCGTTAGCCGAGCCGAGCAAGCCAATCAACCGAGTGCCGCCGAGAGGAGTCGAACCTCCACGCCCTTGCGGGCACATGGACCTGAACCATGCGCGTCTGCCAATTCCGCCACGGCGGCATAGGTCCCTTCCTCGCTCCGCCGGGGCGAAACGAGCTACGTATCGTGCCAGCCCCGCCCCAACGCCGCAAGGGCTGATGACCAACGGCCTCGCCGCGGTGTTCGCGCGACATGCCGGCCGGCGGGTCAGTAGCGGGGCAGAGAGTCGTCAACCTCGGCGGCCCAGGCGTCGACGCCGCCGGCCAGGCTCTGGGCCCCGGGCAAGCCGTTCTCACGCAGCCACTGGGCCGTCTGGGCGCTCCGCATCCCGTGATGGCAGTAGACAACCACGTCGCCTTCCAGACCCGCCAGGTCGCTAACGGCGGCCGGAACCTGCCCCATCGGGAGCAGCCGCGCGCCGGCGATCTTGACGATGGCGTGCTCGGCCGGCTCCCGGCAGTCGACCAGCTCGATCGCCTCGCCGGCGTCGAGCCGCGCTTTCAACTCGGAACAGCTAACCTCTAGCGGTTTCTCGTCCATGGGCCCCTTCTTCGGCTTCCTCAGCGCAAGAAAAACGCTGGGGCGACGTGCGCCGCCCCAGCGTTCGTAAGCACTATCCAACCGTCACACGCGAACGAGCAAGCCCCTTACAGGCTCGACTCGTCGACCGGCTCACGGCCGTTGCGGGTGATCAGGTGCATGTAGATGGCGCCGTCGACGTCTTCTTTGACGGCGCTGGAGTGGCCGTCGCCCCAGGCGTGCAGGGCGACGCCTGGGTGAAGCGAGCTGGGTCCCCAGCGACGCTCGCCCGGGTTCGCGGCGTTCGACTCGGCGGTGTTGCCGTGCGGCCACTGGATGCCTGGCGTGTTGTTCAACCCGGCCTGGTCGCCCATGTAGTAGCGAGCCTGCTCGATCGGGGTGCTCTTGTTCGAGCCCTGGTTGATGGCCACCTCGGCGATGTTGTTGCCGAAGGTCCACGAGTTGAGCGGGCCGTCGAAGCTGCCGTCGTTGGCGATCGGCGCCTGGTTGCCGTTTTGACGGTTGGGCCAGATGCCGACGACGTACGCGGACACACCGCTGTACCACGAAGACCAGCCCTGTTCGCGAGACTCGGTGAAGACGAGCGTCTTCGCCGTGCCGTCGGTCATGCTCCGGAAGGCGTAGCCCTTCTTCGTGACTCTGTTGTTCACCGCGCCGGGGAACGCCAGCACGCCGTTGCCGCAGTAGGCGCCGGTGTTGCAATCGTCGTCGATGGAGCCGGCGTTGTTGCTCGGCGGGGAGCTCGCAAGCGACGTGGGCGCTCCGCCGCTGCCGCCGTAGTGCGTCGAAGGCAGGGCGACGTAGTTGCCCGTCGCCAACGTCGCGCCGCCGTAGGTCCCGTTCATGATGTTGCCGGCCGTCGCGTCGCCGTCGAAGCTCGGGCAGCGGAACGGCTCGATCTGCGTCTCCCAGAAGTACGGGTTCTGGCGGCTGGCGGCGGTTGCCCCGTTGTCAGCCGAAAGCGTGTTGTCCAGGTTGAACGCGTCGGCGGTGAACTTGCGTGTCTGCTGCTGCATCCGATCGTACAGCGTGTTCTCTTCGACGAACGGCAGCAGTTGCACGATCCAGCTGTAACCGTCGGCGAGGATTGTGTCGTCGTCCCCGTTAGTCCGGTTCGTCTGCGCGTCGTCGGCGTTACGATTGCCCGTGTAGGCGCCCGCAACGTTCCCCAGTTCGTTCGTGAAGAACGGCCGGGTCGACGCCAGCGGGAAGTAGAGCCGCACGTCGTGGTGGTTGTGCAACGCCAAAGCGAGCTGCTTGGTGTTGTTCAAGCACGAGTTGCGACGGGCCGCTTCACGGGCGGCCTGAACGGCTGGCAGCAGCAGCGCCACCAGGATGCCGATGATGGCGATCACCACCAGCAGCTCCACGAGGGTAAAACCTCGTGGCGAACGCGTGGGCGTTCTCATGGGAAACCTCCGGATAGTAAGAGAGAAAAAAGAAAATAAGATCGCCGCCCGATCGGGCGGATAGACCTCAAGATCAGTCGATCGGCCTGGCCAGCGGCCCCACGATGGGATCGCTCGGCGGATCTCTTATTCCGCTAAGACTTTAGCTCGCGGGCGTGGCAATTGTCAACGACCTGGCGCGGCTGGCGGGGTCGGTTCCTCCGGGCGTAAAGCGTTACACTGTAAGCGGTTCCGCCTCACAAGGCAGGCGTGTGCGGTTAGCGTGGCGCCTCGTGCGCAAACAGCGGCATCCGCCACGAGCCGCCCCGCCTTCCTCGGCCCGATTCGCGCCCGTTCGACCTCATGGCCCCTCCCGAGACGCCGATAGCACCGCTCACCGTCGTGGAGGGGCCCCCGGCGGAGCGGTTGGCGGCGCTGCGGAAACTAGCCTGTCACGCACGAGCCGGTGCCGCTCAGCCCGCCAGAAGCGATGTCTGGTGGCTGGCTTCCTCGCCCGCGGCAGCCTCTGCCGTCCGCGAGGCGATTGTCGGTGACAAGCCGAGCGGGGTCCTCGATCCCGCGGTCCTGACGGTACGCCAAGCCGCGGAGCGGCTCATGGTGAACTCCCGAAGGCTGCGGCTCGGCCCTGCCGCGCGCCGCGCGCTCGTGGGGGAGATCGCCGACCGGGCGCGTCACCGCGACGCCCTCGGGCCGCTCGAGTCGCTCGTTGAGACGCCCGGCATGGCGTCGTACCTCGCCTCGCGATTCCGCGCGTTGCGTCGAGAAGGCGTTGGCCCCCAGCAAGCCGGCGCTACTCTGCGCCGTGCGGATGGGGAACGTGTCGGGCCGGTGCTGGCGCGGCTCTACCGCGACTACCTGGCGGCGCTCGACCGCTACGAGCTGCTCGACGACGAGGGCGTCGTCCTCGAAGCGACGACGCGAGTCAACGACGGGAGCTTAGCGCTCCGCCATCTGCTCATCGACCTTCCACTGGGCGCCGCACCGATCGACGCCGCGTTCGTGCGCTCGCTTGCGAGGGCGGCCAAGAACGTAACGATCGCTGCCTGCGATGCTTCGGCTGAAGCGGCGACCGCGCCTTGGCGTCAGTTTGTCGGACCTTCCACGAAGAACTTCGAGCGAGTTGGCGCCGGCGACCCGTCGCCTTCGCTTCCCGCCGGATTGCAGACGATCCGCGTGGGGCTGTTCGACGAAACCGCGCCGCCGAGTTCTGAGGCGAGTGGCGTCGCCGTCGTCGCCGGCGAGAGCAAGCAAGACACCGCCCGCCGCGTCGCCCGCCGTGTGAAGCGACTGCTAGTCCAGGAACCCGCAAAGGCCAACGACGTTGTCATCGCCGCGCCTCGCTTGGAGGCGGCCGCCCCGCGCTACGCCGAGGCGCTCGCCGAGGTTGGCGTGCCGGTCACCGTGGACTCCGCGCCGCGGCTTGGGGAGGCGCCGCTCGTCTCGGCGGCGATCGACCTGCTGACCGTCGCCGAGACCGACTGGCGTTTCGACGACCTGCTTCGCCTCATCGGCCGGACCGATCTCAGGGCCCTGTCGGCTGCCAGCCCCGCGCCCCGTTTCGCGTCAATCCGCGCCGGCGCCGAGTGGTTTGTTCGCGCCGTGAAAGCGCCTTCGGGGGCTCGCTACCTTAGGCAGCACGCCGAGCAGCTCGCCGGGCGCGAGACCGCCGATCGCAGCGACACCGTCCGCCGCCTCCGCGACGCGGCGTTCGCTGCGACATCGGCTTTCGATCGGCTCCATAACGCGATCGACGCGTTGCCGAAGACGGCCACGCCACTCGGTTGGGTCGACGCCGTCGATGTCGCCTTGCAGCGGCTTGGACGCGCGGGTTTCAGCGGTTCACCCGACGCCGCAGACCGCCGAGCCGCGGACGCCTTGGAAGAAGCCGCCGCCGCGTTGGAGTCTTTGGCGCGATGGCGGGGTCGCGAACCGGCCGAACTCGACCTGCGTGGCTTCCTCGCCTTGCTGCGGGGCTGGTCCGCCTCGCTGCGACTGCCACGAGAAACGAGCGCGGCGCCGGGCGTCCGGATCGTCGGCGTCGAAACGGCGGTCGGCCTGCCGTGCCGCCACCTCTACGTCGTCGGCGCCGACGAGGCGTCGTTCGCCTCGGCGAGCGGCGAGGCTGAGCACGCGATGCTCCCCTTCAAGGAGCTTGTGTCGCGACCGTCGGAGAGCCTGACGCTTGCTTACGCGGCGCTCGACGAGAAGGCGCAGCCGCTGTCACCGTCGCCGCTTGTCGCCGACGTCGAGCGTCGCTTCACGCCCGGCGCGACGCAGGTCGAAGACGATCCGCTGCACGCGGGCCTCGACACCGATCGCCCGCCCGCTTCGCAACGCGACTGGCGGCTGCAGGCGTCGCTGCACGCGAGCACGGGCCACAGCGAAACCCTGAGCGACTACGGCGCCAAGCACGGAAGAGCCTTGCTCGAAGGCCTCGTGGCGGTCGACGCCCGCGCTCGAGGCGAGACGTTCGGGCCCTGGGAAGGGGTGCTCGAAGGCGGCGGAGCGAACGAGACACTCGGCGAACGCTTCGGCGCCGACCACCTCTGGAGCGCGAGTCAGCTCGAGTTGATGGCGAGCTGCCCCTTCAAGTTCTTCGCAACGCACTTGCTGCGGCTCTCGCCGGCCGAGGGCCTCGCGCTCGACACGGACCCGCGGCGTCGCGGTTCGCTGGTGCACGACGCCTTGGCCGCGTGCCACGCCACCATCGCTGCGGAGCTGCCCGCGGGTGAGCGCGTTGGCGACCTGCCATCGGACGAGCTGACTCGGCGTTTGACCGAAGCGATCAACCGCCTGGCCGACTCGGGCCGGCTCCCGTCGCACGAAGCGGCGTTGGCGAAGATCGAAGCCCGGCAGGCTTCGCAGTGGGCCGAGGCGTACGCGGGGCAACAGCACGCCTTCGAGTCGGACACGCGCTGGCGCGAGACGCCGCTGCGGCCCCAACTGCTGGAGGCGCGCTTCGGCCCGGCGAGCGGCGATGGCAGCGGCGACGACCCGGCGAGCACCGACGAGCCGTTCGAGCTGAAGCTCCCCGGCGGCGAGGTGCTGCGGCTCACCGGGCGGATCGACCGCGTCGACGCGGCGCCGATCGGCGACGAGACGCTCTTCGCGATCGTCGACTACAAGACCGCCAAACGAGTCGTCGCCAAAGCAGACGACTTCCAAGCGGGTCGTCAGCTCCAGCCGATTCTCTACGCGTTAGCCGCCCAGCAGCTCTTCTTTGACGGCGCGGCGACGCCCGTCGCCGCCGGCTACTGGGGCGTCCGCGAGCAAGGCTTCATCGCGCCAAAGAAACTGCGGCTGGCGACGGTCGAGGACGGCGTCGTTGAGCCGACCGCCGAGTGGCTCGACGCCGTCGAGGCGGCCCGTCGGCACGCGCAAGAGTTGGTCGCCGAAGTCCGCGGCGGGCAGTTCCCGATGTCGAACCCCGACGAAGACTGCGGCAAGAGCTGCGACTTCGCCAAGATCTGCCGCGTCGGCCAAGCCCGCAGCCTCGGCAAACTGCCAGCGGCCGACGCCTCCCCGAACCCGTAGCCGACAAACTGCCCGCCCTTCGATACACCGACGAACAACGCGCCGCACTGACGACGCGTGACGTGAACGTCGCCGTCGACGCCGGCGCCGGCTGCGGCAAGACGTTCGTCCTGACCGAGCGGTACCTGTCGCACCTCGATCCCGACGGCGGCGACACGGCGCCGGCCGAGTTGGACGAGGTCGTCGCGATCACGTTCACAGACGCTGCCGCCCGCGAGATGCGGGACCGCATCCGTTCCAAGTGCCGTGAACGAATCGAACAGGCCGACGGCGACCGGGCGGACTTCTGGCGCGGGCTGCTGCGCCGCATCGAGGCGGCTCGCGTTTCGACGATCCACGCTTTCGCCAGCGGCCTGATCCGCGAACACGCCGTCGAGCTGGGCGTCGACCCTGGCTTCACGGTGCTCGACCCGGCCGATGCCGCGGTGCTGAAGTCCGAAGCGGTCGACGCCGAGCTGCGGGATCGCCTCACGCCGAAAGACGGTTCCATCGACGAGCGCCTCGTCGTCGCCGCCGCGGAGCTCGACCTGCGAGCGCTGCGGGCTGCGGTGCGTGAGCTGGCGGATCGCGCCGACCATCCCGACTTCGGGGCGTGGCGGAAGCGGACGCCGGACGACGCCGTCGACGCGTGGCGTGCGTTCTACCGCCAGCGGATCGCCCCGCGGTACGCCGCCGAGTTGCTCGAAGACGAAGCGATCGACGAGCTGCTAAGGCTTATCCCGCAAGCCACGCCGCAGAAGCCGGGCTTCGCCGAGCGGCTCGCCGACTTGGCGGTCGAGCTGCGTGGCTTGCCGGAGGACGACGATCCGGACGCGGCGCTGAAGCGACTCCAGCCGCTGCTCGCCTTCAGGTTGCCGGAAGGGGGCAACGCCTGCGGCGACAAGGACTGGCCAACCGCCGACGACAAGAAGCGGTTCGTGGCGCTGCTCAAGACGCTGCGGACGCGACTCGAGAAGCAACGCCGAGCCGGCGACCCCGAATCGATGCGCCACGCCGCTGAGCTGAGCGGCCTGGTCCACGAGCTGGCGGCCGGCGCCGCAAAGCGCGGCCGCGAACTGAAGCGGTTACGGGGCGTCCTCGACCACGACGACCTGCTCGTCGAAGCGCACCGGCTGCTAACCGATCCTGCGCTAGCCGACGCGCGGTCACGCGTGGCCGATCGGGCCCGGATCATCCTGGTGGACGAGTTCCAAGACACCGACCGCTTGCAATCGTCGCTCGTCCAAGCGATCGCCGCCGAGAAGCAAAGCGATGACGGCGGCCGGCTCTTCTTCGTCGGCGACTTCAAGCAGTCGATCTACCGCTTCCGCGGCGCCGAGCCGGAAGTCTTCCGAGACTTGCAAGACGCCACGCCCGAGCGGGGCCAATTGACGCTGTCGCAGAACTTCCGCAGCACGCCCGCGGTGCTCGACTTCGTCAACGCGGCGTTCGCCCCCTTGTTCGGCGAGCGGTACACGCCGCTCCGAGCGGCGCGAAGGGACCTCGTCGAGGCCCCGGCTGTCGAGGCGATCTGGACCCCGCCCCCCGAAGCCGAAGGCGGCCGCGACAAGCCGTCGGTCGGCCAGTCCCGCCGCGCCGAGGCGCGGTCGATCGCCAGCCGCCTCCGCGAGCTGATCGACGGCGGCGAGCCGGTCGTCGGCGAGGGAGATCGGCTCCGCCCCGCTCGCCCGGGCGACGTCGCCCTCCTCTTCCGAGCCCTCAGCGACGTCGCCCTCTACGAAGACGCGCTACGCGAAGCGGGCCTCGACTACTACCTCGTCGGCGGCCAGGCGTTCTACGCCCAGCAAGAGGTCTACGACGTCGTCAACCTCCTCCGCGCCGTGACGAGCGAGTGCGACGACGTCGCGCTCGCCGGCGCGCTGCGGAGCCCAGTCTTCGGCCTGCCGGACGAGGCGCTCTTTTGGCTTGCCCGCAACGCGAGCCTCAACACGGGGCTCCTGGCGCGGCAGTTTGTCGATGAGATGCCCGCCTCGATGCGTTCGGCGTGCGTGCGCGCCCGCGACACGCTGCGATCGTTGCGCGAGGCGAAAGACCGGGTCAGCGCCTCCGAGCTGCTGCGGATGGCGTGGGACGCAACGGCTTACGACGCGACCCTGTGCGCCGAGTTCCTCGGCGAACGGAAGCTCGCCAACCTGGAGAAGCTCCACGAGCAGGCCCGCGAAGCGGACGCCTCGGGCAGCGGCCTGCCGGGCCTCGTCGCGCGGCTCACCGAGTTCCTCGGCCAGCCGCTCAAAGAAGCGCTCGCCGCCACCAACAGCCTCGACGCCAGCGTCGTCCGGCTGATGACGGTCCACGCGTCGAAAGGGCTCGAGTTCCCGATCGTCGTGCTGCCCGACCTGAACCGGAAGCCGCGTCTGCAGCGGACGCAGGCGGCGTTCGACCCGGAGCTCGGCCCGCTGGTCCGCCCCGCCGACACGCCAGGCGGCGACAAAGCCCCGCCGACGGGAGTCGACCTCTACGACGCCGCCGAGCGGTACGCCGAGGCGGACGAGCAGGTCCGGCTGTTCTACGTCGCCTGCACGCGTGCGGCCGACAAGCTGATCCTGTCGAGCTGCCTCGACCCGGCGGAGAAGCTCGACGGCGTCTGGCTCCAACGACTGGCCGAGACGTTCGACCTCGCGACGGGCGACCCGCTCAACGGTCCGCGAGAACGACGCCTGATGCGAGTCGTGCCGCCACCCGCGCCGGTATTGCAGCCCAAGTCGAAGACGCGCCGCTCGCTCGGCAAGGCCCTCGAAGCGGTAAGCACCAACGCCGCAGCCCGGGAGCCCGCTTTGGTGGCGCCGATCGTCGTCGCGCCCGACGAGGTCACCGACTTCTCAGTTTCGCGCCTGAGCGGCCGACTGCATCGCGCCGAGGATGCCGAGCCGTTCCCGCGCCCAGATCCAGACACGGAAGCTGGTCAAGTCGACCCACGGCGATTGGGGACGCTCGTCCACGCGGTGATCGAGCGACTGAGCCTCCAACCCGATCGGTCCGAGATCGAGGATTGGGTCGCGACGCTCACCCCCCGACATCTCCGCCGCATGCCAGCGGAGGGGGCGGCCGAGGCGAACAAGCTCGTTCGGGCGTTCGTCGCGACGCCGACCTGGCAGGCGATGCGGGAGGCCAGGCGGATGGAGCGCGAGGTGGAGTTCGTCCTCCGCTGGGCGCCCGGCGGCGTGGAGCCGGCGACGCTGCGTGGCTATCTCGACGCGGTCTACCAAGACGCCTCGGGCGACTGGCATGTTGTCGACTACAAAACGAACCAGACCACCGCCGCCGGCGTCCCCAAGTTGGCGAAGCAATACGAGTTGCAGATGATGGTCTACGCCCACGCGGTCGAAGCGAGCCTCGGCGTGCGGCCCGAGTCTCTGTCGCTGCTCTTCCTGAAGCCGGGCGTCGAGCACGCGATCGCCTGGGACGACGAGACCCGCCAACGCTCAGTCGAAACGATCAACGCCGCCATCAACGAGGCCCGCTCCGCCACCCTGGGTGACCCGTCGTGAGCAACCCGTCGACCGACCCGAGCGCCCAACGCGACTTCGCCGTCGAAGTCGTGCGCCGATTGCGCGGCGAGGGTTGTCACGCGCTTTGGGCCGGCGGCTGCGTGCGTGACCAGTTGCTCGGCAAGACACCGAAGGACTACGACGTCGCCACCGACGCCACGCCCGACCGGGTCCGCGAGGTCTTCGGCAAACGCCGCACGATCGCCGTCGGCGCCGCGTTCGGCGTGATCACCGTGCTGGGGTCGAAGCGCTCGGGGCCGATCGAAGTCGCCACGTTCCGCAGCGACGGCGGCTACTCCGACGGCCGGCGCCCCGACGCCGTGCGGTTCACCACCGCCGAAGAAGACGCGTCCCGCCGCGACTTCACGATCAACGGGTTGTTCTACGACCCGGTCGAGGACGAGGTGATCGACTATGTCGGCGGACGCGACGACCTTGAGGCCCAGGTCGTCCGGGCGATCGGCGTCGCCGACGAGCGGTTCGCGGAAGACCGGCTGCGGATGCTGCGGGCGGTTCGGTTCGCGGCCGCGTTAGGCTTCCGGCTCGACGGCGACACGGCGGACGCGATCCGTCGGCACGCAGACGCCATCGGCCAGGTGAGCCCCGAGCGGATCGGCGCCGAAGTGAAGCGGATGCTGACCGAGTCCGACCCGCCGCGCGCGTTGCGACTGCTGGAGGAGACCGGCTTGCTGCGCAGCGTGCTTCCCCCGTTGGCGGAAGCTGACGAGACGTTGCTTCGCGCCGCGTGCGATCGCCTCGGCAAGCTCTCGGGGCCGTCGCCGTCGCTCGGACTGGCGGCGACGGTGCTCGACGCGGTCGACGACGCCGGCGCCCGAGCGCTCTGTCGCGGACTGAAGTGGACGAACAAGGAGGGCGACCTGGCCGGATGGCTCGTCGCGAACGCGGCGGCGCTCGACGGCGCGGACACGCGGCCGTGGTCGGAGGTCCAGCCGCTGCTGGCGGCCGAAGGCGGAGCGGAACTGGTCCGCTTGCGTCGTGCGATCCGCAGCGACGACGAGGCGCAGCGATTCTGCGACGAGCGCGTCGGCTGGCCGGCCGAACGGCTGGACCCGCCGCCGCTGGTCGTCGGCGCTGATCTGATCGCGGCGGGCCTCAAGCCGGGGCCGCGCTTCGCGGGGCTGCTCGCCGAAGCGCGTGCGGCGCAGCTTGACGGGCTTGTCGCGGACAAGGCGTCGGCTCTTCAGCGCCTTGGCGTCGTCACACCGTGATCGGCTCGCTAGCCCCGACCAAGCTTGGTCGGGGCTGTGGCGGCGTGCGTCGATTGCGGCCCCGTGGACGCGCGCGGCGTCGCCGCCTACGATCCCGGTGTCGCCCCCTCGCAACGTCTTGGCACAGGAAGCACCCTTGGAATCCCTCCTCTTCGCCGCCGCGGAACCGAACTTCGACGCGGGCTACCTCATCGCCTTGCTGTCGCGCGTCGCACACACGACCTGCGGTGCGACGCTGCTGGGCGGGCTGATCTACCTGCGGTTCGTGCTCGCCCCCAGCGCAGCCGGCGCCGACGACAGGGACGAAAAGCTCTTCGCCTCGCGGCGGAAGTCGTGGGCCGCTTGCGTCGCGGTCTGCACCCTGCTGCTACTCGTCTCCGGGTTCTACAACTTCTTCACCTTCAACGCCGCCTACGGCAACCTGCCAAAGCTCTACCACCCGCTCTTCGGCGTGAAGTTCTTGCTCGCCCTGGCCGTGATGTTCATCGCGGCGTTCCTCGCCGGAAAGAGGAAGGTCGCCGAGCGGATGCGTGGCAAGCTGAAGTTCTGGCTGAACGTGGCGATCGTCCTGGCGTTGGCGGTCTTCGTCCTGGGCGCGATGCTCCGCTCGTTCCGCGACCTGCCGGACGCACGCGTCGCGGCGCCGCAGGTCGACGAGGCCCCGGCGTTTGACGACTCCCTGATCGAAACTCTCGAGTAACGGCGATGGACAAGAAGGCGAAGAAGCGCGTCGAGGTGATCCGTAAGAAGCTCGAGTCGCTGCAGCAGCAGCTCAACGGCGCGAAGCAGCAGATGGACGACCCGGACGAGGTCACCCAGCTCGAGACGGAGATCGCGAAGCTCAAGACCGAGATGGCGGAACTGAAGGCGTCGTAACGGCGCGCCGTTCCCGGCGCTGACGCTGCTGGCTAGCCAGCCGATGCGCGGCCAACCGCGAGCGTCAGCGACCGGATCTCCCCCAAGCGGCTCACCCCGCCTGGCGCTGCGACACGCGGACCTCTTCGGCCGGCGCCGTCTCGCCGGTGGGCGTGTAGACACCCGGCTCGTCGCGGCCGTCGCCGTCCCAGTCGCCGACGATCGGCTCGCCGGTCGGCGTCGTCTGATCGCGGGCGAACGCCTCGTCCATCGCTTCGAGCTCGCCGTCGCCGTCGAGGTCGGTGAGCCACTCGCCGCCGCGATAGACGCCCAGGTCGTCGACGCCGTCGCCGTCGAAGTCGCCCACGACCGGCTTGTCCCCGGGCTGGCCGAGCACGACCTGTCGATCGGTCGTTTCCAGACGGCCGTCGCCGTCCGTGTCGAGCGTCCAGAGGCCGTCGCGGAAGACGCCGATCGTCCGCAGGCCGTCGCCGTTCCAGTCGCCCGCCACCGGGGCGTCGCCCGGGGCGCCGTAGTGGAAGACGTGGTCGATGAGGTCGGCGCGTCGAGCGAACTGCTTGATCGCCTGCGTCGGCTGCCGCATCAGTCGGGCGCCGAGGGTCGCCTCTTCTTCGATTGGCGGCATGTTCTTCAGTTTCGGCTCGCCGTCCTCGTCCTCGAGGTTCGTCGGCCAGTTGGCGACGTCGGGGATGCCCGGCTCGTGGCGAATCGCGTGCGGGTCGCGTGCCCACGCCGGGCCGTAGATGCCGATGTCGGTCTTGCCGTCGCCGTCCCAGTCGCCGGTCACCGGCAGGTCCTCGCCCGTGCCGAGCTTGGCCCACAGGTCGTCGCGGTCCCAGCGGCCGTTGCCGTTGAGGTCGAGGTACCAATCGCCGTTGAGGAAGACGCCGATGTCGGTGACGCCGTCGCCGTCCCAGTCGCCCGCGACCGGGATCGCCGCATCGATGCCGAACAGCAACTCGCTGAGATCGGCGCCCTCGACGTCGCTCGCCAAGAGCAACCAGCGAGCGCGACGCAGCTCCTCTTCGTCGCGGTCGGCGCCGTCCCACTCGTCGGACGCCTCCGACTGCGAGGTCAGCAGCATCCGCGCTTCGTTCTCAGTCACCGCGCGTGGCTGACCGCCGTTGATGACGCTCAGGTGCCAGGTGTAACCACCGACCGGGTCGGACCCGCCGAAGCCTTCGGGCAGCGGGTCGTCGAGGATCGTCAGCGGGAAGAGCGCCGGAGGCGGCCCCGGTGTGATGGCCGTCGGCGGAACGAACGGCGGCAGCGGCGGGTCTTCGGGCGTCGGCGGGATGAGCGGCGTCGTCCGCACCTCGCTGAAGTTGTTCTCGACCGAGAACTCGCCAACTCCCAGCGGGATGTTGAACAGCACGTCGTTGCCGAACCGCTCTTCGAAGCGGCGGATCGGAATCGTGTCGGGATCGCCCGGGTTGACCGCCACGCCGCCGGTCGAGCCGGGCGTGTCGACGCCGTCCGCGAGCCCGGTCGGGCCGATCTCCACCACGGCGTACGAACCGCTGGGCAGGCCGTTGAACTCGTAGTAGCCCCGCGCGTCGGTCAGCACCTCGAAGACGCCGTCTTCGTAGTAACCGGGCAGCACCTCGATGCCGGCGAATCCTTCCGGCACGTCCTCGAAGCTCTCGCCGGGGCCGACGCGGTAGAACGGGTTGCCCGTCGCGCCGTTGACCAGTCGCACGACGACCCCGGCCAGGGGCGTGTCGTCGCTCGTCCGGACGCCGTCGCGGAGCGGCGAGACGTCTTCGGGCAGGGTCTGACCCGCGGCGAGCACGATCGGCGCGCCGTCGATGAACACATAACCCGCGAGCGCCGACGGGGGCGTCTCGCAGAAGTGGTAGCCGCGGACGTCCTCGGCCGAACCGACGTTGATGCCGGTGAACAAGTCGTCCGAGACGCCGCCGCCTTTCTCGCCGACGATCTCACCGCCGTCGAAGTAACCTTCGGGCTGGATCTCCCGGACGCCGTACTTGCCGGGCGGCAGGTTGTCGAACAGGTAGCGGCCGTCCGCGTCGGTCGTCGTCGTACGGATCACGGCGCCCGACTCGTCGAGCAGCTCGATCGTCACGCCGGCGATCGGCATCGCGTTGGGGTCGTCGATGCAGTCCGGCTCGGTCGACGAGTGCACCAAGCCGCCGATGCTGCCAGGCAGGAGTTCACCGAAGTTGTACTCCACGGCGTCGTCGCCGTAGTCGAGCGTGATCTCGCAGATCATGTCGCCCGGGTTGGTGGCTTCGCCGCCCAGGTTGCCCGCGGTGTCGAGGCCGTCGATCCACCCTTCGGGGTGGACCTCCATCACGCAGTACTCGCCCCGGTCGAGGTTCGTGAACTGGTAGAAACCACTCTCGTCGGTGACGGCGCGTTGGCCGGTGTCCTCGCCGTCCTTCAGCAGCTTGAGCGTCACGCCGGCGATCGGCTCCTCGCCCGGGTCCTTGATCCCGTCGTTGGAGCGGTCGTGGTAGACGTAGCCGGAGAGATCGGCCCCGATGTGCTCGCAGAAGTCGTACTGTGTCGCGTTCTCTTCCGAGCCCACCACGATGCCCGAGATCAGGTCGTCCGACAGCGTTCCGCCCGCCGTGCCGACCCGCTCGCCGCCGTCGTAGTAGCCCTCGGGCTGGCGCTCGCGGACCTGGTACTCGCCGGGGCGCAAGCCGGTGAACTGGTAGCGGCCCTGGGCGTTGGTCGTCGTCGTGGCGATCACCTGCCCGGCCGGGTTCAAGAGCTCGATCGTCACCCCTTCCAGCAGCACGTCCGGGTTGTCGAAGTCGCAGTCCGGCCCGTCCATCGCGTGAACGCGGCCCCCGATCGTCGCCCCCAGCAACTCGCCGAAGTTGTTGTTCTGCGAGTCGTCACCGAATTCGAGCGGGATGCTCGAGATCAGGTCGTTGGTCGCCACGCCGCCGGTCGTTCCCTCGGTGTCCTTGCCGTCGAACCAGCCGACCGGCTGGGTCTCGCGAACCGTGTAGATCCCCGCGGTCAGGTCAACGAACTCGTAGAAGCCAGCCGAGTCGGTGGTCGTCGTTCCGATCACCTCGCCCGACGCGTCGAGCAGCTCGATGGTCACCCCGGCGATCGCTTCCTCGCCTGTGTCGCGGATGCCGTCGTCGGACCGGTCGTGGTAGACGAAGCCCGAAAGCCGCGCGCCGACATGCTCACAGAAGTCGTAGTTGACGGCCGCTTGCTCGGAGCCGAGGTCGATCTGCGAAATCAGGTCGTTCGACAGGACACCGCCCGCCGTGCCGACTCGCTCGCTGCCGTCGTAGAAGCCCTCGGGCTGGATCTCGCGGACGCTGTACTTGCCGGGCGGCAAGTTGTCGAAGAGGTACTCGCCCTGGGCGTTGGTCGTCGTCTCGGCGATCTGTTCGCCGTCGGCGTTCAGCAGTTGGATCGTGACCCCTTCGAGCAGCACGTCCGGGTCGTCGAAGTCGCAATCGCCGTCCATCGAGGCGTGCACACGGCCCGCGATGCTGCCGGGCAGGAGTTCGCCGAAGTTGTACTCCACGGCGTCGTCGCCGTAGTCGAGCATGATCTGGCTGATCATGTCGCCGGGGTTGTCCGGTGAGCCGCCCAGGTTGCCCTCGGTGTCCAGGCCATCGATCCACCCCTCCGGGTGGATCTCCATCACCGCGTACTTGCCCCGGTCGAGGTTCGTGAACTCGTAGTAGCCGCTGGCGTCCGTCACGGCTGTCCGGCCCGTATCGACACCGTCCTTCAGCAGCTTGAGCGTCACGCCGGCGATCGGCTCCTCGCCCGGGTCCTTGATCCCGTCGTTGGAGCGGTCGTGGTAGACGTAGCCGGAGAGATCGGCCCCGATGTGCTCGCAGAAGTCGTACTGTGTCGCGTTCTCTTCCGAGCCCACCACGATGCCTGAGATCAGGTCGTCCGACAGCGTTCCGCCCGCCGTGCCGACCCGCTCGCCGCCGTCGTAGTAGCCCTCGGGCTGGCGCTCGCGGACCTGGTACTCGCCGGGGCGCAAGCCGGTGAACTGGTAGCGGCCCTGGGCGTTGGTCGTCGTCGTGGCGATCACCTGCCCGGCCGGGTTCAAGAGCTCGATCGTCACCCCTTCCAGCAGCACGTCCGGGTTGTCGAAGTCGCAGTCCGGCCCGTCCATCGCGTGAACGCGGCCCCCGATCGTCGCCCCCAGCAACTCGCCGAAGTTGTTGTTGACCGAGTGCTCGCCGTAATCGAGGTCGATCAACGAGATGAGGTCGTTGGTGACCGTGCCCCCTTCCGACCCGGCGGTGTCTTTCCCGTCGAACCAGCCCGCGGGCTGCGTTTCGCGAACGCTGTAGACGCCCTGCTCGAGGTCGACGAACTCGTAGAAGCCGTTCGTGTCGGTGGTCGTCGCGCCGATCACGGCGCCCGACGCGTCGAGCAACTCGACGGTGACATCGGCGATCGGCTCCTCGCTCTGACCCGGCTCGCGGAGGCCGTCGTCGTCGCGGTCGTGGTAGACGAAGCCGGAGAGCGTCGCGAGCTCGAGCTGCGGCGCGTGGGCGACGGCGCCGGCGGTGCGGACCGGGTCGTCCTCTTGAGACTCGTAGTCGTCGTCCGGAAGGTCGCCTAGTGACAGGCCGGTGTCCGACTCGGCGTCGACACGCAGGTCGTCAAAGAAGTCGTAGTACGTTCCGCTCAGTTGCAGGTCAACGTGGCCGGGGGCGGAGAAATCACCGACGATGTTGCTGAATTGGAATTCGGCGCCTTCGGCCGTGGCGTTGAAGACCGGGTCGCCGTTCGTCGGGTCGACCTGGTCGAACTCATCGACGTCAATCGAGAAGACGAGCGTCTCGCCCGCGTCGAACCCGTCGAAGGTGAACACGATGTCGGTGCTGCCGTCGGAGACCGACACGCCGGTCACTTCGAACCCATCCGACTCCACGAGCGAGAAGCCGACCGGTGCGAAGTCGCCCGGCTGCGCGGGGTCGATGTCGAAGAAGACGTCGTTGACCGTGAAGCCGTCGCCTGCTTTGTCGCCGCTGATCACGAGACGATCGAGGGTCGTCCCTTCGGCTCCGCCGACAAACGAGACGTGCAGGATGTCCGGCTGGGTGTCCTCGCCGGTCGACTCTTCGTAGTAGACAGCGCCGAGCAGCACGTCCGCCGCCAGCATCTGGCGCTGCTCGAGCGGCTCAACTCCGCTGCGGCGGGGCGCCTTGGCCAGTGGACGCGACGGACGGCGGAACAGCGTGCTGATGAGTCCCACGAGTTTCCTCCTTGAAACTGCGTTCGCCCCGGCGTCCCTGCCGGCGCGGCTCCCGGGGGCGGGGAGCGATCGCGGTGGTGTCGTTTAGCGGGTGGCGGTCGACGGGGCGACCCGAGCCGCGGTGCTAGCGGCGGGCAACCGGGTCGGGTCAACGTCCCAGACCCGGACGGTCGCGTCGAACGAGCCGCTCACCAGCCGCCTGCCGTCTTCGCTAGCGGCGAGCGCCGCCACCGTGCCGGTGTGGCCGCGGAGCGAGCCGCGCTCGGAGCGGGTCTCGGCGTCCCAGAGCTGGATCGTGTTGCGTGTCCCGCCGACGGCGAGCGTGCGGTCGTCGAGGAACGCGAGCGAGTGGACCTTGCCGGGCCGCACCAGCAGTTCGTCCGGGGCGATCGTCGCGTCGTCGAACGCGGCGTTGCGCGTGTCGACCCGCCACAGCCGCACCGCGGGGCCGTCACCGCCGGCGGCGAGGGTCTCGCCGTCGGGCGAGAAGGCGAGCGCGCGGACGCGCCGGCCGTCGGACGGCAGGTCACGCGGGCCGCCACTCGCTACGAGGTCCCACATCCGGACCACTCCGTTGCGTCCCGCGGCCGCCATCCACCGCCCGTCGGGCGAGAAAGCGACGGCGCGGGTGTCTTCGCAGGCGCAGCCGTACTCGGTCGGCTTCGCGTCCGCGGGCCCGTCGAGGTCGAAGAGACGCAAGGCGTCACCGAAGCCGGTCGTGGCGAGTCGATGCCCGTCGGGGTGCATGGCGACCGCCTGCAACGCGCCGTCCGCGAGGCGACGTTCGGCGAGGCGACGCGGCGTGGCGTCGGTCGCCCACACGTGGAGCGAATGGTCGGCCGCCACTGAGGCGAGCCGGTCGGATTTGGGCAAGAAGCACGCCGAGCGGACCCAGTCGCCGTGGCCGTCGAGCGTCGCCAGCTCGGCGCCGCTCTCGGCGTCCCAGACGCGGAGCCGGTGGCCGTCCCCGCCAGCGAGCACACGCGTGCCGTCGGCCGAGATCGCCACGGCCGTGACGACCGTCGGCTCAGGCTCGCGGTCGGGCCCCCGCTCCGTGAGCAGGCGGAGTTCGAGACGCGAGGCGAGCGAGGTCTCCGCGCCGGCTTGCGGCGAACACCAGGCGGCGGCCGCGGTGGCGGCAAGAGCAGCGGCGAACAGACGTCGCGAGAATCGCACGGCGGGCACTCCTCGGGCGCAACCGGAAGGGAAGTTCCTCCCCTTCGGTATCGACCCGAGGTCGCGTGCGGCGACAATCTATCGCCCGCAACGGCCGCACATCCGGCCCAAATTGAACCGAGCCGGCGCCGGCTCAGCCGGCGTCGCTAGCGTCCGCACCGGCCTCGGCGGCAGGCGTCTCGTCGAACGCCGGTTCCTCGCCGCCGCTAGCAGCGGCCGACGCGTCGGAGCCGGACGCTGCCTGCTCGCGCTCGCGGAGCTGCAGCGTGAACTCGCCCTCCGAGTCGAACGACTCGATGATCTCCCAGAGCGGGAAGTCGTCGGGGATCTCTTCGTCGAGTTGCTCAAGAACGCGATTGAATTCGTAGATGAACACCATCACGTCGTCGCCGGTGGTGTCCTCACCGTCCTTGAGCTGCGGGAACTCCTCGAAGACCTCGGCCCAACGATTGAACGACGTCTCGTAAGCCTCCTTGGCGCCAACCGGGTCGCCCTCCTCGCGGAACAGGCGCCGAGCGCGGAAGACGAGCTCGCGCGCCGTCACGGCCGCTTTGGTCTGCTCGAAGGCGCAGCGGGTCGCCCAGTAGTCGTAGTTCGTCGTGCCCTTGTAGGCCCGGACGAAGCGGAGCGACTGCTCCGTGTCCATCAACTCGGCGGCCAGCTCCCGGGCTTGCCGCTCTTTCTCGGGCGACATCTGGGCGACGACCGCGGCGAGCTTCGCCGCGTCGATCTTCATGGCGTTGCGGGCTTGATAGTACAGCTCGTTCTGCTCGTCGGTACGATCTTCCGCCGGCGTGTCGTACGCCTCGCGTTGAGCGTCGGTGAGCGACGCGCGGGCGTCGGCCTGCGCCTTGGCTTCGACGTCCTCGCCCATCGCTTTGAGCTGCTCGTTGAGCTCCGCGACGCGCTCGGTGAGGTCATCCTCGTCGTTGAAGCGGATGAACTTGCCGGTGGAGTGCTCGATCTGCAGGTTGCCGAACTCGCGCCACTCGCGTTCGGCGACTTCCCAGCCGGCGACCGCCTTCTGGAACAGACCCTCGTCCTCGATCGCGGCCGAGTAGTTCATCTGCGACTTCGACGGGCTGGAGTAGAAGATGCTCGGGCTCTTCTTGCCGAGGCTCTTGCCGCGCTCGTCGACGGCGGCGACCGACTCGAGGTACGCCTCCTTGCTCACCAGCCAGTTGTCGCGGTCGGCGGGCGGGCGGTCCTCCGGGTGGAACTCCTCGTCCGCCTTGAACAGCCGGCGGTACTGCACCTTCTCGTCGGAGCGGCCGATCTTCTGGCCGAGGACCCAGCCGAGTTCCCACAGCAACTGGGGGCTGTCGCGGTTGTACGTGACGCCCTTCTGAAGGAACTGAATGCCGCGTCGCACCCAGTAGTAACGGTCCTTGTAGTCGTCGAACTCGACCGAGACGTTGTAGCTGAGGTTCCAGCTCTGGTACTTCCAGAACGTCACGAAGTTGGGCTGCAGCTTCGCGAGTTGCTCGAGCGTGGCGGCGAGGTTCGTCCAGTCCTCGACCTTCTTGTAGTGCGTCGCACGGTCCCACAGCAGGTTCACCGCGAGGCCCCGCAGGCCGAGCGTCGCCAGCTTGATCGTCTCGCTCGCGGGGTCGATCTCGCCCAGGTCGGCCTGGCTGAGTTGGTTGGCGGTGCGGAGCTGCGCGAGCTTGCCCCCCGGCTCGGCGACCGTCGCCGGCGCGCTGAGGTACGACAGCGGGAACAGCAGCAGCACGATCGCCACGCCGTAGGCGACCTTCCGGGTGAGACTGTTGCGCTGGTTCATTTCGCCACCTCACGAGTCCGCAGGCAGAAGTAACCGGCGACCGCCAGGCCGACAACGTACGCCAGGCAGACGGTCAGGTCGCGCAACACCGCGTCACCGGGGATCGAGAAGCCCTCGGCAACGAAGTTCACGCGGCCCAGGTAGGCGCTGAAGTCGGGCAGCACGTACGAGACGGCCTGCATGGCTTGCTGAAGCACGTAATCGACCGCCTTCATCGCGTCGACCGCGGGCGTCCGGTCGAACGGCGACATGACGTTCATTTGGGTCACCAATCGGACCAGCGACTCGACCGGGCCGCCTCCGTACGAGTCGCCCAAGGCGATGTCGACGAAGAAGTCTCGGTAGAAGCCGAGCAGGATGAACGCCACGGTCACCACCATCGCGATCGGACCGCTGAGGAAGGTGCTCGCCGCGACGGCGACGGCGACAACGATCACCATCTGCATCCAAATCGCCAGGTACCCCTTCACGAAGTTCCACAGCGGCGAGCCCTCCGGCCGCCTCAGGAAGCAGTCCGCCTGGGCGAAGCCGAAGTACTGGCCTCGGTCGAGGCACTGCACCACCACTTCGATACGCCCGTCGTCGGTGACGAGGTCGTCAAGAATCGTGATTTCTTGTTGATCGGTGCTGGTCTGTTCGTTGGCGAACTCGAACGAGTTGACCCCCTTTGCGTCCTCGGCCGAGAACACCTCGAGCATCGTTTTGACGCCGGTCTCGGGATTGCTGAGCTGGATCGTGCCCTGGATCGCCTGCTCGATGTTCCCCTGGTACGAACGGTAAACGCGGACGATCAACTCGATCGGCAGGTAGAGCCCCGAACCGTCCTCAAACTCCATCAGGGTCGACTCGGTGACGCCGTCGAATGTCCAGATGGCCGCCGCTTGGCTCGCCCCCTGGATGAAGCTGCGGTAGCCCCACTCGTAGCCGACGCTGATGCCGCGCGCCACCGGCACGCCCTGCCGGTCGAGGAACTGCAGCTTCCCCCGCTGCGGCACACGGGCGCGGAGGTAGCCGGTCGCGGGCCCGACGACGAGGCGGTCGCCCTCGGTGTCGACTTCGTGCCAGTGGCCGTTGGCCGCGTCGCTGAGGCCGATCCCGTCGGAGTCGACCGCGAGGTCGTGCCGGTGGAACAGGTCGAACGAGGTGCGACCTTGCTGGCCAACCCGTTCACCGTCGGGGCCGAGCAGCGGCGTCAGCGTGCTCTCGACGGTGTGCTCGTGCGCCAACGAGCCTTGCACGAAGACCCAGCTCGCCACGGCCATGACCGCCAGCAGCATCGTGCCGATCGCGATAAAGCCGAGCATCCGGCCCAACACGATGTCGCCCGGGCGGACCGGCTTGGTGACGATCGTGTAGATCGTCTTCTGCTTCATGTCGTTGGGGAGGCTGAACGCCGCCAACAACAGCGAGAGCAGCAGGATCAGGTACGACGTCGCCGTCAGCACGAAGCTGAGGTAGAGCCGCGCCGGCTCGAGGTTGTCCGTCCGCAGGTACCAGCTCGCGAAGAGCAGGATGCCGGCGAACACGACCAAGGCGACCAGCACCCGTCGACGCAGCGATTCCTTGATCGCCAGCCCGGCGAGCGCGAGGACCTTTCGCGGCGAGATCCGCGTCAACTCGGCGACGCCGCCGGTCAGCGTGCGGTAGGTGATCTCCCCCGCCTTGACCGGCCCGTAACGCACGAGCGAGACGAGGAAGCCCCCGACGACCGCCAGCACGAACATCACCACGGCGATGATGACGAACAGGGCGAGCGCCCCCTCGCCGTCGACGAACGCCTCGCCGGCGCCTCGCCAGAGCCACTGCAGGTACGGCAGGATTTCTTCTTCGAGAACCATCGCGGGAAAGACGCTGTCGGCTGTTGGCGGTCGGCCGCGAGACGCGGCGGAACGAAGACGCGGTCGGTGGGACGCTAGGCGGCGCCGCCCTCGTCCCCACCGCTGCGTTGGTGTTCGCCGACGATGCGGCGACCCGGGCGGGCTTCGCTGTCGCGGACGATCGACAGGAAGAGGTCCTCGAGCGTGGTCGTGGGGCTGTCCATCTCGAGCAGCTCGCCGCCGTGTCGCTGGATCACGTCACGCAGCTCGTTGCGGCAGTCGTCGCTGAGGTTCCGCGCCTTGACCTGGGTGACGTCTTCAACGGTCAACAGCGAGTCGACGCGGCCGAGCTCTTTCAGCTCGCCCTGGTGCAGGATCGCGATCCGGTCGCAGACGTCCTGCACGTCGGCCAGCAGGTGGCTGCACATGACGACCGTTTTCCCCTGGTCGCGGAGTTGGAGGATCATGTCCTTCATCTCGCGCGTGCCGATCGGGTCGAGGCCGCTGGTCGGCTCGTCCAGCAGGATCAACTCCGGGTCGTTGATCAGCGCCTGGGCCAGTCCGATGCGGCGGGGCATACCCTTGGAGGACTCCCGCAACTGACGCTTGCGGGCCCGCTCGATGCCGACGAGCTTCAGCAGCGAGTCGATCCGCTCCTTGCGGACCTCGGCCGGCATGTCGAACAAGCGGCCGTAGAAATCGAGCGTCTCCTCGGCGTTGAGGAACTTGTAGAGGTACGACTCTTCCGGCAGGTAGCCGATCCGCTCGTTCTTGGAGACGTCGGTCGCGTCCTTGTCGAAGACGAGCGCCTGGCCGTCACTCGGGAAGAGCAGACCGAGCAGCAGCTTGATCGTCGTCGTCTTGCCCGAGCCGTTCGGGCCGAGCAGACCGAAGATCTCTCCGCGGTAGACCTCAAGGTCGAGCGCCTTGAGGGCGCGAACCTTCTGGCGGCCCCAGAAGTCTCGGTAGACCTTCGACAGGGCGCGGGTCTCGATGACGGCTTCGCCGGACATCGGGATTCCTTATTTCGCTGAACGGGAAAGCTATAAGTCGAATGTCGGCAAGGCGTTAGCCTTCGCTGGCACGCTCGGCCGAGCCTACCACTATAGGCCCCGTCTCGACTCCCTCGCAAGCAGTCGGCGCCGCTCGGCGGCCGCCGCCGCGTGGCCTGACTCACACGAGCCGGAGCAGCCCGTAGCGTTTGCGGCCGCTCCGCAAGACGACGACCGACTCGCTGGCGAGGTCCGCCGCGGTCAGCGTGGTCTCCAGGCCCTCGACACGCCGGTTGTTGACGTAGGCGCCCCCCTGCTCGACGGTGCGGCGGGCGTCGCCCTTGCTCTTCGCCAAACCGACGGCGACGAGCGCGTCGACGATCGGCAGACCGTCGCCGTCGAGGCTCGAGCGGGGCGACTCGCCGGCGGGGACGTCCGCGAAGATCTGGCCGAGCGTCCGGTCATCGAGCCCCTCCACCTCGGCGCCGAAGAAGATCTCGGTCGCCCGCTGAGCCGTCGCCAGCCCCGCGTCGCCGTGGACCAGCCGGGTCAGTTCCTCGGCGAGCCGCTTCTGGCTGCCGCGGGCCGCCGCGTTTTCCGAACGCTCGGCGTCGAGCGTCCCGATCTCTTCGAGCGTCAGATCCGTGAGCCACCGCAGGCATTTGCCAACGTCGGCGTCGTCCACGTTCACCCAGTACTGGTAGAACGCGTAGGGGCTCGTGCGTTCGGCGTCGAGCCAGATGGCGCCCGACTCGGTCTTGCCCATCTTCGTTCCCGAGCTCGTCGTGAGCAGCGGCCACGTCATGCCGTAGAGCTGCGCGCCGTGCATGCGGCGACCCCCTTCCATGCGTCGACTGAGGTCGAGGCCGGCGGTGATGTTGCCCCACTGGTCGCTCCCGCCTGCTTGCAGCTCGCAGCCGTGCTCTCGGTTCAGGTGCACGAAGTCGTACGCCTGCAGGAGCATGTAGCTGAACTCCGTGTAGCTCATCCCGCCGGCGTCCTTGTCGTCGGAGCCGCGTCCGAGCCGGCTCTTCACCGAATCCTTGGCGAGCATCACGTTGACCGGGAAGTTCTTGCCGATGTCCCGCAAGAACTCGAGGTACGACCAGCCGCCGGTCCAGTCGTGGTTGTTCAGGAGCAACGCGGAGTTGGCGCCGCAGTCGAAGTCGAGAAACCCGCGCATCTGCTTGCCGATCCCCTCGACGTTCCGCGCGAGGGCGTCCTTGTCGAGCAGGTTGCGTTCGTCGCTCTTGCCGCTCGGGTCGCCGATCATGCCGGTCGCGCCACCGACCACGGCGATCGGGCGATGCCCCGCGCGTTGGAACCGCCGCAGCACGACCAGGCCCAACAGACTGCCAACGTGCAGGCTGTCGGCCGTTGGGTCGAAGCCGGCGTAGACGGTCCGAGGCTTCTCCGCGAGCCACGCACCGAGCTTCTCGTCGGTCGTCTGGTGCACCAGCCCGCGGGCTTGCAAGTCGTCGAAGAAGTCCATGCTCGGCTGCAATGAAGGGGTTCGGCTATCGCCAGAGGTCGTCGTCAGCGAACGGGTGAGCGCCTTTCGGCTTGGGCGCGGGCCGCGCCGCGAGGATCGCCGCCGCGAGCTTCAGGTCGTCCTGCGTGGTGACTTTCAGGTTGTTGGGCGAGCCCTCGACGATGGCGACCGGCTCGCCGAGAAGCTCGACGAGTTGGGCGTCGTCCGTCACCGGCGCGTCGCCCGCCGCGTCGTTCGCTCGCTGGAGCAACGCGCGCTCGAAGACCTGCGGGGTCTGCGCCGCCCACAGGCCGTCGCGGGACTCCGTGGCGGTGATCTTGCCGTCGTCGACTCGCTTCAGCGTGGCGGTTACCGGCGTCGCCAGGATCGCGGCGTGGTTCTCCACAGCGGCAGCGAACACGCGGTCGATCTCATCGTCGGTCACCAGGGGGCGCGCCGCGTCGTGAACGGCCACGTGCGTCGCATCGCCTCGCAAAGTCGCCAGTCCGGCTCGCACCGAGTCGGCTCGTTCCAAACCGCCCTCGCACAGGTCAACGCCCATGAAGGCGAGGTTCGCGCCGAACTTGCGTTGAAACTCCTCGCGGTCGTCGGGCGAGACCACAACGACCGTTTGGCAGACGTCGGGCCGTTCGATAAACCGTTCCGTCGAGTGCAGCCAGACGGCGCGGCCGTCCAGCATCGCCATCGGCTTCTTGTAGTTGGGGTCGCCGAACCGAGAACTCCGCCCCGCCGCGAGGACCAGCACCGCAAACTTGCTCATCACCGCCTCAAGCCAGTTGGTTCGCCGCGCAGTAACTCGTGACACGCTGGACGAGCCAACGCACCGCGTGAGCGGAGTATTCCGTAGGCAGCGAGGCGATCTCTCGCCCGGCGCGGGCGGCCTGCGAGACGTCGAGCGGCAGATGCACGAACGCCACGCGTGGCTCGCCGCCTTGGGCTTCGAGCAGGTAGTGCGACCAGTACATCGCCGCGTTGCAGAGGTAGTCGCCCGCGTGCAACGACACCTCGACCGGAACGCCCTCGCCACGCAGCTCGCTCGCCCAGTCGGCGAGCGGCAACCGGCTGCGGTAGGCGGCCGGGCCATCGGACTCGAGCGGCTTCACGTCCTCCTCCGCATCGCCCCGGTCGCGGCGGGCGTTCAGCGCGAACTGCTCGAGCCGGACCGCCGAGGCGCCGCTCGCTTGGCCGAGGTGCAGGACGGCGTCGTAAGGGGTCGCCAGGTCCGCCGCGAGGCGCTCGCGGACGGCCTCGTAGTCGACCGGGTAGAGCCGGGTTGTCACCTCGGCCCCGGGGGGCAACTCACGGGTGACCGCTTGAAGAGCGAGCCAACTCGAGTTCTCGTCCCACTCGTCGAACGGCCGGAAGGCGGTGAGCAGCAGGCGTACCATGCCCCGGATTGGAATCGATCCGCCCCCGCTCAGCAATCAGCCCGGTTCATCGAAACGCCCGTTTCGCGGCCGCCTCCCCCCGGTCGGCGACGGCTTGGTCAATCCGCTTGAGCTGCTCGCCCGTCAGACGCCAGCCCATCGCGCCGGCGGTCTCAGCGATCTGCTCAGGCCGCTTGGCCCCGCAGAGCACAGCCGTCACGCCGGGCTGGGACAGCGTCCAATTAACCACGAGTTGCGCGACGGTGACGCCGGCCGAGTCGGCCGTCGCTCGGAGCTCGTCGACGAAGTCCTGGTTGCGCTGCCACTCGTCGCCCTGGTACATCGGGTACTTCCGCCGGCTGTCCCGCTCGTCGAGCCGGTGCTCGCGACCCATCGCGCCGGCCAACAGGCCCTTCATCAGCGGCCAGTACGCCGCGACCGCAACGCGGTTCTCGAGACACCAAGGGATGGTCTCCTGCTCGATGTCACGCTGCAGCAGGTTGTACGGCAGTTGGACGGCGGCGAGGCGGCAAGCCGCGTTGAACTGCTTCGTCTGCTCGAGCGTGCAGTTCGACGCGCCAACCGCCCGGGTCTTGCCCGCGTCGCGTAGCTCCGCCAACGCGCCCGCCGACTCCGCGACCGGAACCTCAGGGTCGGGCGAGTGCAGGTACAGCAGATCGACGCGGTCGGTCTTCAGCCGCCCAAGCAGTTCGTCGCACTCCCGGCGGAGCGTTTCGGGCCGGGCGTCTTGCGACATCTCGGGCTTCTGTCCCGGGACTGCTTCGTCGTAGTGAATGCCGACCTTCGACGCGATGACGACCTCGTCGCGGCGCCCTTCGAGCGCTTCGGCAAGGATGGCGTCGCTCTCGCCGTTCGGCCCGTAGACGTACGCCGTGTCGAAATGGTTGACGCCCGCGTCGAGCGCCGCGTGGACGGTGGCGACTCCGTCGGCGTGGGTGGCGCCCAAGGTCGTGACCCCCGCCATCGGCCAACAGCCGAGCGCCACCGGCGTCACAGCGACGCCGCTGTCGCCCAAGGGTCGCGGCTCCTCGTTCACGGCGCTCATGCCGACCCCGCCGTCGGACGTCCCGCCCCAGCCGGGCGGCCCACGCCGGGCGGACGCCGCGGTGTGTACGTGCAGCAGTCCTTCGGGCAGAGGTCGTGGTTCGCGGGGTACTGACCGACGGCGGGCCGCTCGGGACTCGCGCCCCGCTCGGTCGCGATCCGCTCTTCGATCAGCTCGCGGATCATGCTCACGGCCCGTGGGTGCGTCCCGAGCGTCGCCGCTCGCACGAGGTTCACGCCGAGCTTCTCGCACAGCTCTTTCGCTTCGGTGTCGAGGTCGAACAGCACTTCCATGTGGTCCGACACAAAGCCGATCGGCAGAACGACCAAGTCGGTGAGCCCTCCCTCGGCGTGGAGCGCCTTGATCCGGTCGCAGACGTCGGGCTCGAGCCACGGCTGCTGTGGCGGGCCGCTGCGACTCTGGTAGACCAGCTCCCAGTTGGCGTGCCCGGCGGCTTCGGCCGTCAGGCGACTCGCCTCGTTCAACTGACGTTCGTACTTGCAGTTCTCCGCCATTGACATCGGGATGCTGTGCGCGGTGAACAGCACCTTCGCCCCGTCGCGACGCGTCGGATCAACCTGCTCGAGCGCCTGCCGCAGGTGGTCGGCGTTGGTGTCGATGAAGGCTGGGTGGTTGTAGGGCATCCGCAGTTTGTCGATCCGCGGCGCTCCGGCGCCGACGGCGTCTTGCGCGTCGCGGATGTTCTCCCGATACTGGCGGCAGCCGGAGTAGCAGCTGAAGGGGCTCGTGAAGAACGCGATCGCCCGCTTCACGCCGTCCGCCTCCATCTGACGCAGCGTGTCGCGCAGCATCGGCGCCCAGTTCCGGTTGCCCCAGTAGACCGGCAGGTTCGGGCCGTGTTCGGCCAGCTCCGTTTCGAGCGCCCCAATGAGCTGCCGACACTGCTCGTTTATCGGGCTGACGCCGCCGAAGTGCTGGTAGTGCTCGGAGACCTCGAGCATCCGTTCGCGCGGCACGTTCTTGCCACGCAGGACGTTCTCAAGGAACGGCATCACGTCGTCGGGCCCCTCGGGACCGCCGAACGAGACAACGAGCACGGCGTCGTACGGCAACTCGTCGTACGGCGTCCTCGTAACGCATCGGTCGACGTAGTCAGGCATGGCGGCTCCGGAAGTCGCGGGACGGATGACGCGACTATACCGCGAGGGCCCCCGAACGGCGACGCGCTCACCGACGACCGCGTGAATCGCGACCGCTCTGCTGCCGCGTCCGCGCCTTGCTGGCGGCAGGCGGCGAACGCCCCAGTCACGGGCCGGTGGCGCCTTCCGTCGCGACGGTTGCAAAGCTGCTTGAGGCTCACGTGGTCGACGTCGTATCCGAGCGTTGTCACCGACCGTCGACGTGGATGAAATTGAACCCCGAGGGTGGGCTGATCCGAAGAAGTCGTTGCGCGCATTCCATCGTACGTGTCGGGCTGCGGGAGCTGGTCCGCGAAGCGTGCGATGTCCCAGCTCCAACCCACGTACCACCCGGCGTCGTCACCGGCCGTGCCGCCGGCGTACCAATCCGCGTGACCCATTTCTCGGCCGATTAGCATCGTCTTCGACGTGCCGTCGATGATGTGCGCGAACTTCACGGGGTTGTTCTTCAGCGGTGAAGGCGCGATCGCTTCGGCTGGGTCGACGTAGGTGATCGTGCCGGTGTGAATCCGGTGCCTCGCGCGATGGCCCGTCAGACCCAGTCGCGGTTCGCCCGCCTCGTTGGTGTCGCCTCCGTTGCAGGCGTAGTCACCGAGCAGGTCGCCTCGACCCCGGGATCGAGATTTCGGCCGGTTCCGCCAAGAACGTCACGGGGCGACGACTCGGGCATCCGACGAGCGGCGGCGTGGAACGGCGCACCTCGGCGTCGTCTGGGATCCCCACAAAGCCCTTCTTCGATGGTACCTCAGCAGTTGGTAGCGCCAGCCCCACGCCTGGCTCAAGCGTTGTAAGGCGTGCCACTCCCGTCCTTCTGGCGTGGGTTCTCATGCCATTGCCAACCACCCGTCGGCAACGCCCCGAGGGCGTCCTCGTGAAGCAACGCGGCCAGACCGAGTGCTTGAGCGTGTTCTTGCACGAAGACCGCCGTGCGGCCTCACGCGCGGCCTGCACAGCCGGAAGCAAGAGCGCGACAAGGATGCCGATGATCGCGATCACGACAAGCAGTTCCACGAGTGTGAAACCCGTGCGACGAGGGGTCGGCACTCGGCGCGTCGGGAACGATTCGTCGCTGGTCAATGCCATCGGTCGCCTCGATTGAAAGAGGGCTGCTTCGCTCTGACCCTATCGAGCTACGCGATCACCTCTCGGATCGGCCTCGACCGCTCGACGCCAACCAGCTTCTGGTCGAGCCCGTGTAGAAGTAGCTCAGGTGATTGGGGTCGAGACCGAGTTGCGTCAGCACCGTGGCGTGCAGCTCCTTCACCGTGAGCGGGCGTTCCACCGCGCGGCTGCCCAGTTCGTCGGTGGCCCGCGGATACGCCGCCCTTGATGCCACCGCCCGCCATCCACATCGTTGAAACCGTACGCGTTGTGGTCGCGGCCGGTGCCCTTGGCGTACTCGGCGGTCGGCTGGCGACCGAACTCGCCGCCCCAAACCACGAGCGTCTCGTCCAACAAGCCGCGTCGCTTCAGGTCCTTCAAGAGCGCCGCGATGGGGTTGATCGGTCTCGCTGGCGTGCAGGTCGTGGTTCTTCTTGAGGTCGCCGTGCGCGTCCCAGTTTGGCGTCGTTGTGGTTCCCGCCGGAATAGACCTGGACGAATCGGACACCGCGTTCAACCAGACGCGGGCGAGCAAACACTGCGAGCCGAAATGATGGGTCGGCTTCTGCCCACGCCGTAGCCCGCGAGCGTGCGGCTGACTCTTGGGCGAAATCGACCGCTTCGGGCGCCGAGGTCTGCATCTTGAAGGCCAGTTCGTAGCTCGCGATTCTCGCCGCCAAGGTGCTTTGTCGCCCCGCGGGCGTCGAGTGACGCGTGTTGATCCGCGCGAGCGTGCCGAGCGTCTCGCGGCTGGGACTCACTGGTGACCCCCTCGGGACGCGCCAGATCCAGGATGGGAGCTCCCTCGTGACGGAAGACGGAGCCCTGGTACTCGGCGGGCATGTAGCCGCTCGACCAATTCTTGGCGCCGCTGATCGGGCCCCCCAACGGGTCGAGCATCACACGACGAAGCTCGGCAGGTTGTTGTTGCCCGACCCGAGCCCGTACTGGAACCACGAGCCCATCGCGGGGCTGCCCGACGGAGCTTGCCGGAGTTCAATCAGCATGGCCCGACCCGTGGATCGGGCTCTCGGCGGTCATGCTGTTGAGGAAGGCGATGTCGTCGACGCAGCCGCCGAGATGAGGGAACAGGTCGCTGACCCACTTGCACACACTCGCCGTACTGCTTGAACTTCCAACGAGGCTCGACGATCGCCCCTCGTCCTTCTTGCCGCCACGGCCGAAGGTCTTCACCGCCACGGTCTTGTTGTCCATCCGACCATGCCCGGCTTGTAATCGAACGTGTCGATGTGGCTCGGGCCGCCGTACATGAACAGGAAGATCACCGACTTCGCCTTGGGGGTCGACAGCCGGAGCGGCGGAGGCGTGGGCTTGCCGCGGGAAGAACCCGTCGGCGCCGAGCATCCCGGCCAACGCCCGTGGCGCCGAACCCGCAGCCTACTGCACAGGAACTCTCGGCGTGTCCGCCCGCAGAGTTGCGTTTCATGGGAGTGGTCGGCTCAATCGAGAAACACGAATTCGTTCAGGTTCATCGCCATCAAGCAGAATCGCTTGAACGCCTCATCCTCAGACAGGCCGTGGATCGATTGATAACGATTGATCAACCGCAAGCCGTCCGAGACGGTGGCTTCGTCCGCCTCGCGTTGCAACACGAGTGACAAGGCTCGTTCGACACGAGCCTTCACGCCCTCGTCGTCCCTCCGCATTCACCCGAGTGGCAAGAGCCGCCGCCTGTTCCTGAAAGAACTGTCCGTGCAACATGCTGAGGGCTTGAGCCGGTTGCACCGTGTTGAAGCGCGCCTCGCAGCTCGTGTCGGTGTCGGGAAAATCAAAAATTCGCCAGCACGGGCGGATCAAGCTGCGCTTGATGTGGATGTACACGCTGCGGGGCGAGCTTCGACCGCCGCTTCGTCCGACGTGTCCCAGCCTTCGCCGGGCCGACTCTGGGTGTGCAGCACCTCGTCCGAAGCCTCGGGTAGACGCTGGGACCGTAGAGCTCGCCGTTCAGCGATCCGCTCACCGACATCGCCGTGCGCGCACCTCTCGGCGGTCAGCGCCGCCGCATGTCGAAACGCCAGAACAGGTCGTTAGCCCGGATCGACCTCGGCGGCGGCGGGATCGGGCGTCGACCCCATCCGGTAAGCACTGGCGTGACGATCAGGCGGTGCACGGTTTCAACCGCCAACTCGTGTTTGGACGAGCCACCGCGCGAGCCAGTCGAGCAACTCGGGGTGTGTCGGAGGCGTGCCGAGGGCGCCCGAAGTTTGCTCGCTGCTGCGGACGATTGCCCCTTCCGAAGTGGTGTTGCCAACCCGGTTCGCGATGACGCGAGACGTCAACCGGTTCTCCGGCGAGGCGATCAATCGGCGAGTAAACGCCGCCGCCCGGCGGAGCGGCGTCATCGGCGACCGGCAGCGACGGGTCCGCGTCCTCGAACAGGGCCGGGAAGTGCGGCTCGACCTCTTCCCCGGAGAGTGCGGGTTGCCACGCATCATCACGTGGGTCGCCCCGGGATCCGGGTCGCACTTGGCGACCGACACAGAAGCTCCGGCGGAGGCAGCGGTCGAGTCGTTCGTCAGCCGCCCTTAATCCGTTGGACAAGGTCCCGGTAACGACCAAGACCAAGGGGCTCGACATACAGCGACCACTTTCGTCGAAAACCGATTGGCGCTCATGCGTCTCGGTTCGACGTGATCCTCGGCGTCTAACTTCGGGATAACGGCGGCTTCGATCTCAGCCTTCTCGGCACGCAGGGTCTCCTTCTGCGCTTCCAGCTTGCTCCGCCGTTGGGTTTTGCAGGGGCCCCGACACGTCCAGAGGCTGTGATGCTCGCGTCCCGACGATCCGACAGGGCGTACGGCGTCACGTCAGCGAAGAACGCGACCAAGCCGTAGTAGTCGGCCTGAGGGATCGGATCGATCTTGTGGTCGTGGCACCTCGCGCAACCAACTGTCATCCGAGGAACGCCTGGCTCGTCGTGCTGACGATGTCGTCCAGCTCATCATGCTTCGCTTGCAACTTGTCGGCCGGCTCGTCGTCCCACACGCCGAGTCGGTAGAAGCCCGTTGCGGGTGATCCCGTCGATCGTGAGCTCGTCGAGTTCGTCCCCGGCGATCTGCTGCTCGCGCACAAAACTGGTCGTACGGCTTGTCTTCGTTGAAGCTGCGGATCACGTAGTCGCGATACTTCCAGACGAAGGGTTCGCCGCGTCGCGTTCGAAGCTGTTGGTCTCCCCGTAGCGGACGACGTCGAGCCAGTGCGCGCCCACTTCTCGCCGTGGTGCGGCGAAGCCAGCAACTCCTCGACAAGCCGCTCGTAGGCGTCGGACCGATCGTCGGCGACGAATGCCGCGACCCGCTCGGGCGCCGGCGGCAATCCGATGAGGTCGTAGTAGAGCCGGCGCGCCAGCGTCCGCCTGTCGGCCTCGGCCGACGGCTTCAGCCCACTCGACTCGAGGCGGGCTAGGACGAATCGATCGATCGGGTTCCGCACCCAATCGGCGTCGTCGACGCTCGTTGCTCCGGCCTCCCGAGCGGCGTGAACGCCCAGTGCTTTTCGTACTTGGCCCCCGAGTCGATCCACTCTCGCAACGTGGCGATCTCGGCGTCAGGCAGCGGCTCGCCTTCCGGAGGCATCCGCTCGAAGTCCTCAGTCGTCGTGATCCGCCGGATCGCCTCGCTCGCCGCGGCGTCGCCCGGGACGATCGAGGCTCATCCGAGTCGGGTTCGGCCAGCGCTCGTTCGCGGGCTGTCGAAAGCCAGTCCGCTCTCAGACTGATCGGGGCCCGTGACACGAGAAGCAACGCTTCGACAAGATCGGCAGCACGTCGCGCGCGAACTGGCGCACCGTCCGCGTCTCGCGACGAGAACAAGACGGACGGCCGCGATCCCGACCAGGAGCAAAGAAAAGAGGTCGCGATAGCCGCCATCATAAGCGGCAAGGCGCTGGAGAACACCGTGCCGAGGCCGTCGCCGGCACATTGTCCATCGCGCAGCGGCTCCCCCCGAGACTACTGTGGGGGAACCAGATGACCCCAACGGGGTTCGAACCCGTGTTGCCGGCGTGAAAGGCCGGAGTCCTAGACCACTAGACGATGGGGCCGGGGAAGCGAGGATCGCCTGCGGCGCGGAGCCGGGGCGGCTTGCTTCTTCCGCGGGAGGCTAGAAGGGGCAACGCTCTCAGTCAACCCGCCTGGGCCAGACTGGGCCTGCTCGCCTGGCACGGCGAGGCGCTGCGGACGGTCGGGGAACGATCGCCCGGCTCAGCCGGGCTGGCCTTCGGCGGCGCCCGTCTCGGGCTGTTGGCTCCGCAGGATCGCTTCGTACACCTCGTTGCGGTGCACGGGGACTTCCTTCGGCGCCTCGATGCCGAGCCGCACTTTGTCACCACGGATCTCCACCACGACGATCGTGATGTCGTCGTTGATGACGATGCTCTCGTTCTTTTTCCGCGAAAGGACCAGCATTTCGATTCCTTCGCCACGTCGGGAGAGGGGCTTCCTACCGGCCGCGGTCGCGATCTAACGAAGACGCGATGTGGCCCGACTTGCCCCTCTCGTGAGCGATCGGGTAGCCCTCGTCCTTGCCGTACGAGCCAACCGAACGCGTGCGACTTACCTGCCGCGACAAGTCAACTGTACGGGAAGGGGGTTGACAGTCAAGAATCGGACATCCGGAACCCGCGTTAGACGCCCCAATTTCCGGCATTTTCCCCGTGTTTCGGGGAAAATCGCCCAAAACATGCGGCATGCCGCATGTCGCCGCGAACACCCGACGCTGCCCCTGACCCCGCCGTTTCGTGCCGCTCTACGACACCCACGCCCATCTCGACCAGCCCACGTTCGCCGACGACCTGCCCGACGTGCTAGCAAGGGCCAGCGCCGCGGACGTCGCCCATGTGAACGCCATTGGCGTTGACGCGAGTTCGAGCCGGGCGTGTGTCGAGCTCGCGGCGAAACACGAGCTGGTCCACGCCGTGGTCGGCATCCAGCCGAACGACGTCGCGGAAGCCGCGGCCGGCGACTGGGACGAGATCGTCAAGCTGGCCAAATCGCCCGGCGTGGTGGCGCTCGGCGAGACCGGCCTCGACCGGTACTGGGACCACTCACCCTTCGCGCTGCAGCAGGACTACTTCGATCGCCACCTACGGCTGTCGCAAACGACGGGCCTGCCATTCGTCGTTCACATGCGTGAATGCGAGGCGGACGTTCTGGCGATGCTCCGGGAAGCCCGCGAACGCGGGCCGCTGCGCGGCGTCATGCACAGCTACACCGGCACGGCCGACGGGGCGGCGGAAGCGATTGAGCTGGGCCTCTACGTGAGCTTCGCCGGCATGGTCAGCTACAAGAAGTCGGACGAGCTACGCGAGGTCGCGGCGACGGTTCCGCTCCACCGGTTGCTCGTCGAGACCGACGCGCCCTACCTGTCGCCTGAGCCGGTTCGGAAGATCCGGCGCAACGAACCGGCGCACGTCGCGCACACGGCACGCTGCTTGGCGGATCACCGCAGCGAAGCCTACGAAGACTTCGCACGCCAGACGACCCAGAACGCGATCGCGCTGTTCTTGGAAACCGATCGCTGATCTCGACGCTCAGCGGACGACCGGACCGCCTTCTTTCGGCTGCTTGGCAAGCCGGCGTGGCGCGAACTGGTGTTCGTACGGCGCTCGCATGCTGACCGACGGTCCGACCCAGTTGCCGCAGTCGTCGCACGGATCGCAGCAGGCGGGCGGGTCGTTGTGCCACTCGCTCCAGTAGTACTCGCCGTCGCAGCCGCCGCAGCCAGGCGAGCAGCAGCAGAGGCCGAGCGGCGCGAACAGTCGTCGGAACTCGCTGCCGATCGCGCGAACGCCGAAGGCCAGGTTCTCGCCAACCGGACAGCGGCCGCAGCCGCAGCACGTGCTGCCGCAACCGACCGCGCCGCAACCGACCGCGCCGCAACTCGGCTCGCATCCGCAAGCGGGCTCACAGCCACACGCCGGCTCGCAACCGCAGGCGGGTTCGCACCCACCGCAGCAAGCCGAGCCCGTGCAGACGTTGATGAGCGGTTTCTTCGGGCCGCAGTCGTCGCAGCCGCACCACTTCTGGCCGGCCATCGAGCAGCTCGAGACGCCGCAACCGCAGCCGCCCGCCCCGCAGGAGGGCTCGCATCCACAGGCTGGCTCGCAGCCGCAAGCCGGCTCGCATCCGCAACCGACCGGGATCGCACACCCGCATCCGGGTCGCAGTGTCCCGCATCCGACGGAGCCGGCAAGCGACACCGCGGCGATCAGCACCGCAGCGAAGTAACGAACGTCGACACGGCTCGCGGCCGCGTGGCGAGATGGGTTCATCCGTGAGTCTCCCCCCGAAGGGACCAGCGATCCTTCGCTGGCGTTGCTGTCATGATGAGCTCGCTGCCCGCCCAAACGGGACCGGCAGCCTGGTAACGAGATCGGCCCGCCTCGCCCGCGCGATGAGCCGAATCGTTACCACCTGCGCAGTTTCTCAGCGGCGTGCGGCGGTCGCGGGGTTGCTGGCGCCCTGATAGATTCGCGTGACGTTCTTCGCCGTCACGCCAACCAACGATCGCCCCGTCCATGCAGCCCGCCGCCAAAGCGTTCTTCCAGCAGATCCTCGAAACCCCGAGCCCCTCCGGCTACGAGCAGCCGGTGCAGCGGCTCGTGCGCGAGTACGCCGGCGCCTTCGCCGACAACGTGCGGACCGACCTGCACGGCAACGTGATCGCGACGGTCAATTCGGGCGCGCCGCTGCGCGTGATGTTCGCCGGCCACGCCGACCAGATCGGTCTGATCGTCACGCACATCGACGACAACGGCTTCATCTACAGCAACCCGATCGGCGGCTGGGACCCGCAGCAGCTCATCGGCCAGCGGATGACGATCCACGCCGAGGGCGGGCCGATCCCCGCGGTGATCGCGCGTAAGGCGATTCACTTGCTCGAACCGGACGAGCGCAAACAGGTCGTCAAGCAGAAGGAGCTGTGGCTCGACATCGGGGCGAAGGACAAGGCCGAGGCGGCCGACCTCGTGCGGATCGGTGACCCGGTCACGCTCGAGCTCGGCTACCAAGAGATGCGCAACGGCTTGGCCAACTCGCCCGGCATGGACAACAAGACCGGCCTCTGGGTCTGCGTCGAGGCGGCCCGCCGCGCCGCCGAGCGGGGCGGGCTCAACGTGGAAGTCAACGCCGTCGCGACCGTTCAGGAAGAGATCGGCCTGCGTGGCGCGCGGACCAGCGCGTTCGGCGTCGACCCGCACGTCGGCATCGCCGTGGACGTCACGCACGCGACCGACTGCCCGACGATCGACAAGACGCAGGAGTCTGACATCAAGCTCGCCGGCGGGCCGGTCGTCTACCGCGGGCCGAACATCAACCCGATCGTCTTCGACAGGATGAAGGCGTGCGGCGAGAGCGCCGAGATCCCGATGCAGTGGGGCGCCCTCGGCCGCGGCGCGTCGAACGACGGCAACGCCCTACAACTCAACCGAGCCGGCGTCGCCGCGGGGATCGTCAGCATCCCCAACCGCTACATGCACAGCGCCGTCGAGGTGATCTCGCTGGACGACATCGACCAGGCGGCCGACCTGCTCGCCGAGTTCGTGCTGAGCCTCGAGGCCGACGCCGACTTCACGCCGAACTGAGCCAAAGTGGCGGTGCGGTCCGTCCTGCTGAGAATTCTCTGGGGATTCTGGGAAGAACCGGGCCCGGTGGGCGTTTTCCCTGTGCGCGGAGGATTTCTCCGTCGTTGGGGAGTCCGAGCGACTCACCCAGCCACCGCACTCGGACCGCCGACGCCCACCATGACCGCATCCAGCCGAATCCGGTACTTCGCCAACCAAGTCGCGTTCGCCGCCGTCGGCGCCGCGGGGCTCGTGATGTGGTCGGTCGCCCTGGCGCTGCACCCACCGATGCTCTGAACGCCTTCGCGCAGTCCAGAGGTGTCGTTCACTCGCCCGACTGGATCTTCACGAAGCTCTCGTAGCGACGGGCGTCGATCCACCCGTCGGCTACCGCGTCCTTGACGGCGCAGAAATCCTCGTGCGTGTGCGTGCAGTCGGGGAACCGGCAATGGCTCACGTAGGGCCGCAGCTCGCGGAAGTAGCCAGCGACCTCCTCGGGGATCACGTCCCACAGCTCAAAGGTGCGGATGCCGGGCGTGTCGACGAGGAACCCGCCGCCGATCTCGTCACCCAGCGGGTAGAGCTCCGCGGTGGTCGTCGTGTGGCGACCCTTGTCGGTCTCTGAACTGACCGTCTGCACACGCAGCGCGAGACCTGGCTCCACGGCGTTGAGCAGCGAGCTCTTGCCGACGCCGCTCTGGCCGGTGAAAGCCGTTTCGGCGCCACGCAGCAGCTCGCGGAGGCGATCGATTCCGAAGCCGGTGTCGGCCGACACGGGCAGCACCTCGTACCCGAGCTGCGACCAAACTCCGACGATCGGCACGAGGTCGGCCGGCTCGACGAGATCGACCTTGTTCAAGCAGACAATCGGCCGAATGCCGGTCTTCTCCGCCGTGACGAGGTATCGGTCTACGAGGTTCGGTTTGAGCCGTGGCTCGGCGACACTCGCCACGACGACGATCTGATCGACGTTGGTCGCGATCAGTTGCTGCCGGCCGCGACTCGTGCGGCTGAGCACGCCGTGCCGTGGCTCGACGCGTTCGATGATCCCCTCTTGCGGGGCGCCGTCCTCGGGGGGTTCACCCTCGGGACGCACCCAGACACGGTCGCCGGCGGCGACGACGTGTCGCAGGTCGGTCGCGACCTGCTTGAGCAACTGCCGCGTCGCGCACGAGTACTGGCGGCCGTTGTCGCCGAAGACGCGACTCACCAGCCCCTGGACGCGCAGGACCCGTCCCTCGACCCAGTTGGCGTGGTCGATCTCGGGCAGGAGGACCTGGCCCGACTCGTCCTCGACAATCTCGGCGCCGGCGACGGTCCGCTTGCGGCTGAGCCGGCCTTTGCCGCTGACGCGCTCGCCGCGGTCTTGGCGGTCGTCGACGCCCTCGCCCTCGGCGGCGTAGGCGCGGGTCAGACCGCGGTCGCGGCTCGTGGTTTGATGGCCCTTGCGAAACGTCGCGCGGAGCTTGCGGCGTTTCTTGGCCATCGAGGCGGCGAGCCGATCAGAGTTTGTCGCCGGGAAGCTTGATCTGACCCGCCGAGTTGTCGGTCGGGTCGAACCGCCCCGACTGCTTCTTGCGGCTGGAACCGCCGCCGATGTCCGCCTTCTGCAGCCCCGCGCGAGAGAGCAACGACGTGCTCATGATCTCCCGGGCGCGGTTCTCGGTCGGCGGCGGGCCGACGGCGCCGAGGTCGGCCGGCGAGTAGTCGACGCGGTAGCGGTGCTTGGCGACCGCGAGCGTGTCGCCCGGGTCGAGCCGCCCCTCGTCCGTCCGCGTGTCGTTGATCTTGATCCCGTTGCGGCTCTGCAGGTCGCGGACGTACAGGTAGCCGCCCTCGAAGCGCAACTCGCAATGGTGCGCTGAGACGTTCGCAAATCGCAGGACGATGTCGCAGCTCTCGCGACGACCGATCAGCAACTTGTTCTTGAGCAGGGGAACGGGGTCCCCGCCGCCGAGCGGAACGAGCTCGCCGTACATGAGGTGGGTCTCGGTGGGTGGGGCCACGACGCACCGATCTCAACGGGGGGTGAGCCCGTGTGGAACAGGTTCGGCAACGCAGCAGCTGGTGATGGTCAGCGCCTGATCAATCCCCGGATTCAGCCTCCGCCATCGCCTTCCAACTTAGAAGTCCGGCCCCTCGGCGTCAAACAATCGAGGCGCCTTTGCCCGCCGCCCGTTGCCATCGCGCCGCACGACCGGTAGGGTCCGTAACCCCTTACAGGGCAACGGGTGCGGCCCACCGGCTTGGTGAGTCGCCCCGCCCCTTCCGGTGACAGACCGTTGACGTCGCCGACGACGACGGGGAAGCCCCTCCGCTAGAATTGCCGCGTGCTCGCCCCCACCCAACTCGAACTGCCCGAGCGTGAAGCCAAGAGCCGCCGGCTAGCCAACGGCCTGACGCTCGTCGGCGAGCCGGCGGAGGGTTTCAAGTCGGCCGCGTTCTCGCTGATGCTGCCCGCGGGCTGCCGGTACGACCCGGCTGGACAGTTCGGCTTGGCGAACTTGACGTGCGAGATGGCGCTGCGTGGCGCCGGCGACCGCGACAGCCGGCGACTGGTGAGCGACCTCGACGCGTTGGGCGTCGAACGGGGCGAGTCGGTCGGCGTGTCCCACACGTCGTTCTGGGCGAGCACGCTCGCCGAGCAGTTGCCCGCGGCGCTGTCGATCATCGCCGACATCGCCCGTCGCCCGCTTATGCCGGCCGACCAGATCGAGGCGGGCCGACAGGTCTGCTTGCAAGAGCTGCACGGTATCGAGGACGAGCCGAGCCAGAAACTGATGCAGGAACTGCGTCGGCGCCACTACGGCGACCCCTGGGGCCGGGCGAGCAGCGGCGACGAGACCGCCGTCGCCGGCCTGTCGATCGAGGACGTCCGCCGGTTCCAGGCGAGTCGGTACTCGCCGGACGGGGCGATCCTCGCCGTCGCGGGAGCGTTCGACTGGGACGCCTTTTGCGACCAAGCGGAGAAGCTACTCGGCGACTGGTCGGCGCCCGAGGTCGATGACAATGCCACCGAGGCGCCCGGGTCGGGTGACGGCCACTTGCCGTACGACTCGTCTCAATCGCACATCGGCATCGCCTATCCGTCAGTCCCTTACAGCCACGACGACTACTTCCAGGCCTGGGCGGCCAACGGCGTGCTCTCCAGCGGCATGAGCTCGCGGCTGTTCACCGAGGTGCGCGAGAAGCGCGGGCTGTGCTACACCGTCTACGCGTCGCTGCAGACGCAAGTCGATCGCGCGGCCGTCTTCTGTTACGCCGGCACGACGGCCGAGCGAGCGCAGGAGACGCTCGACGTCACCCACGCCGAGCTGGTGCGCCTCGCCGATGGCGTTCAGGTGGAGGAACTCTCCCGGCTCAAGGCACGCATCAAGAGCGCGTTGATCCTGCAGCAAGAGTCGACACACGCCCGCGCCGGAACGCTCGCTCGCGACTGGCGCCACCTGGGCCGCATCCGCCCGCTCGCCGAAGTCAACGAGCTAGTCGAAGCGATCACCGCCGACACGATCAACGAGTACCTCCGGCAGAACCCGCCAGGAGACTTCACCGTCGTCACCTTGGGCCCCGCGCCACTCGAGACACCGAAGTAAGGAACCGCCGATGCACGCCGATTGACGCAGATGGAGTTGCGAGGCTTCGCCTCGCGAGTCGTCATCCCCGTTGATCACCGTGCATCGGCGGTTTCAACCATTATGCAGTTTAGAAGCCACAAGCTGTCGAACGGGCTCGAAGTGATCGCCGAGTGCGACCCCTCGGCGTTGTCGCTAGGCGTCGGCTTCTTCGTGCGAACCGGCGCGCGAGACGAGACGCCCGACGAGGCCGGCGTCAGCCACTTCCTCGAGCACATGGTGTTCAAGGGCACCGCCCGCCGGACGGCCGAGGACGTGAACCGCGAGTTCGACGAACTCGGGGCCCACTACAACGCCTTCACCAGCGAGGAGCAGACCGTCTACTACGCGTCGCTCCTCCCCGAGCACCAGGCCGAGTCGGTCGACCTGCTGGCGGACATCCTCCGGCCGAGCCTCCGCACGGAGGACTTCGACATGGAGAAGAAGGTCATCCTCGAAGAGATCGAGATGTACCTCGACCAGCCGCCCTACGGCATGGAAGACCACATCAAGCGGCTCACCTTCGGCGACCACCCGATCGCCAACAGCGTGCTCGGCACGGCCGACTCGGTCGGCGCGCTGACGCCCGAGGCGATGCGGGCGTACTTCGACCGTCGCTACGCGCCGGGCAACGTGGTGCTCGCGGCGTCGGGGCGCGTCGATTTCGACGCCCTCGTGCGTCAGGCCGAAGAGGCGTGCGGCGGCTGGTCGACGTGCGAGACGAGCCGCCCGCAACCGGCGACCGATCGACTGGCGACCCGTGAGGTCGTCGTCAAGGACTCGGCGACGCAGGAGTACGCCCTCGTCTTGAGCGACGGACCCGCGGGCGAGTCGGAAGATCGCTACGCCGCAAAGGTGCTCGCCACGGTGCTGGGCGACGACAGCGGCAGCCGCATGTACTGGCGCCTGATCGACCCCGGCCGGGCGGAGAGCGCGAGCCTCGGTCATTACGACTACCAAGGCGTCGGCATGTTCTACACCTGGCTCAGTTGCGAGCCCGACGCGATCGAGGAGAACCTGGGCGCAGTCGAAGAGATCCTGAAGTCCGCCGCCACCGAGCCCGCCACCGCCGAAGAGCTCGCGCAGGCGAAGAGCAAAATCAAGTCGCGCGTCGTGCTCGGCAGCGAGCGGCCGCGCAACCGGTTGTTTAACGTCGGCGGCGGCTGGCTCATGCGCGGCGACTACCGACCGATCGCCGACGAACTCGCGCGGCTCGACGCCGTGACGCAAGATGACCTCGCCCGCGTCGTCGCGGAGCACCCGCTCGACCAAGCCGCGATCGTCGCGGTCGGCCCCCGCGGCGACTTCCGTCTGTGAGGCGAAGACGCCGATGCTAGTTGACCGGCTTCGCGAAGAGGTGCGACTCGACCCCGAACGAGTCGGCGTCGTCGTTGTCGACCACGGCTCGCGACGCGCGGAGAGTAACGAGCTGCTGAACGAGGTCGCCGCCCTTTTCCAGCGCGTGTCGGGCATGCCGATCGTCGAGCCGGCCCACATGGAGCTGGCCGAGCCGTCGATCGCGGCGGCGTTCACGAAGTGCGTCGATCGCGGCGCCGAGACGGTCGTCGTCTTCCCGTACTTCCTCTCCCCGGGCCGTCACTGGTCGCAAGACATCCCCAAGCTGGCGGCGGAAGCCGCCACTCGACACCCGGACATCCGCTACCAAGTCACGTCCCCGCTGGGCCTGCACGAGCTGATGGCCGAGGTCATGGGCGAGCGGATCGCTCAGTGCTTGCATCGCTCGCTGCACGACGGAGAGCCGTGCGACCTCTGCGCCCCGTCGGGCGGATGCGTCATGCACGACGCGAGCCGATCGGGTTAGCTGGCGCGGGACGGGTCGTCGTGACGATGACCACCCAAGCCGCGCAGGATGCGCCGCTTCCGCCAGACACCAAATCACGGAGAGCAAGGATGCTCGCCTCGTTTCGCACGTTGACGCTCCTCGGACTGCTGGCGCCGCTGGCTTCGCTGGCGGGCACGCCGTTCGTCCCCGGCTCGGGCGACTTCCTACCCCGCTGCAGCGACGACTTCGAGGACCCGACGTGGTCCTACCGGCTCAATCTGCCCAAGAGCAGCTACGAGCAGGACGACAACCAACGCGGCCCCGGCGGCGTTTCGAGCAACCGGCTGTGGCACGAAGGCGCGAAGCGCGGAACGCCGGACGTCGTGAAGCGCGTCGCCACTCCCGCCGGCGGCATCGAAGGAAGCGAGGGCGCCCTCCTGTTCCAAACGCGCCGGGCCGGCATCCCGGGTCGCGTCACGAATCAACAACAGCAGGACGACCTGCTGATGAAGTTCGACCGCCGCATCGGTCGCTCGATTCCCGTCGAGTGGCGTCCGAGCTGCACGGTGCGCGTCTACCTCCCGCCGTTCGAGCAGTGGGAGAACCGCTCCGGCGCCACGTTCGGCATGCGAGGCGACTGCCGCGGCCGCCGGCCTGAGAACGACGTCGCCGCGTACTGGCCCGGCATGTTCATCCTGTTCCGCAGCGAGACCTCGCGCAACGTCGAGAAGGACTACGCTCAGATCTCGGTCCGCGCCAACGGCCGTGGCCAAGACACGCGCCACAAGGACATCACCGAGCCCGGCTGGTGGACGCTCGGCATGAGCTTCGACTCGGACGGCCAGATCCACTACTACGCCAGCGAAGGCGTCGACGACCTGACCGAGGACGACTACCTGACGTCGAACTTCGCCTACAACTACCGCTGCCTCTGCTTCGACAACTTCTTCTTCAACGTCGCCAACTGGGACAACGGGCAGACCTGGAGCACGCCGTGGGTGATCGACGACCCGAAGATCTTTGTGATCCCGCCCGCCGGCAAGGTGGTCGCCGACCTCCCGCGTAAGAAGGGGCAGCGGGTGCCGACCTTCCCGATCACGCACGTCCACGAAGCCGACAAGCCGAAGAACCGCGGCGCCAGCGGTTTCTTCGGCGGGCTCTTCGGCAGCACCAACGGCGGCAAATCGACCCGCAGCCAGACCGCTTCGCGGAGCTCGGGCGGCCGGACGACGACCCGCCGCATCCGCTGAAATCGTGGCGCTCGCGCCGAGATCAATCTGACAGCGGCGAAGTCTCAACGACATCAAAACGCCCCGGTTCGGCATCGGCCGAACCGGGGCATTCTTCGTTGACAAAGCACTACCAAGAAACGACTTACGGCGAATCGCGGCCAGTTGGCGCCGGCGTTGCCTCCCTTTGCGAGCGAGCCCCACCCCGGGGCTAAGCAACTTGCAATAGGAGGCCAATCCGATGACCCGCCTGACCCTCTCCGCCGCCACGACTCTCGCCGCTCTGTTCGCCGCCGCCCCGTCCGCGAGCGCGAACCCGTACGGCCAACTTCACTGGTTCGTCGAACAGATTAGCTCCCAAGCCGCCACGGTCGGCGCCCAGGCGCACGCCACGTTCGACGACTGTGCGTACGGCCCGCTGATCGCCGACGACGTGTTCGACGAGCTGGAAGATCTCAATCGCCGGCTCGCCCGGCTGTGCGACGCGATCGCGACCGGCCCGCCGACGCGTGGGTCGCTGCGACGCATCGAACGGAACGCCCGTCGCGTTCACCGCCAGGCGGTCGAACTCGACGCCGAGATCCGTGACGCCATCGCGGACCTCCGGCGCCGCGAGCTGCGTCGGGCCCGGCACGCGTTCCGTCAGCCGCTGGCGTACGGCGTCCCGGTCGCTCCGCACCGTGGCGGCGTGAACCTGAGCCTGGCCGGCGGCCGCGTGCAGCTCAACTTTGCTTCGACCCACCCGGCGGCGCGTCACCTCGCCAACCACCGGTTCGCGACGCGCCACGTCGTCGGCTACCCGACGATCGGCTACGGCGCGGGGCTGCACCAGATCGCCGCCCCCGGCTGGGCTCGCCAGCCGCAGGCGGACGCCCTGTGTGCCCAGAGCGAACGCCTGGTGCGGATGACGAAGCAACTCGTGCAGATCGTCTGTGGGTGAGACAGGCGCCCCCAGAGGGCGGCCGGCACGGAGTGGACGGGGGCGGGCCTGACCGTCGCCGTCTGCCGGCCGCCTGGCGACGCACGACCCCGTCGGGGCTCCCGAGCCCCGGCGGGGTTGTTGCTTTGGGGCCCCTTCGGCTACACCGACGGCTTGCGCCACCAATCCGGGCGTTGGCGCCACCGGCCGCCCAGCCGCTGCTGCCGTCTGCCCACTGCCTTCTGCCTACTCGTCGCCATGCCCCGCAATCGCACTTACGACAACGCCGCCACGTGCATCGGCGACACGCCGATGATCCGCATCAACCGCCTCGTGCCCGAAGGGCAGGCGACGGTCTTCGCGAAGTGCGAGTTCTTCCAGCCGCTCAACAGCGTCAAGGACCGCATCGGCGCCGCGATGATCGAGGCCGGCGAGCGTGACGGCCACATCAAGCCCGACACGAAGATCGTCGAACCGACCAGCGGCAACACCGGCATCGCCCTGGCGTTCGTCTGCGCGGCGAAGGGCTACCACCTCACGCTGACGATGCCCGAGAGCATGTCGATGGAGCGGCGCACGCTGCTGCGAGCGATGGGCGCCCACCTCGTACTCACCCCCGCGGCCGACGGCATGAAGGGCGCGATCGCCAAGGCGAGCGAGCTGGCAGCCGAGCCGGGCGCCTGGATGCCGCAGCAGTTTGAGAACCCCGCCAACCCAGCGATCCACGAGACCACGACCGGCCCCGAGATCTGGGAAGACTCCGGCCACGACATCGACTGTATCGTCGCCGGCGTCGGCACGGGCGGCACGATCACCGGCAGCAGCCGTTTCCTCAAGAAGCAGAACCCGGCGTTCAAGGCGATCGCCGTCGAGCCGACCGACTCGCCGGTCATCAGCGGCGGCTCGCCGGGTCCGCACAAGATCCAAGGCATCGGCGCCGGGTTCATCCCGGGCAACCTCGACACCGAGTTGGTCGACGAGGTGGTGCAGGTCTCCAACGAGGAGGCGTTCCAGTGGGCCCGCCGGCTGGCGAAGGAAGAGGGCATCATGGGCGGCATCAGCAGCGGGGCCAACATGTGCGCCGCCGCCAAGGTCGCCGCCCGCCCCGAGATGGCCGGCAAGCGGATCGTCACCATCATGTGCTCGCTCGGCGAGCGCTACCTGTCGACCCCGCTGTTCGAGGGCCTGGCCGGATAGCGGCTGCCCTTGCCGCCTCCGGGCAGACGACTACGATCTGGATACACGGGCTCGGCAGACCATCGGTCGCCGGGCCCGTGATCGTTTACCAACCCACCGGGCTTCTCGCTGTCGAGACTCGGTTGCAAGACCCACTCAACCGACCGAGACGATTCATGAGCGACTTCTCGCAGCCGATGCAGGACGCGATCAACCAGCAGATCAACAACGAGCTGTTCTCGTCCTACTCGTACCTCTCGATGTCGGCGTTCCTCGAGGCCGAGCAGTTCACCGGCTGCGCGCAGTGGATGCGTCTGCAGAGCCAGGAAGAGTACGCCCACGCGATGCGGCTGTACGAGTTCCTGATCGCCCGTGGCGGTCGGGTCCACCTCAAGCCGATCGAGCAGCCGCAGGTCAACTTCGAGTCGGTGCCGCAGGTCTTCGAGGCCGCCCAAGCGCAAGAGAAGACGGTCACGTCGCAGATCAACGACATGTACGGACTGGCGCTGGCGGAGAAGTCGTACGCGGCGATGGTCGAGCTGGAGTGGTTCGTCAAAGAGCAAGTCGAGGAGGAGAAGACCATCCGCGACATCGTCCACAAGTTCAACTTGGTGAAGGACGACCCGGCGTCGCTGCTCGACCTCGACCGCGAACTGGGCGACCGCAAGCCGGAAGACGAAGGCGACGAGTAGTCAGCCGAAACGGCTCTTTGGCCGATCGACTTTTGTCGGGGGTCCCAAGAACTGGCGCCCCCGACAAAAGCCCCCGATTTCGCGCCGCAAGTAGTTGCCGGCGGGCGGGTTAGCGTTTTGTCGGGGGTCATTTCGATGACCGGCGGCAAGCGGCGCACGGCGAATTGCCCCATTCTCCCCGGCGACGTCGCGTCGCCCAAGCGGCGATGTCGGTCACGTTAGCGTTGTCCGGTTTCTGAGACCGGGGCTACGCCTTCTTGCAGATGAACACGCTCTGTCGCGGGCCTAGCCGGTAATCGCCGTACCCGCGACGGGTGCGGACGCGGAAGCCGATCTCTCGCAGCCAGGTCGTCATCTCCGCGCGGGAGAACACCTTGAGCCGGTGCGTCTCGCCGTCGCGGCGGTACGTGCGGCCATCTTCGCTCGTGAACGTCGTGATGTGTCGCTTGAAGCTGGCGCCTTGTTCTTCGATCAGCGCGTGGCAGAACCAGCCGTCGCCGTGCCGCACGTGGTCCCGCGGCGCCACCGGCTTCGGGGATGGATGCCGGACGTCGAAGACGAAGACTCCCCCGGGTCGGAGCGCTCGGTAGACGTTCTGCAGAGTGCGCCGCAGCTTCGGGCCGCTGTTGAGATAGTTGAGTGGCTCGCCGAAGGACGTCGCCGCGTCGCACTCGGGCAGCTCGACTTGGTCGAACGACCCGTGCAGCAGCTTGGCCTTAGGAGCAGTACGCTTGGCGAGCTTCAGCATCCCGGATGAAACGTCAACGCCGATGGCCGAGTATCCCTCTTTGTCCAGCCTCGCCAGCCACTGGCCGCCGCCGCACCCGAGGTCGACGACGCGCCCCGACGCGACGCCCGCGTCCGCCAGCCACCCGAGCGTCGCGCCGGCGGCCCCCTCCCAGTGAAAGCCGTACCCCGCGACATGGATCGCCGCGAGGTCTTGGCGGTAGAGTTCGCGGGCGGGTGATTTGCGTGACATCTTTTCTGCGAGTTTCCCCGTCGATTGCGGCTTCCGGGGCGGGCCAACGTCCTTGCCCGTCGCCACGCGCGACGTTTTTAGCGGTTTCCTCGGTCGGTAGCCACGCCGTGCGGTGTTCAGTAGGTCGTCCGTTAAACTACTTGCACAGCCGGAACCCACGGCTGGCTCGACCCTCGGAGTCCACGCTGATGAAGAAGGCCCTGCTGTTCACGAGCGTGCTCGGTGCCCTGCTGCTTTCCGATCGTTCTGCCGCAGGCGACGAAGCCGGGCGGCCGCCTTCCGCCACGACCGTGGCCGTCAACACGCCCGAAAGCGGGCCCGGCGAGCCGACGCCGACGGGCCGGCGTGTGGTCGGCAACGAAAACTACGTGCATCTCGAACAGGTGGACGGCACGTGGTGGCTGGTGGACGGCGACGGCGTCCGGTTCGTGCCGACGGGCATGAACCACGTCGGCGAGATGTACCGCTTCGCTCCGTACAACCGCGCCTACTGGCTGAACAAGTTCGGCGACGGCATCTACCAAGACGGGCGTGTCAACTGGCGGGGGCCGGAGGCGAAGAAGTGGATGGCGCGCGTCGCCAAGGATCACAAGGACTTCGGCTTCAACACGATCTCCTTCCACCGGCCCCAGTTCATGCCGGACGAGTACTGGGAAGAGCTGGAGATCTTCTACATGGGCAAGCCCAAGCTGGGCGAGATCACCGCGATGTACGCGGCCCGGTGGTGGGGCGGCATGCCGGACGTCTTCAGCCCGCAGTGGATCGCGGAGGCCGAGAGGAAGGTCATCGCCTACTGCGAAGTCCACCGGGACAACAAGTACTACCTCGGGCACTCGTTCAACGACCAGCCCGACTACTCGATCAACGCCATCCGCAAGAACCAGCGGGGCTTCTTCCACCACCCGTGGGTGATCGACATTATCAAAAAGCCCGGGCTCACTCCCGGCAAGAAGGTGTGGATGGAGATCCTTCGACGGCACTACGCGACCCCCGCCGACGCGGCGGAGATGTACGGCGTCCGGATGGACAACTGGGAGGACGTTGGCGGGATCACCGAGTGGCCGAAGCCCAAGGATCAGACGCAAGGAGAAGCCGACCAAACCGCGATGCTCCAGCGGTGCGTCGAAGCGTGGCTCAAGACGCATCACGACCTGCTAAGGAAACACGACCCGAACCACTTGATCCTCGGCGACAAGATCGGCATGGGCGTCATGGGCCCCGGGTGGGGCGGCGGCCAGCCGGCCTGGATCTGGGACATCGTCAAGAAGTACGTCGACGTCGTCCTGATCCAGTCCTACGACTTCTACAACGACAGGCACCGCGCCCAGTTGGAGATGGTCTACGAGAAGACCGGCCTCCCGATCACCAACGGCGACCACAGCTACGGCTTCAAGCGGCCGAGGATGAACGCCGTGAAGGGCGTCCCCGTAAACAGTCTTGAGGCGGTGGGCGTTCAGTACTCGGAGTACTTGAAAGGAATCATGAGTCACCCCTACATGCTCGGGTGGCAGACCTGCGGCTACCTGGAAACCTGGAGCGGCGTGACCGACCCCACGGGCCAAGAGCAAGGCGGGTTCTTCGACCCCTTCGGGGAGCCGCTGATGGAAGCGCTCCGTCACGCCCAGGCGGCCAACGAGCAGGCGGTCGCGTGGCACGAACGCGCCGGCGCTTCTGATCGGTAAGTGGGCACCTTGCCCACCTACGAAGGAGATGAGCATGCGAACCGCTGGGTGATGTCGGTCAACGCGCGTAGGTTAATTGCCACCCGCGACCCGGCGGTTGAGGATGCAGCGGTACAGCGCCCCAACGAACCTGCGATACAGCGCCAAAATCAACACGGGGGGGCTATGTCTGACGGCTCCGCCCCTGGTCGTTCCGCAGCGCCCGGCCGCGACGACGCACCACGCCGGTTGTCAGCACAAATGTAGTCAGGGTGATCGAGCCCGGTTCGGGGACGGCAAGCGTGACCACGATCGCCCCGAGCGGATCGACGCCCGCCGAGCCCACGTCCGCGTCCGATTTCTCGACAAGGGTAATCGAGAAGGGCGATCCATCCTGGAGCACACCACTGAGTGTTGAGTTCCGGGCTGATACCTCGAAACCCTCACCCGGCTCCAACCCCGTAATCGGGACTCCGTCAAGCTCGAAGGAAGCGCCGACAAACTCGAGCAGTCCGTTTTGATTTACGTTGACGAACGCGTTGTCGAAGGACCATTCGCCACCGCGTACCCTTGCGTAACCGGATAGCAGAAAGTCTCCGGGTCTCTCAAAAATGGAACCGCCTGTAACGTCGAGCGCAGGATTGGTTGTCCCGGATGGCGCGACAATCAATGCGTTCACGCCCCCCCTGTGACGCTCACCGAGCTGCCATCGGCAAAAATCTCATCGACCAAACCGCCTTCGACATAGAGAGCGCTCGCGTTGGTGACACTGGTATTTCCCACGTCCCCATCGCGAACGCGCCCAATTCCACCATCCTCGACACGGAAGTCTCCGAATGCCGTCCCTGCAAGGTTAGCCGTCGCTCCGTTCCAAACTGTTATAACCGTGGGAACAGCGGCGAGATCTCCGACCAGGCTGTAGTTCAACTCGCCGCCATCGGTCACGAAGATGTCAGATATAAAGACTTCCGGGTCACCTACCAGGTTGAGTTGCTGACCCGCGCCGACGAGGAAGTCAAACTCATCGTCAGGAACGACCAACGGCAACAGCGAATCGGGAGGTACCGTAAAGACCTCGGTGAACTGCCCAGTCGCCCGTTCGGCCGCAACACTCCATGGAAGCAGCACGCCCGCTGCGAAGACGATTAACAGTCGGTTCATACTCGAACATCCTCCTACTCCTAGTCGTTATCGTGTAGTCCGAAGCGTGAGCGATCACACCGCCGTCTCTTCTTCCTCCGGGAGCCGCCGCAGGAACAGCCCCAGCATCACCCAGCTCAGGCCGTTGAAGAGCAACTCGCAGCCGACCATCAGGCCGATCAGCCAGAGGGCGCTCTCGGGGAACGTGTCGTAGACGATCATGCCCAAGAGGAGCGTCACCAGGCCGTTCAGCACGGCCCAGCCCCACTGCGGGAAGCGCTCGACCACGGCGACGATCACCCGGAACGCGCCGACGACGATGAAGAACGCCGCGGCGAACAGCGTCAGCATCGCGGTCGACTCGACCGGCGTGTCGCGGATCGCGATGCCCGCCACGAGGTAGAGGAGCCCGACCAAGATTTGCAGCAGCAGCGAGCTCCAGCGTCCGGCCCAGAACGCGCCGACAATCGTCACCGCGCCGCTGATCACCAGCACCGCGCCGAACACCCGCACCGCGGCGACGCTCGACACGAACGGGTAGGCGACGCTCAGCACGCCGCCGACGACGAGCACGACCCCGAGCATCAGGAAGACCCACCAGTACCGACGGGCCTGCTCGACGGTGGCGGCGAGCATCTCTTTGACTTCGGCGACGGCGGCCTGGTCTCCGGCAAGCGGGTTCTTGGCGAGGGGGTCGGTAGCCATCAGGGGTTCTCCGGGTGCGAGTCGAGCGAGCCTGCTGGCCTGACTTTACCCTGCCCAGCGGGGCGGGCGCCTCGGTTTTCTGTTGGAAACCGCGGTGAGTTCCCTCCCCCGTTGGGGGAGGGTTAGGGTGGGGGTGCAGTGGGTACCCGGCGCCCCCCACCCCGGCCCTCCCCCAACGGGGGAGGGAGCATCTCGATACGGCTTGTGAGCGCGTGCGTTATGCTGGGGCGCACCGCTCCCCCTCGTTGCAGGAACCGTCCGCCATGGGTCTTCTCTCTTGGATCGTCTTCGGCCTGATCGCCGGCGCGCTCGGCAAATTCTTCATGCCGGGCAAGGGCCCGAGCGGGTGGGTCGTCACGTGCGTGCTGGGCGTCTTGGGGGCCGTCGTCGGCGGCTGGATCGGGACACAGCTCGGCTTCGGCGACGTCAGCGGGTTCGACTTCCGCAGCCTGGTGATCGCGGTGATCGGCACCGGCGCGGTGCTGCTCGTGTATCGAGCGATCGCGAAGTAGCCGCTCAGGGCTCGGAGCGCGCGGCCAGGAACCGCGTCAGCTCCTCGACGAACTCGGGCTGGCTCGGCGCCGAGCCGTGGTCGCCCGGGACGGTGACCAGGCGCAGCCCCTTCATCGTTTCGGCGAGTCGCCGCGCGTCGTCGAGGAACGAGTCGTCTTCGCCGCTGATCGCCAAGGCCGGCGTTTCGTTGCGGCCGAGTCGCGCCGCGTCGATGCTCCACTCGCGCCAGCGGGCGCTGATCAGGCCGAGCGCCTTCGGGTCGTTCCCGTCGAGCAAACCCATCGCGGCGAGGTTGGTCTCGATCTCTTGTCGCAACGCCTCGGAGTAAGCCTCCGGCAGCGGCGGCTCGCCGTAGCCGGCCAGAGTCACGCTGATGACGCGTGTCGGGTGCAGGTCACGCAGCTTGTTGGCGATGATCGCCCCCATCGAGTATCCGACGACGTGCGCCCGCTCGATCCCGAGGTGATCGAGCAGACGCCGCGCGTCTTCAACCATCGGCAGCCCGTAGGCTTCGAGGGTCGGCGGCCGATCCGACCTGCCGTGGCCACGGTGGTCGTACGCGACGACGCGGTAGCCGCGTTGCGCCAAGGCGTCGATCACGCCCGAATCACGCCACATCGACTCGGCGTCAGCGGCGTATCCGTGCAAAAGGAGCACGACCGGGCCGCTGCCTTCGTCCGTGTAGCCGAGTCGTACGCCGTCCGAATCGAAGAACTCGGCGCCTAGCCCTGACGCCACGCAACACGCCAATGAGAAACAGGCCAAAACGGCGGCGCGGAGTGACGAACGCATCGTTCCAGGATACCCCGCCGCAAGCCGTCACGCCGCCGCTTTCGCGGGGGCGTCGAACTCGACCTCGGCCGTGCGGTTGGAACGCAGTCGCGGCGCTTCCATCGTGAAGCGGTGCGAGAACGTCGCGCCGCTCGCGGTGACGAAGTCGGCGTAAAACTCCGGCGCGTCCGGCACGGGGAAGTCGTCCGGCACGTCGAAGAACATCGCGGGGCTGAGCGAGATCGTCGACTCGGGGCCGACGTTCCACGGCGGGCGGTCGTCGCCGCCGTAGCCCCAGTCGCCCTGCACCGTGCCGCGCTCGGTGACGAGGAAGCAGTCGAACAGGATGAGCGAGTTCTGCCGCGTGCTGTGGTTCACCGCGAGCACGCCCCCCTCGCCGAGCTGCTGGAGACAAACTCGTTTCCAGCCCTCACGCTGCGGGTGCCGGCGTGTGCTGAGGCGGAAGTTTGAGAGCTGGTAGAACTGCAGGTTCGGCCGTTCCTTCCGCGCCTTAACGAGCCAGAAGTAACCCGTGAAGACGAGCGAGAGCCCGCTGAAGATCATCTTCAGGTCGAGCGAGGCGTCCATCGAGAGGCTCCGTTGCGGAGGGAAACCGGCGGCGGACGGTAGCAGGGGCGGCGGAACGACTCAAGCACAAGCAAGGTTCGTTCCCTCGATACTTGGACCTCAGCGAAACGGCCCCGTCCAAACGCTAAACAGCCCCGACCAAGCTTGGTCGGGGCTGCTAGCCGTTTCAGTTGCTGTCGCGAACCGAGTGTCAGCCGTTCCGGCGACGCAGGCCGCAGGTCGCCGCCAAGGCGGAGACCAGCATCGCGGCCGCGGCCGGCTCGGGGACGACCAGCTCGCCGACCGCCTCGATCGCGTTGATGTCGATCACGCCGTAGGCGCCGTCGGTCTGGTTCGGGCTGATGACCAGCTCGCTCAGGGCGTAGCCGTGGTCCCACAGGTGCCCGCCGTGGCGGAGGAACGAAGCTCCCACGGCGCCGAGCGACGCGTCGAGCACGAAGATCTCCGAGCCGGTGGCGTAGTACCCGTCCGGGTCACCCGGGTTCGGGATCTGGCGGATGCTGAAAATCAACTGGTCACCAGGGGCGCCGGTCGGATCGCGGTCGAACGAATCGCTGTCGCCGACGATGTCGCGGACCATCAGGGCGTCCAGGTTGATCGCGGCGTTGCCGTCGATGAAGTCCGGGAACGGCAGCACGGCGCCGCCGGGGACCGGGCCCAAGAGCGACGTCACGGCGCCGACGATCGCCGAGTGCGGGACGTACGGCGTGCCGGAGAGGTTCCACACGCTCGTCGCGGGCGGCCCGCCGGCGGTGCCGCTGAAGGCGTCGACCTCAAGCGAGTACTTGTCCGCGTCGCCGGTCAGGCCGGGCTCGGGACCCCAGACCTCCACGCCGTCAACGTCGTCCGGCAACGGCATGCCGTTCACTTCCGACTGGGTCGCCCAGACCCCTTGCGTCGACGGCGGAGCGTACGCGCCGGCCAGCTCGTACGACAACTCACCGGCGCCGCCGATGACCTTGCCTCCGGGCAAGAAGATCGGGCCTGCCGACGGGACAACGCCGGGCACGAAGCCGGGGCCGCCAGCCGGTCCGGGGGGACCGCCGGGGTACACGCTGATCATGTCGTCGTGCGAGAAGATCAGGTGGGCTCGGTCTTGGCGGAGGCGACGGAAGAGCGCGTCGCCGTGGTTGGCGACCGCGTCGACTTGGTCCTCAGGCGAGTAGCTCGGACGCGTGCCCGAGTAGTCGAGGCCGTCGGCCGTTCCGCCGACGCCGTCCCAGGCGATGACCTGCTGCGGGTCGGCGACACCGCCGGGGCCGACAGTCGACTGGTCCGTGTCGTGCGAGTACTCCTTGCCGAAGGTGTCCTTCGGCGCGATCAGGCCCGGGCCGATGCCGGGGTTCGCGCCGGGCGGCAGGGCGATCGGCGTGTAAGGGATGGTCGCCCCGGCGGGCAGGGCGACGCCTGCCACGAGCAGGCTGAGCAAGGTGCGTGCGGACATCGGATGCTCCTGTTCTGTTTCTCGGGCCGCGATGGAAAAGACAGCCCGGGCCTGGAGGCGACCCGCTCGATCGCCCGAGCTGACGCGGCCCCCGGAGCCTCGCGACGAGGCGTTCAACCCGGGGTCACGTAGGGGCAATCCGCGAACAGGGCACAAGGCCGACAGAGAAATCGAGAAATGCGACCGCCGTGGCGCTGTGGTCGGCAAGCAACGGGAAGTGCTCTTGGCCCGACGGCGGCCTTGTCGGATGATCCCGTCCCCTGTCGGCCCCCACCCGATTCGTGCCGCCGCGTGTTCGGACTTCTTCGCACAACGCTCGCCCTGATGGTGATGGTCTATCACCTGCTCGCGTCGTTGCCGGAGATCGGCCAGTACGCCGTCTTCGGCTTCTATGTCATCAGCGGCTACCTGATGACGCTGGTCACCACCGAGCGTTACGGGCACACCGTGAGGGGCGGGGCCGCCTTCTTGACGAACCGCGCTCTGCGGATCTACCCCGGCTACCTGGCCGCGGTCGCGGTCTCTCTCGCGTGCGTGCTGGTCGTCGGTGATGGCTTCACCTCCGCTTACAACCGCAACATGGGCGCGCCGGCGACTCTCGCCGGCTGGCTGTCGAACCTGTCGCTCGGCTTCCCCGGTTGGAACCCCATGGAAGCGCGGCCACGGCTCGTGCCGCCGGCTTGGACGCTGACGGTCGAGATGCTGTTCTACGCCGCGATCGGGTGCGGACTCGCGACGACGCCGCGGCGCGTCGGCGTCTGGATTGCCGGGTCGCTGGCCTACGTGCTCGCGACGTTCGCGCTGGGCCTGCCGAACGTGCACCGCTACGCACCGGTTGCGGCGGCGTCGCTCCCGTTCGCGATCGGCGCGGCCGCGTACCACCTCTCGATTGCCGACACGATCCGCCTGCACGCTCACGCCGCGGCGTACGCCCGGCTCGCGTACTTCGTGTTGTTGTCGAACTGCGCTTTCTTCGCGCTAGGTGGCGCCGACTCGATCGGCGTGGCGCGTGACGTCGGCTTGTACGTCAACACGGCGATCTCGGGAATCTTGGTGCTGTCGCTCGCCCGCGGCGGCCAAATCGCGCCGATCTCGGCCGGTCTCGACCGCGCCGTGGGCGACTACTCCTACCCGGTGTACCTGCTGCATTGGCAGGGCGGCCTGATCGCGTCGCTGCTGCTCTTCGGGTCGCCGGTACGCGGGTGGTCGCCTCAGGGCTTGATCGGCTTCGTGGCGGCGGGCGTGATCGTCGCCGTCGGCTCGTGGCTGATGATCAACGCCGTCGAGCGCCCGATGCAGGGTCTGCGCGACCGCGTGCGCCGCCGTGCCCAGCCGAGGAGCGAAGCGCCGCCGCCGGTGCGTCGAGCGGCCTAGCTCACTTGGCGCCGAGCTGACGTGTGGCCCCAGGAGCCTCGCGGCGAGGCGTTCAACCAGGGGGTCACGGTGGGTCGATCACGAGGGAAGCGAGGAGCCCAACACCAGTTCGCGAGTATCTTCGTGCGCGACGCGAATCGGCCCGGGCCGTCGCGACGATGGTTGCGTCAGCCGCAACACGGCCGTAACGTGCCGGGCGTCCCAGCACCCCACCAGCCGAAAGCCCGCGACATGCACCCGGTCCTCAATCGCGAACTGTTCCTCGTGAAGGAGAAGGTGGGCGCGTGGCGCGCCGCTAACCACTACGACATCTACGACCCGGAGTCTGGCGAGCTGCTGCTGGAGTGCCGCGAGCCGCGACTAGGCCCGATCACGAGCCTCCTCCGCTGGACCGACTACAAGACTTCCGCGCCGTTCGACATCGACATCCGGACGCCCTCGGGCGAGCCGATCGTGAGCGTCCAGCGTGGCTGGGCCTGGCTGCGGTCGAACGTGTCGGTGCTCGACGGGCAGGACCGCCGCGTCGGCGGTTTCCAACAGAAGCTCTTCTCGATCGGCGGCGCGTTCACCGTGGTCGACGAGGCCGACAAGCCCCTCTGCGAGCTGAAGGGGAAGTGGACGAGCTGGGAGTTCAGCTTCCGCGCGGGCGACGCGGAACTGGCGAAGGTCACCAAGAAGTGGGCCGGCCTCGGCAAGGAGATGTTCACGTCCGCCGACAACTACATGTTGCAGGTCAACCCGCAGGTGCCGCCCGACAGCGTCTTGCGGCAGCTGATACTCGCGGCGGTAGTCTGCATCGACATGGTGCTGAAGGAGTGATCGAGACGCCTAGCGGGCGGGCCTCCTGCATCGTCGCTCGCAATGACCCCACCCGCCGATGTCGCACGACAATCAAACCACGATCCACCTCGACCAGTTCCTCAAAGCCCAATCGCTGGTGGCGACCGGCGGCCAGGCGAAGATGGTCATCCAAGGGGGGGAGGTGACGGTCAACGGCGAGGTCGAAACCCGCCGCCGGCGGCAGTTGCGGCAGGGCGACGTCGTCGTCTTCGAAGGCCAACGACTCACCGTCGAATTCGACGAGCAAGAATCGACCTAGGGCGCCGCGAACGGGTCGATCCGGGCGGCCGATCGAAAGGCACAGGCACAGCGATATGGTTGGCTCTTTCTGAGGATGAGCCAGACAGAGGCTTGGTTACGTGCTTCAGCTCAACAACCACAAGACGAGTGCGGCTATGCTGGCTGCGGCACCTAGTACGCCGAGTGCAGCAAACACCCAGTGTGTACGGAGCGTTTCGCCTATGCACGGGAGGTAGCCTCCGTACTCATCGACAAGCTTGGCATCGGTCTTCAGCGTGGCGTCCGAGGCGCGGCCTACTACGTTGGCTAAGATGTCGACTTTCCTGAGTGTCGACTGGTGCAGCTTGACGTACTGCTTCGCAGTAAACGCGTCCGCCTCTTCTTGTCCCGTGAGAAAGTCACGGTCGGTTATCGCGTTCCGTTTGATCAGGGTCGCAAGGCGTGGATGCGCTGCGTAACCAACGCCGTAGATATCGACAAGCAACCGCGCCAGATCGCAGCGATGCGACTCATTGATAGGTTGTGGTTTACCTCCCAAGACTTGATACCGATGGTCAATTGCCGCGAATCCATAATTCGCGTCGCGCATATTCCAGTGCAGCCACAGGAAGGACTCTCTCTTGCTCGCGTACTCGTAGAAATCCTTCAGCATTCTCTTCTCTAGTTCATCGTAGTCCGCGTCAATTTCGTCAGTTGATACCTTCTTGTTCTTCTCGGCGGCCTGATGAATGGAGAACGACGTTGTTTGACCGGAGCCTAGGTTCCGGACGGCGATCGAGGTTATTCGAGGAGAAGAGCCGTCTTCTCGGTCATAGAAGCTCTCGCACGAGTAGTGAATAACAGCGACGGTTTCGGCCCGCGCCATCAATGCCGCAAGTCGTTGCTTGCCGACCTTACGCCTGCTTACTCGATCACTCATCTGTGGGCCGCCGCCCGCAGGGCGACGAGGTACGGCACCGGCTCGGAGCCCAGTGCGTTGAGCACCGTGCCGCCGGCGGTGAAGCAGTGGGTGACCCAGTCGGGCTCGCCGTACTTGTCGAGGGCCTTGCCCCCCTCGCCGCCGCCGACGTAGACCTCGACGCCGGCGTCCTTCATCCGCTTCAGCTCGGGGACCCAGGCCTTCGTGCCCGCCTCGAACTTCGGGTCCTCGAACACGCCGAAGACGCCGTTGTGGAACGCGACCGCTTTGCCGCCGGCGCGTTCGATGAACACGCCGACCGCTTGGCTGAACGCCTCGATCGACTTGGGGCCGATGTCGAGCTGCTGGTCGCTGGGCGAGAGCTCGTCCTTCGCCGTGCCGTCTTCGACGACCGAGTCGACCGGCACGGTGAACGTGATCCCCTTCTCGCGGCCGTCGGCGACGATCGCCTTCGCTTGGGCGACGCGGTCCTCGGGGATGTACCACGGCTCGCCGCCGTTGGCCGGGTCCTCGGCCGCGCCGAGGCAGACCGGCGCGTCGTCGAGCTGGCCGATCGCCTTGCGGATCGCCATCGCGAGCGAGCCGGAGGCGAAGATCTGCTTGATCGTGCCGCGGGCGATCATCGCCTCCATGTCGTCGAGCTTGTCGATCTTGATGCCGCTGAAGACCGCCAGGTCCGCCTTGAGGCACTGCTGCATCGGGCCGTCGAACTCGCCGGCGGCGTACTTGCCGAGGGCGACCCGCTCCATCGCCGCGGGCACGGCGACGCTCGACGCGTCGAGCGAGCCGGCCGAGAATGCCTCGTTGACGTAGACCTTGGCGACCTTCTCCGCCAACTCGTTGGCGAGCTTCGCGAGCTTCGGCGCCAGGCCCGGCAGGTCCGATTCCTTCGCCTTCCAGAGGACGCGCTCGACGTCGTACTTGCGGGTGTTCTGCAGGACGATCACCGCGCCGTCGGCTGCCGAGGCGATGGCGTCGGTCGCGGCCGGCGTGACGGTCGTCGTCGACTCGTCGAGCCAGTCCTCGACCAGCGGCACGTCGCAGCCCAGCAGTTCGCCGAGGCGCTTCGCGACCTTCTCGAGCGAGCCCTCGGGCTTGCGGCCGATGTGTCCGAAGAGAACCTGCTTCCAGCCCTTCTCTTGGCCGTATTTGAGCGTGTCGACCATCGAGCGGAGGCGGATGTCGCCCTCGCCGATGTTGGCGCCCGGCTTAGCGTCGACGTCGGCGCGGACCAAGACAGGCGTGCCGGCGGGGACGTCCGCCAGCGAGTCGAGCCGCGGCACGGCCGCGAGGTAGTCGTTGAGCGTCAGGTCGGGCGCCGCCTCGCGGCCTTGGACCAGGGTCTCGCACCACGACTGCATCTGGGCTTCGGTTACCGACATCGCTCGCTTCCTCGACTGTCCTGTTGGGGGCCTGTCAGAGGCCTGCTGGGGGGATTGGTCCGCTCCGAGCCCAGCAAGGTAGCACAGCAGCCACGGGCCAACCAGCGACGCGAGGGGCCGGCCGTTGACCGACAGACGTGGCCCCGACCAAGCTTGGTCGGGGCTACTGAGCCCTGCTCGCTTCATGGTCTGAGCGCTATCATGAGGTCACGATGACGATCACCACACTTCGTGGCGGCTGCGAACCCGAGACGGCGACCGCGTTGCCGGCCGAGCGGCTCTGCTGCGCTGGCGCCTCGGTCGACCACGCCCAGATCGCGAGGCTCGCTTGCGAGGCGGCCAGCAACCCGCTCGGGCTGCCGCCGCTGCGGCAGTGCTTAACGCCGGACGACCACGTCGCCTTGGCGGTCGCGCCGGGCGCGCCGGCGGCTTCGGCCGTCGTGGCGGGTGTCGTATCCGCTCTAGCCGAGGCGGGCATCGAGCGGCGACGCATCCGCGTCGTCGCCGCCGAAGCGCGGGAGGCGCGATCGCTCGAAGAGGCGCTCGCCGACGAGGTCGCCGCCGGCGTCGGTATCGAGTCGCACGACCCGCTCAACGAAGACGGACTCTGCTTCGCCGGGGTGACGCGATCCGAGCAGCCGCTGCTGCTCAACCGCACGCTCTTCGAGGCCGACGTCGTGTTGCCGATCGCCGGCGTCGAGCCCGACGACGAAGAGAAGGCCGGGGCGGCCGAAGCCCATCGCGGGATCTACCCCGAGTTTTTCGACCGCACGGCAATCGACCGCTACTACGGAGATCTCGAGGCTCCCGACGACGAAGCCCCTGCAGCGGATGCTCCGTCGGCGAGTCGAGCGCGTGACGCGCACGACGCCGCGGGAATCGTCGCGGCCTCGTTGGTTCTACGAGCCGTGCCGGGGCCCGACGGCGGCGTCACCGCCGTGGTCGCCGGGCTGCCGTTGGACGTCGGTCGCTCGGCGCGCGAAGCGGGACGAGCCGCCTGGGTCACGCCGCTGGCCGAGCCGGCGGACCTGGTGCTCGCCGTCGTCTCGGGCGGGCCCGAGCAGCAAACCTGGGACGCCGTCGCTCGCGCGTTGGCCGTCGCCGAGCCACTCACCAAGCCGGGCGGGGCGGTCGCCGTGTGGAGCGACGTCGCCGAGCCGATCGACTCGCTCGTCGAGCGTCTCGAACAAGACGCGCACGCCGTCGACCGCTTCGGCGATAGCGACTCGCAAGAGCAAGACTTCGTCGCGCAACGGTTCGCCGAGGCCCTCGACCGCGGGCCCGTGTTCCTGCACAGCCAGATCGACCCCGACGACGTCGAAACGCTCGGCTTCGCCCCGGTCGCGGACGAGGCCGAGATGCAGCGGCTCGTCGGCCGGTTCGAGGCGTGCACCGTGGTGGAAGGCGCCCAGCACGTCCGGTTCCAGATCGAAGACGGGGCCGAGGCGTGAGCGAGCCCCAATCTTTGAGCCTGCCCGCCAACGCCTGCGCGATCGTCGACGGCTGGTCGTGTGTCGAAGCGGTCGGCCCCGATGCGGGGTCGTTCCTTCAGAGCTTCTGCACGAACGACGTGCTCAAGCTCGCCGACGGCGACGCCTGCGAGGCGATGTTCACCGACGTGAAGGCGCACGTCTTGGCCTACGGTTGGGTCGGCCGCGTCTCGGCGGAAAGGCTGCTCGTCTTGCTCTGGTCGGATCGCGCCGAAGCGTTGCGTGAGCACTTGGACCGCTACCTGATCCGCGAGCAGGTTGAGCTCACCGCACGCCAAGACCTCCGGGTCGCCTTTGTCGGCGGCGCGACTGACGACGGAGACGCGTCGTCGTTCCGCTGCGAGGCGTTCGGCCCGACGGCGCGAGTACAGGTGGTAGACGACGCTGAGCATCTTGCCGCGGCGAACCATCGAACGATCGAGTCCGAGGAGTTCGAACGTCTCCGAATCCGCCTCGGCGTGCCACGTGACGGCGTCGACGTCGACGATCGCAACCTGCCGCAGGAGGTCGATCGGAACGAACGGGCGATCTCGTTCACCAAGGGCTGTTACCTCGGACAAGAACCGGTCGCGCGGATCGACGCGCTGGGGCGCGTGAACTGGCTGTTGCGCGGCATTGAGATCGACGGCCCGCCGCCCGAACCCAGCGTCGAGTTGACGCGCGACGGCAAGGCCGTGGGGCGTGTCACCTCGTCGGTCGCGAACGACAGGGGCGCCATCGCCCTGGCTTACCTGCGGCGCGAGCACGCCGAGGCTGGGACGGAGCTCGTTGTGGAAGGCTCGGCGGCGAAGGTTTGCGCCTTCCCGATGAGCGTCTGAGATGCGGGTCTAGACTGCCGAAGCCTCGAGCCGGGTGTCGGCCCACTGCTCGACGTTCAGGTTGAGCGGGTCGCGGTCGACGCGTCGAATCTCGCTGATGTCTTCGGCGGCGGCAAAGTACGCGTCGATG